GATCGCCCTCTGCCGCCCCAAGACGTGTATTGTTCAGTTATCGGATCCGCAAGAGACCGGTTCCGTCTTAGGTTCTCAGCGTGGGATGAAAGGTCACATTATGGTATTCCCTCAGAATACTGTACTTTTTCGACCTTAGGTTCGGTCCCCTGTCCACCCCCCCTCACGAACCGAACTTACGGGGGGTGGACAGTCCCCCCAAAGTCAGGCCTTCGAACTTAGATGGGGGGACACACTGTAAAATGTTGAAAACTCCCCTTAAAATTTGCCAATAAAACCAAAAATGCTAAAACTCGAAAATCTTCTAAGCAACCACATTATCTTCTGTAAGACTCGGACACTTTGCGGCAGGTGATTTTCAAAAAATACAATGCAGATATGTGTTGTGAGACACTAGTGACAACAACAGGGACATGCCAACCTCAAGGCCAAACTCTTATGTCGAGCGCAGAACTCACAGGTACAGGCCTAAACCTAAGTGGGAGAGAGGAGAGACTAACATAGTCAGGATGATGTATACACGCACTTGATCATGTCACCCGCGAGATGAATATCGACAGCTGGATTGACATTGATAATGGGCAGTCTCAGTGAGCAAGTATGCGGAGTTCTAGAGGGGCCATGAGTCCATTGGCCTTTGTGGATTGGTGTTGGGCCGCCGCCGAGATTAATGCTGATGTCGAGTATCCCATAAGTCCTCAGAGATAATCTTATCGTCTTAGTAGCTAGTGTCGAGGACCCTGTTCCAATGTCTGAAGCTGAAGTATGAGCACAAACAGGCACGAACTAGCTGTCCACCCTCGGTTTGACCCCCCGAACCTATAGGGGGGGACAGACGGTTATGGAAGGCGCGTTAAAGCTCCGATTTCCCACGCCACCGCGAACCTAAGGTCGAAAAACTACAGTATTGGACCCATCGCGACATGCTTGCCCGCATCTACCGAAGACATCACTACCATGATATGTGTATTGTTTGTAGGTTCGACACCCCCGACGGCGGAATGGATGCAAACGCATGCGAAACCCTTGCTTGTTCGTCGAGAGAAGGTACGCGCCGCTTTGCAATGGCTTAAGCGGAACAATCATCACTATAGACATATTCAAATCGACGATATTGTTATCAATAACCTGCCCGTGTCAGGTATCCTTCCCGTGCACGTTCAAACAATCCATCCTTCATCATCGTCCTTGGGCGCAACATCTTCCTATTCTCCTGATACTAGCGGAACAGATACGAACACCTCCCCGGCTGGTTTGGAACCGACCTCTTCGTTTGATAGCATTGTGGTTACCGATGTTGATCCCACTTCACCATCCAATGTTCTGCGAGCCGCAGCAATGCGTCATTTCAAATCGAAGGGTGGAGGATACCTACAAATACCCCATGGTGAGCATCCCGTGAACGAGTTCAACAATCCGACTCTTTTCCCCATGATGTACCCAACATTGTTCCCCTTTGGTATCGGTGGTGTCGAGGATTTTGCCCGGAAGGTTAAGGTGTCACTCGCCAGTCACGCAAAACACTTCCTTAAACTACACGACCGACGCTTTCAAGAACACTACTCTTTTTTGTTTATCATCTTCAACATCCTACAGCGCCGAGCGTTCTTGCTTCAGTGCAGTATCAGAGTATCCAAAGCTGACTTTAGGTTTTTTGCAGATAAATTCTCGACTGTGAGTCCGGAAACTGTGCATATCGTGGCAAACCGTGTGGCTAGCGGAGGCTCTCTGGTTGCTCTTACCCCTGACGAGCAGAAAGTGATTGACCTCATGAAGCAAGTCAATGTCGTTACAGGGACTGTCCCAGGTTCGTCCGCATCTCGGGTTTCGCAACGAAATGAAATCAAAGGGCTCATGATCCAGCATGGTGCGCCTACGTTTTACATCACTGTCAACCCTGCTGATGTCTACTCGCCTATTCTGCGCTCTATGAGTGGTCAAGAAGTAGATGTCGCTGCCGCGCAAATCGCAAGAGAAAGTAGGTATTGGGTGCAGACAAGGTTAATCGCAAAGAATCCCGTCCTTGCCGTCGACTTCTTTTATTTCATGATGAAAACTTTCTTCACTACTGTGTTGGGGTTTGATCTTCGGCAAATGAACTCGGATGGTGTTCTAGGACGCGGTGAGGCATACTATGGGACCGTCGAGGCTCAGGGAAGGGGAACTCTGCATTGCCACATGCTTGTCTGGCTCGTTGGCTCTATGAATCCTGACCAAATCATGGCTCGCATCATCGATGAAAGGGACAATGAATTTGAACAGAAACTACTCTCCTACTTAGACGATTGTGTTTCATCTTCAATCCCAACTCCTATTGACCCTGCAGTTTCGGTGGAATCGGACCATCAGCATCCCTGCTCGGTGTATCCCCTCTCGGAGAATGCATCGGATTCGGAACGCTCGAAGGACTTACACAATGTTGCCAATAAATCCCAACGACATAAGCATGGACCTTCATGCTATAAGTACTGGCGGGGCCCGCCGGAACCTAAGACATGCAGGTACGACCTGGACGAAGACAATGGCCGCGAGCATAGCTTGGTTGATCACAGTACAAGAACCCTTTACTTACGATGCCTCGATGGAATGGTGAATACCTATAATCCGTCCATACTTGAGCTGATGCGCTGTAATATGGACATCAAATATGTTGGGTCTGGGCAAACTGCAAAGGCTATACTACATTACATCACGGATTATATTACTAAAACTCAGCTGAAGACTCACGTTGCATATGCTGCGATAGAGACCGCGGTCACCAAACTTGGAGAGTTCAACCCTGCAAGTGATGACGTCGTCATCAGAAGCAAGAAACTCCTTCAGAAGTGCGCCTACAGCTTGATTTCTAGACAGGAGCTTTCAGCGCAGCAAGTTGCCGCTTACCTTCTAGGATATAATGATCATCTTACTAGTCACAGGTTTCGACGGTTTTACTGGGGGGCATTTGAGCGGTTTATTAGGTCACAAGAAAGCGCGTGTCCTGGTGATAGCTCACTTGATACAGTCGCGGAATCTGATGACGTCCCCTCAGAAGACACTGGCGATAAAGAAACGGAAGAGCTGCTCGAACATGAACCCGAAGTCATATGTGTCAATGACAGAGACGCTCGGTGCGATTCTCCCACTATTACTGATGCGGATGACAACGAAACTGACGAAGTTGTTGGCGAAACTGAAGCAAATGCCGTCGTAGAATCAAATGACATTGAGAACCCGCAGGAGGACGAGGTGATGGTGGATATCAATAACGATGGCACCATTGTTGCTGTTGGCTCTCGTGTACAAGACTACGTTTGGAGAGGGCACGAGCTGGATGACCAATGTTTGTGGGATTTTGTGGCTCGGTGTGATAAAAAGCGCAAGCGATGTAATGGTGATAGGCCCCAAAATGTACATGTTGACCATGTTATAGACGCACCTCTTGACCAGGAAAACGCTGTTGGTACCCCACCTGACGCGGGGAATGATTCGGCAATTGGCACGGACGACGATGATACCAGAGGAAGTGACGGTGACGATGATGACCACTCCAGCACAACAGATGTGGACCTGCACGACAACTCGGATTATTTTGCAGAATCTTCAGACGCTCCACGCACGCGAACGAGAAAGAGGAAAACGATTGACTTTGTTGCTGGCCATCCTGAGGCCTCAACACATCATTTGGCCGTCCGATCAGAAGCAACACAATTCACAGTTGTCCCTTGTGGACGCACAATACCGCGCAGGGATCGTGAAGAAGTTCAGGAAGAATATTGTCGTCTGATGCTTATTTTCTACAAGCCGTGGCGCAAGGTAACTGACCTGAAGAATGACGAACAAACATGGGAATTTGCTTTTAGTGAATTCGTGGCTGTGTGCTCGCTGCCATACAAAAGAATGATGGATAACATGCAGCTGACGCGAGAGTGTCGCGATGAACGAGATGAACATTACGCCCAGAGAACAATTGAACGACGGCAAGCATTGGATCGCCTGCGCACGGGTGTAACACGTCAATATCAGGACGGCGATTTGCCAATGGACAGCGTGACAGGTGAAGATGGTTTCAAAGCTCACCTCATGGAAATCGACCGGGTCAAGTCGAAGCGGCGCGAGGAGGCCCTACAGAATGTACTGGAATGTGACAAGTATATTGATATGTCAGGTCGCTTTGATCTACCACCTTCCTTTGCAAAGGGTAAAGGCATTGAGACCATCCCGGATGCTGCCGTTGGAAATAGCATTGGTGTTCATGAACATGCCGGCGACTGTAAATTCGAAGAGGGGGTTAAAGCACAGTATGAATGGAACAAACTCGCATGGAAGAATGGCATGGCTGGCGTGAATTCGACCAACGAGAAAACAAGTCAATCAACGAGTAGTGACGATGCACCAGCACCAATCATCACCTCCTTTTCTGACGCAAGCAATCCACTTTCCACAAGGAGTCTACAAGTTGAGTTAGTCATCAATGCAACAGCTGACAGTCCAGGTCAAGATCCACATACTCTGATGGATGAACTCGTACGAGAATTCACTCTCAATGACGAACAACGGCGTGCGTTCAGAATTGTTGCCGAGCATAGCTTGTTAATCAATCCCGAACCTTTACGAATGTTCTTATCAGGCCCCGGAGGAACAGGGAAAAGCCGCGTGATCAATGCTCTGCGTGCATGGTTTGAGCGACGTGGTCAGTCTAGACGGTTCCGCTTAGCTTCGTATATGGGAGTAGCTGCAAAGAACATAGCAGGTTCAACATTGCACTCATGCCTAAGTCTCAACCGTAACTATGCATCCCGCGCAACTCAGCATCGCCAAAGAGAACTCGCACTGTACTGGAACGGAGTTGATTACGTGTTCATTGACGAGGTGTCCATGTTGGGATGCAACCTTATGGTACAGATCAGCGAGGCCCTTTCGCTCGCAAAAGGATCAGGAGCAACCTTTGGAGGCATGAATGTGATATTTGCAGGAGACTTTTGCCAGCTGCCGCCTGTAGGGGACACCAGACTGATTGGCATGACGGGAGTCACTCGCGACCACACTGTGAAAGCTCAAGACATCATCTTGGGGAAAATGCTTTGGTCGTCCGTCAAGACGGTGGTTCAACTAACACAGATCATGCGTCAATCAGGGTCCGAGAATGTGCGATTTGTCCAGTTGTTAAGTCGGCTCAGGGAGGGAAAGTGTACGCAGGCAGATTTTGACTTACTCGAGACTCGCCTCATCGATAATGCTAAGCCTGACTGGAACGACCCAAAATGGATGTCAGCCCCTATGATAGTCAACCAAAACGACATCAAAGATCACTTAAATGCGCGAGCAGCCTTGCAATTTGCTGAACGTACTGGGAACGCTCTTCACTGGTACTATTGTCGGGACATTTTGGCGGGTCTGGAAATCAAGGACAATGAACTTAATGAACACCTTCGTAATTTACATTCTGGCCTCACCGGTTCGCGGATGGGAAAGTTGCCCTTGGTAGTTGGTATGCCTGTGATGATCATGCATAATTTCGACGTCGAGTCCGGAGTCGTGAATGGCCTCACGGGGATCTTAGTCAATGTTCGTTATCGACTGGACGACGATGGAAATAGACACGCATTGTCCTGCGTAGTTCGATCACCCGATTCTCTAGGTGCCGGCATTCCAGGCCTCCCTTCCGACACAGTCGTCGCTCTTGAAGATGCAACAAGGATATCCTTTGAAAACCCCTACACACGCGCGCGAACGTCTGTCATTCGGTTCCAGCTTCCTATCATGCCGGCATTTGCTATCACCACACACAAGTCGCAGGGACAAACAATGCAATCAGCCGTTATGGACTTACAAGGCTGTATTGGGGCCCAAGCGCCCTATGTGATGTTATCTCGCGTCACATCGCTCGATGGTGTGCTCATCATGCGTCCATTTGACGACAAAAAGATCATGAGCAGGCAATCTGAGGAGAAACGGATGGATGACGCAAGGTTGGAGTATTTGAACACACTCACAATAGCAGAACACGAGACAGGTGCCAAACGCAACGCCGCACGGATGAAGGCGGCAAAGTCATCCTTTTCGAGAAGCCAAAAAGTTATTGCTGGCGAAGACGTCCTCGTCAATATTCCCGCTAAGTCTCGTTACGACAAGTTCGTGCAATCGTACCGAGAGCTGGAAGCATGTGCCGCCAAAGCCAAACAGACCACCAATCATGTTAGACGAAGAAAGGTCGTGAAGCGACCCCTAGATGCAGATGCACCAACTCCAGTTCAAAAGCGCGCCCGCTTGACGAGACAGCATTGATGGCATTCGCTCCTTCATGCTTGTCTCTCGGAGTACGTGTTCTAGTGGGCACGGTCTCCAACAGGGTGGACAGTGACTCGGAGCCTGGGGCAACAAGAGCGTATAACAATAAAGGTGTCAGGCGTCTTGTGCTCTTTTCGCACGTGAGTTGCTCTTCGGCTTCACCTTTCACCGGCACCGTCCCCAACAAGATCGCCAACGCTTTTGTGTCCCTAGGTCTCCCAACAGCCAATACTCCTCGCCACTCACACAGCCTGACCGTATAAAATGCTCTCTGCGGACGCTCCTTCGTGCCCATTCTTCAACTTCCCCACCCTGATTTGCGACTCATCCCCCCTTCCGCGCACCTTCTCTCATGTCCTTTGAATCAGACCATACGTCCCCCTCTCTCACTCGCCTACCCTCTTCTGATCTCTCTTCGCCCGAGCCTGACGATACGTCTGCGTCGGCCCGCGCAGGATCCCCGCTGCAAGCTATGGACACTGAACCTGTAAACACCAATGCCCCCGCTGCCGAAGGAGAACCATCCATTGTGGACGTCTACGTAGCGCGCCTCCACAGCGGGCTGTATGATGACATTGCGAAGCAGCTCGGATCCCTCCCGCACGGATTGGCGCTCAGCGAGGCCACCCTGGGCAAGAACGTCGTGAAAGAACCTGGACCCAATGGTAGTACGGTGTATCGTCGACCCGATGGAGCCGAGTGCGAACTTGTCCTCGTCGGCGAGCTTCAGTCCGCTGCTCAAGGAACGAAATTTTCGGCGAGAGGGAATCATTACATCAGTTCCATTGCTAATGTGAGTGTTGATTTCCTGTTCACTACGCCGACTCTTACGCCCCATCTATTACACAGCCTAAGCCCATTGTCGACACATCCGTGGTGAAATCAATCCTTGTGCTTGGAAAACCCCGCCACTGCATTGGCCGGATGGCCGTCGTGTATAATAACCAGCTGGCGTCTCTGCAGGAAGTAGTCGACTCCGATTTCGGTCAGCTTGAAGAGGTGTGTATCAGTGTCTCTGTTTGCTTGCCATATCTGACGCACGGCGAGTAGAAAGCATCTCAGAACATAACCATTAAGGAACCGTACACATCCAGCGATGGCGACCCGGAGACACCCCCTGACCTAATCATCGTCCACACGGGGAAGATGTATGTGGTGAGTTCTATTCGATATATCATTTGGTTGAGACATTGACGTCGATGTAGGCGCCAAAAGCGTCCTCCACGCCTTCCAAACGTCGCAAGATCACCAAACAGGATCTGTCCACCAACGAGAAGTCTATCATCGAATCTACCTCTACGGCGGGCACCACAACTGCTGCTAGCACTTCTTCGGCCCCCGCCACCGGAGCTACATCACCTGCATCTTCGTCTGTCCCCCCTGTTCCTGAAATCAAGACATTCTATGATCCCCGTGTTCTCCCCGATTACGGCGGTTCTCTCTTTCAACACCAAGCAGCACGCCTTCGCCAGCTCGACATTCGCAATGTCGAAAACAACCCTATCCACCCTAGTGCCTGGTATAGCGAACTGCGCGAAGGAACCCTCGTCCTCGTGAGTGCGACCGCCCACTGCTACAACTACAGCGACGGAGGAAAGGAGAGGCGTGTGAGTGATCTGACTCTCTGTCTTTACATGGATCTGACAATTGCTTAGATTTATCAGCTGGAGGCCCAAACCATCCGTGTTATTGACAGGTCGGACGAACCTATCGAGCCGCGCTCCCGTTGGGGTTCAACTGACAACACGCCCTCGACCTCAACTGATCCGCTGGCGTCAATTGCAGTCACTAAGCGCAGGCGTGACGAGGACGCTCAGGCTTGATTGTTATGGTATGATGTGGTCGCTGACTTCATGATGTCTTCTGGCTAAATATGGTGTTCACCGTTTCGCGTTTATCTTATTGTCTTCTTTGCTATTATCCCCTGTCGTTCATGTCCGTTCTCTTTCCTTGAATCGTGGCGGCACGTCCCTTCTCCAGAATTAGCATTGTCCTTCTTGATGTTTACTATTGTAGAAAGGCTCTACGTTTGTATATTGGCGTTGTTAAGAATATGACATGAAATGTATTATTTCCTTGGTACATTAACTCCATTTCTCCCTGTTCGTTCGCTGTACTCCCTTCTGGACGTTACGATTGATGTAATCCAATGTAGTGATGCGGATGATTCTACTTGGGTGAACCTCGTGCCTTCCCTGACAGAACGCGCCACGATTCCGTTATCCGGGTCCACCACTTATGACGCGGACGCACAATGCACAGGAGTGACAGAACATTATTCCGCTCTGTGGCTGTGCTTGCTGGAGGCGCCGGCTTTGTGCCCGCCAAACATGTCCGGTGCTCCTGACCCTGGGCGTTGGCGCTGAGCGCAGCTCGCGCGCACGGCATGGTCGGAGTTTTAAATTTTGACCAAGCAGAGCCAAACACATGCACGCCGCGTCTGGGGTTGCCGCGCGTCAGTGACTCATTGCGAAGGCAGCGAGACATGGATGGCGTGGTCGCACAAAGTACATACCTGCGTGCAAGAGGGCCTGCACGGGAATAAAGAAGTTCTCAAAATCCATTGCTGGTTTGGAGAAATTCATCCAAGGGGTCAGCTACACAGCGGTCGGCGATGCGATTCAGATAAAGCAGACCAGAGAGAGCGCTTCCGTGGTGAGCCAGCCAATTCAGTGTCAAGGTCTCACATCGTCTTGTTGATGTTCCACCAACATCAAGACAAGAGCCGTTCCGGCTGCTCTTTGTGCCACGAACTCCCGTTTCAATGGATGCGCTTAATGATATACGCATGAAGATGTTACACATTCACTGGCTATGGCTGAGTGAAGTCCTCCCTTGTATGCATGCCATTTGCTCCTACCTCACGGACGAGTTTCCATATCATTGGGACTCCACAATGGGGCCTAAACCCTGACTTGTGGTTTTTGACGTCAACTGCATTTCCATTCGCTGCAACCGGACAATCTGCTCTTGTGTCTGCTTAATGTACGCACGGTGGCTATGTGGTCCCTGACACAAGTCTTCCTTCATAGCTCTTCTTCCCATTGGCGGTGGCCTGCTCCGATCGTGGTCCAGCTTCTCCCTCAGCGTCGACCATCATGTCCTTGCTCGACGAAACGAACTATGTGCTTCCGCTGAGGCCGATTGGTCACCGCCGTGAGCATGCAATTCACTGCTTGTTCTTGCTACTGACGCTCCGCATCTGTTTGCCACAAAGGTCGACGAGCAATCATACGCGTTCTGCAAGCAAACATACTGCCCATATGTCGAAGCGACGACATTGTTAGCGTGCTCCGTCAGAGTGCAGATCCGGAAGACGAGGTCGACTGGTTGGCAACAATGTGGGCATCCATTACAGTAAGGACCGGAATTGTGTTTGGTCCCTCACCCAATCCTAACACCTTCTGGTATATAGGGATCCCCCAACATTGACACTGGTATCGTAGGTAACTTGGGTGATGTGAACGTTGATGCGTGCGAGAAGATCATTGCCTGGCACGCGATACCTTACGGGTCTCCATTCCGCCGCATTGCAGCTCACGCGGCACATTTTGTCATTTACGCTGGATCAGAGAACCGTCCCCTGCTTCTGGTCCTGTTTTTGCAGTGGTTCAATCGCATGTATCAGTCACAGTCCGCCACCCAACCATCCGGGATCAAGCGCGTGGGATTTATGTTTGTTCAGCAGTGGATTATTGGGGTGGTACTGTGTGATAACTCGGTAGATGTGGCATCGGATATGTCTTCCCACAACCTTTACAGGTCGACGTTGGTATCGGACTCAGGCCTGTTGCTATATGCTCAGTCGTCTAACCGCGATGCAAACGTTGAAGGTGTTGCCACCACGGTCTCCATAGCGGTATCGTATGGCCGGTGAGCATTCCCCATGTTTTCATCCTATGATGAATGCGCTGACTTGCATGATTGGTCAGTTTGATGGGGTACGGTGTCACTCGCGTGCATGTGTAACTCTTCCGCTCATGAATGTTGTTTTCACACATATATAATGTCTTAACCTGATTCCACATTGTGGTACTGTACCTTGTAGTCACCGCTAATAGTGTAGGTAACCTGTGTCATACAAAAACGGGAGCACGTTGACTGGCTATCCCCTGTTAACGACGGTACCCTTGCGCACATGGCAAAAACGTCAGAAAAAACCTACGTCTAATGTAACCGGCACTGTGCGTGCGTGCCACAGGCATGACACAACAGGATCCATTAACTCAAAGGCTGACGACGTCTGTGTGGACATCATTGGTGTTCTCGCATGTACAGGAGGAGTGTTATATTAAACCAAAGCATGTTACATAGTTACAGGCGGTAGTACAGTCGTTTTTCATGTAGCGTGCACCCTACAAGCAGACGGATATCAACACAACCGAACGTGAAAGATGGAGGAAGAAACATACAATGCATCGCGTAATGCTCTGTATACAGCAGTCATCAATACGTCCGTGGTCAGCAGGGGTAGAAATCGGTTAAGCGTCACACAATAGCCTGACACCTCGAGGGACGTTCGCGTAAGTCGAGCGCGACAGTCATGGGTAACACGGAATAGATTTGGACGGAACTCCTCTCGTAAAACAACGGTTCCTGTGGTATACCCCTCCTCGTGGTGAGTAACATCCACAGAGTTGATAGATTGCGTAGGGAGAAGAGGAGGGTCCGTGCGATGCCATCCAAAGCGATCGTCTGCAAGCTCATTGCCGAGGGATGCCAGACGAAGTGCTAGGTCTCCGTATCTACCTCCCGTGACGTGGAAGTGGACCGACATGGGCTCCCAAGGAGTGTGCGGAGCTGGAAGATGCAAGGGATTCCAAATGAGCACAACCCTATAGTCGCTGGAGTCCCACCCGATGGTTACAGGCAGGTCCTGCCACAAGTTAGACACACAATTGATATCCTAACACGGGGTCACGCACCGCTGCGAACATGAGCGCACATAATGTGGCATAAGACACCCATCCAGGGTTGGCGAGGATCAGGAAGTTCATAGACTCAATGAGCTGCTTGGACATGACATCGGGAGGAGGAGGGACATCGAGAACGTAAGCCAAAGGTTGTAGGCGTAAAACTAGAGATAGAAATCAGGCCAACGACAGAGTCCATAAACCAGACAACACACCGTGCCCAAGATCATCGCTCTCACTCTCGCCGTCTGAGGATCCGGGTGATAGTTCTTCAAGGGGTGGCATAGATGGTGAGGGGACGCTCGCAGGCATAACGGTGCAAGATGGTGATGTTGAGGTTGGGAATGTAACCGCTCATCGAACGCAATGCAAGCCCTATCCCTGCCACATTAGGGGGGATGTGGGTCGGCCGTGGGCCGTGCTCTTGTCAAATCCCATTCTGCGTTGACTCCTGCGTGCTAGGTTTTCCTAGACAAAAACTGTGACCGCGAGGGTGCGTGAGGAGAGACAGGTGAGCATGCCCACAAAAGCATCTGGGTGAGACTCAGTGCGCCCATGTGCGGGAGCTAGAATGGGAGCACGTGATTATATGGCGGATGGCGTGTCGAGCTCTTGTCACTGACCATGTCCGTCCAACTACTAGGAGCACTTGCCTGGTACAATCTCAAAGACTACAACAAGGCCGTTATCTATCTCCGCGCCGCAAAAATCAGTGACCTTGTCGTGTGCACAGCTCGAGGTTGACAGCGCACCACCAATGCATGAAACCAGGGAGCGTCCGGGGTTGGTACCCACGTTGGAACGATCCCAAGCCTCATCACCTCTCAGCAGCGGTGCCCAATGTCGGCGTCCATACTGTTCGCATCGGTGCCTTCCACCCGTAAGCAAGTAACTCTTGCTGATAGTCATGCGTGTTAACAGCAGCCAGTGGCAGCGTTTAAACTTGCTCTCATACATCGCCCCCAAAGACAAGCAGTGTCTGTTCGTGTCTTACCGCTCTCAACGTCTGATGAGATTATCGCCATCATGGAAGCTGCGGAAGCGAGCGACGATGTCAAACTCGCCATGACATCAAAGCTATGCAAGCTCTTGCATGTACGCTATCCGCCTTTTCCGGTGGCAGTCATTAACCTCTGTCCCTTGATAGGCTATACCCTGCGTTGAGCATGGGGAGGGGAAACCCGGCATGTTGTTTGTTTGGGAACAAACGCCTCTGTCTTCGCGGTTTTCTCGCGAAGCACCGTATGCGGTGTACTTCTATGCGTCAAGAGGCCGTAGCTACTCTAACTCGTGCATTATCCCTGACGTCCTGGCTTATTTTCAGACTACGTATCTTGCACAGCGTGATGCTTCCGAAGCCGAGCGGGCGGCTTCATGCCTTCATAGGGTCGCATTTCATACAGGGACTGAGGCTGCAGTGGGGGTTATACTTCTCACAAGCGCCTTTGCGAGCACCTTCGAAGACATCACCAGGGGTGACGCCGTTACACCCACCTTTCAAACCAAAGCAGGCCATCGTATCTCCCACAATCAAGGAGAATGGGCGATGCTTCGTCACCCGCTGTACGAATTTCGCGCGCTCAGATGCAAACGGTGCGTGCAGCTCTCACATTTGTCTCATCACGCAGTCTGTCTGACTGACGCTGGGCTTTGGCAGGAATCTTGGGGTCACAGGTTGAGAGCGCCACCTGATGCGCAATAGCGATACACCAATTTGATCCGAGATGAGCTACAATAAATCATGGTCTGAGGTTAATGAAAATTTGCGATCTTGTTGTGTCGAGCATGCTTTTGTGACTTTGCGTCATGTTGGATACAGCGCAGCAAAGGAAGTCGTGCCTGCGCACCTGCGCACTTCGAGACTAGACAAAGGTTTTTATCTTGCTGAACCCAGGGCACCAGAAGAAGGAGACGCCGACCAGTTTTAAAAAGCCAGCCTGGAGTGACTTCGCACTGGTTCATCCTTACGTGGGTCCCAATCAGTGTCCGATGTTGTATAACGCCCTTCAGTATATGCTCCCCGTGGCTCCCGTTGCGCGACACAGTAAGTTTGCATTGGCTGCTTGCTTCATACACCGCCACTGATAACTTTAGGTCGCGAATACATGTATCGCGTCCACAACACCCAAGTCCTCCCTCGCTCGACGTCGGATGATATCATCGCACTCTTGTCTACAGACTTTACGTCGGGATTGGTATCCGGAGACTTGGTTTCAGACATCACGAGCGCGTGTTGGAAGGTAATGGTACGCTATCATGTGCCACTTCCGGAAGATAGCATGCTAATATCATTCTAGGACCTTGGTGTGGACGACCTTGCCGTCTTGCACGCTGTCATGCATCAAGACAATGTTGCTGACATCACGTTGGCCTGGGAGAGTGACCCTGTACACGCCTCTGTCGACTCCAACGCTGGTCACAATGTTCACTTCTGGGTATCTGCCCACGACGTGGACCGGACCGCGAAGCTGGCCGAATTTCTATGCTGGTTCTGGTGCGTGCATTGTGGGGCGGAGGCCGCTCTACAGTGTTGCATTCGCCGCATTGGCTATGTCTTTGTGGATGGGGGCGTGTCGGGTGTACTTCTCTGCGATTCATCGATTGACCTCAGAAGGGTCGACTTCCTCGACGGATTTCCGCAGCGTACCATGGTTTGCGTGGCGGAGAGGATGTTTTGCGCAGTGTCCTCCTGCGCAGACATCTCTGTTCAAACTACCGAGGACCAGGCCTTGCACTGCATAGAAACATTCAGGTAAGATCCTGAGTTGTCCGTCGAGTTCCATCTGATATTGCGTACAGAAATGCTGAGTTGAAGGCTGAGGGCATGATCGCGTAGCAATACGACTCGAGTACTATGCATTGATGTCGATCCGTTGTTCTTGTACATGGTGTTAACTTCCTGTCTTGCGCTAATTTTTCGTAAATGCGCCTGAGATCGAAACAGCTTTCAAATAATTTCGTAAATTACTCCTACTCATCGTGAAACCTATCTATGTACGTTATGCCATTGTCAACTTTGGTAGTTAATGTAAAGCTGCGCACACATCACGCTGAGGAGGCATCATGAGGGAACGACACAGCCGTACTACTAATCTCATAAACTATGCACAGGGACGAATAGAACTAACTAACTTGTAAGTTAGCACACGGCCTGAAAACGGGTGGCATTGCACCAACTCACCATAACCCGACCGCGACTCGCCGCAAAATCTCTTGACGAGTAGTTTCGTCCGGAAACCACCACCTGCGCTTCAAACTCATTCCGTAGCCACCCGCAAATAGCATCCGAGATAAGTGAGGGAAGCCACCGTTGTCCGACACGTGCTCGGACAACAGCGAGCGGAATGAAGGGTCCAGTGTTACCGTAATTACTGTGTAGTCGTCCTCATGTCGCCGAATCGCAATGCGTTGCACAACTGAACATGGAAGGAATGTGATGCTGACATTGTCGAAGCCAACGATGCGTTCCCAGAGTTCTCGAATGGCGGCTGCAACACGGACGGGAAGAGAGGAGGAAGGCCCGGTGACGTAGAAATGCAGGAGCATCCGCTCTTTGGCAGCCGCTGTGTCGTTGATGGACCATACGCACACTACTTTGTGATCGGCCGCATCCTCCATGAGTGTGACGGGCTGATCCTAAGCGTCTTTAGCAAAACCTGCGTCACATCCGATAGTGCATGTCATGCTCACAATGCCCATCATTAACGCTACCGTTCCAGCATAAGCCACCCAATCCATGCGAGTTTTGACATAGAAATCCATGCTATGAATGAGATGCTTGGAAAGCACCTGCTCATGGCGCGGGTCCAGGCATGGGGTCGTGAGTGGCTGTAACGTCATTACTAGGGCCAAACTACATCAGACGAAGACACATACAAAACCACTGGGACTCTTACCTGGACGCGGCCATTGAAAATCGCCCCCACCACCACTGGTGACAGACTGGTTAGAATAGTCTTTGTTCATGGATCGGTGAGAGCGATAGTGGGTTGCGCTCCGTGTAATCCCTGAAGCGTCGACGAAAAGTGACAGAACAAGGAGAGGGATGGAGGGGATTCAACGGCGAGGGGGTGCCACGATGCGACTGCTGCGTACGTTCGGGTGCTCTTGTTGGCCCAAACCAAAGGAGTCCCGACATAGAGAGCGAAACCTGAATGAGGCAGTGCACAATGGAATGCTGCTTTTGTCCACTATTTGAACAAAAGATGCCTGGGGTTGGACTGAAACAGGCTGTCCGAGCAGCATGTCTAACACACGACAACAAGGGCTGCCATGAAGCTCAACGTTCTTCACGGCGTGCACGGGAGGTGATCTGGAATGTGTGCCTCGGATACGTAGACGCACGAGCACAGGTCGACCATAGGGAGGTGGGGATGTACCGCGTGGTTGGGATGTGACGCCTAGATGGGTCCGGAGTGCTCTTGTTCAAAGACCATATACCTCAGGCAGTTCACCCTGAGCGAAATTGAGCAGGGAGATACAGTGATTGGACGACAAGAGCGGAGGGGACCTGAAATATGGCGAGACTTTAATCGTCGAAGAAAGAGGGTCCACGATCTTCTCTGCTAAGTTGCTTCCCTGTTAGACATGAACGCCGAACGCTCTCAGAACGTTTTCTTACCTCTGACACGTTTACGCTCCCAAGGTTTGTCTGCAATGATTTCACAGTTGACGAAAGCTGATAATAAACAGCCTATGGCCAACTCACAGTGACCAAGCGCGCGCGAGCGTTGTCTGCTACAGTGTCTGACACCATCATCTCGATTCTGAACGATAGTAGCTGGTCTTGCGCGGAGCCGGATAGCCTCAAGATGTTATGCGACGCCATCATCGTAAGATCAGTCTTGTTCGTGCGTGTATCTTCGTATCTGAAAGTGTGCTAGGACCATGACTACAAGGGCCCGATCGACACAGTTGAGTTTCAAGGCTCGCCAGGCGATCACGAGCGTGAGCTCGTCATTGCGTGGGAAGCAGTTCCACGCACATGCCGTGTGCGGCCGCTTGCTGCGCACGCTGCGCACTTCTGGATTCGCGCCGACGTCGAGCATCGCGTTATTGCTTTGGCCCTCTTCTTATTGTGGTTCCGACATGTGTACGGCGCCCATCCGCGGGTCAACGGTTTCGGAGTGGACCGTGTGGGCTTCATCATTTTGAACCATGGCATAGCTGGGGTCATTCTGTGCGACCACACCATCGATCCTTCATCTGGCATCCGCTTCTATGGTATGGGACCTCCTCGTGCAATCTGCGTAGGTCGACGGGTCTACAATGCATGCTCGGCTGATCAAGACGTATCCGAGACGGACCTGAACTCGTCCGTAAAGTTTATGACGACCTACTCTAAGTACGTTTGATTCCACAGTGCATCACGCAATGAAATTGGAATTGACATAGTGTTAGGATCCTTGGGTACCAGCGCGCAGAGCCTATTAGGACGGTGGAGGAGCAAGTCTTGACAGACTTCACCGCGAACCGTTTTGATGTCCGTAACTGGGTATAATGTCACTTTTTGTCCGGCCGGTTGGCTCGTTTCCATACTATCATATGTACTGAGTTCATACTGTACTACAAACCTTACTCGAGGTAATGAGTTTGGCAAATGCTAAGTGACCGACGCATCAACCTAGTACGTCTCGTTCAAATCGTGAGGAAACTGAAGAGCGTGCATAATATCTGTCCCATTTAATGCTCTTGTCGGCCAGCTCAGATGGCGTCAACGACATCGCGCAATTTCATGCCCGACTGAAAAGAAAGAGACAAGGCTCTCAGCGGATATAAACCACTGTTCTGCAGGTGAGTTACGTATCCAAACTTCCTGCATATTCGGCGTCGCTCGTGTACTGGCCGGCAATGGACATAAACAGTACTTACATTCTCCCACTGCCAACAGTGACGCCTAAACGTATGGTGGCTTCCTCGGTTTATGCCCTATGAATTTTACTGACATATGTGCAGATCTTGCTTATCTGATGGAAACCTTCAACGGAACCATCCTTCCCGTCTCAGCTGGCGGTGATATTCTTCGCGCTCTTCGCAGGATGGACCCCTCTCCCTGCCACTACGCCGAAAATGTGGGTTGTCTGGCACAGGTGATCACCGTAAGACGTCCGTGTTCTCGGTTGCAACGCAGTTGTTGACATGGACATAGGGGCACCAGGTCTCTGGCGGCTCACGTCAACCAGTATTGCCGGTGGTGGACCTATTCGGACCGCCTCAAGAGGGGGATCTACTGCTGGCGTGGCGAAACATCCCGACTGTAGGCCATTGGCGCCCACTGTCCGCAAATGTCGGTACATTTTACATTCGCACGACGACGTCAAACCGACCTCTCACGTTGGCAAGCTTTTTGCTCTGGTTTCGGAGAGTATACTGCACTCGTGTGCCTGCTCACCGTGAAGGCATTGTAAGGATCACATTTCGGTTCGTGGACCATGGCATCACAGGCGCTCTCTATTGCGATGACGCTGTGGATACGTCCATGAGTCTCCGCGGTCACGGTCTATACGATGCCCGGGTGGTTGAGCTTGGCGGACGTTTATATGTAACAGCGTCGTCATCCCCCAAATCGTCGAACGAGCAGTTGGCTACGTGGCTCTGCTTCGCTCGACGCATGCTGGCGTGAGTTTTGCCCCTATCACAACTCTACGGCAAGCCCCTGACTCCTGCGCAGTGAAACTCATGTCACATCAAGGACTAAAATCTCCACACGCCTCATGAAGGATTGATACGGGACGCTCATCTTGTTGTTAAGACGGCGTTCGTTTGCAGCTATAACAGAGACTGTAAAGGATATATTGCCTACGTTGAATTTCCCCTGTACATTCAATGTATTACTTTCTACATTCCGGTGGTCTCTGTAGTAAACGGGTGGCAAAGGTCGGTGATCCCCAACACGACCTTGGTGCTTAAAGCTTAAAGGTTAACGTCCTGTGTGAGCATGGGTGCACATGCCAACTTGCTATGCACGAGAGACTCGAAAATAACGGTCGCAGCGGGATTCGAACTCTCAGCTTGCGGTAGGCTGTGGTGAGTGCCTGACGTTTGTCTCAAAGTCGGGTGACCACGCGAATGGCGTCACACCGACATCTAAGGAACAAGAGCTTGCCCAACCGCGTGTCCTCGCACGTCGTCCAACCGAACAAGACATTGCCACATTCATTTGGAACACTGTCAGCGCTGATACAGGTTCGGGACACTGGTGAGCACCGTTGCTCGCGAACATCTTTCTGTGCCATGGCTGATAACACAGTGCACACGATTCATAACAGCCCTGAAGGTATCGCACATCCAAATACTGGGAGCAACGAAGCACTAACAGTAGACGCACAGTACTTCGCTTGGATGCCATCAGCCCTTTCCTCCAGTATCCTCTGTTCCCGGATGCATTATCATCGCAACTTATTGCGTCTATGGACCTCTTACTAAACGTTCCTCTGCGATGGGCATCGTATGCGGCAGTGATGGGTTTGATGTGGGCGGCGGTAAGTGGATTGGATTCGCACACTTGGGATAGCCGATAACGTGTGGTAGCCTCTCCCGATGGCCATCCCCCCCGATCCGACCAACTTTGGAGTCGTTTTGGTATGGGAGGTTACCGACCCCAATGATGCCCTGTTCTCGCACGCGCCCTTTTGCGCGCATTTCCGCGTGTGTGGAGGGCAGAGCGAGGACCTTCCTCTGCGGCTTGCATCTCTGGCGTCGGAAGTCGTCGGGGATCGATTTGCGTGCAAGGTAGGAAACGCTCGGCTCACGCCATCCAACAGCATCCACCTTGTCGATATCACATCGCATACGGAGAGCATCACAACCGGAACGATCTTCTTTCGCTCGAACTTTATGCGACTCTTTTTCAACGTCAGGCAGGAGTGTAACCACAGAGCTAACGCGTCGTCGATGGTAGTAGGACCGTACTGTGTCACGCTGAGCGATCACCGACCTTTCCCTACCCCCCCTGTCTTGCTTTCGGCGGTCGAGGACACTATGTTGGCAGCCGGGTACGTGAACATGGCTACACTCTCCACGATTCGCATGTACTGGCTATTGGCGCTGACAGTGTGTTGCACTAGTTTGAACATGTCCTACGTGAAAGCGTCCTAAATTAACAATTCGCATTCATGGCCTGGTCGTTACATAGGTTCACAGCGTCACGAAATGTAGAGTTGAATATATATTCTGAGTACACAACTGTAATGTCGCATCTGAGCGCGTTTGAAGATATCTGACATGACGGTCGTCGGAGCCACATCGGAAAGCGACCAAGCGAAAGGCAACGGGCTTTGCCGTGCACTGGCGCACGGCGCTATCTATCATACGATTAATATGGCTCTTGAAGCTTGAATTCTGAACACTCCTTTCATAAACTAAAAATGATTTAAGCCCTACTCGAGGGGCGGAGCTCTATGCATACAATGCTACCGCTACCTTCCCGAGTATCCCTAAACCAATTACAGTTACATCATGATTGTGCACGGCTTCCAACATCATTTGGCGAAGATGTGGGCACCGCAGGCCTCCTATTTCGCCCCGGGACAAGGGTTCCAGGGTCCTGTTGCTTTATGATGTATACCCTAGTATAGTATGAGTGAGACCTGTCTAGGCCTTCCTAAAGATATGGCACTGCCCTGGTTTTCACTATAAGAATAGCTCACTACTGTGCGCTGATAAAGACATCTATACCGCACAACCACTCTTACCTCTGTTCTTGACGACTCACAATGTCTGCGAGCGAGATTTATCAAGAGCTTTTATTATCTGCACAAGGTTCCTTGGTTATAGAATATACGTTTGGTAGGCTCTGCTACGCTGTATGCCGCTGACACATCATGATGCAAGCATTTACTTTCACAAGTTGCCGCATTAGCCATGGCAGTCTATGACTATGGTGCGTATGTCATTATATATTCATGCATCATGTTAAACTAATCTCATGGCTCGAAGCGCTTAACTTCTCGCTCGAGGTCAGATACATTTTTCCTTTCCCACTTAGCACATATTGACTCACCAGAACTAGACTGACTTTATATGGGTGCGTCGCATTTCATCGATTACCTGCGGTAATGCTGATGAATAGTTTAAGGGAAGAACAACCACATTCACGAGTTTCATTTACATCGTGGTCAGGACATACCGCTCTATAGTACCTGGAACAGAAGCCACTAATATCTTACTATGAAAAATAGTCACGATATATTGGGCTTTCTGTGCCTGTGTAAATCGAGGTTTTATTTGAAGAACTCTCAGGGTCCTGACACCAGTTTCATACCAGGTTTCAGCTATGTCAGTGTGGAAGAACACTGGACCATCATATTTTGCTAACTTCGTTCTAGTATATAACCTCACCATACCACTTTCCAACCAAGTAAGTGATCCCTGCCTATTATGTCGGACAGGGAGACTCATAACTAACATGCTGTCAAGATGTGAGTATCAACGTTGGCGTGAAGTTTTTGAACGCGTGAGCTCATTCCCACGCATAATCCGTCCTCAGATGTGAGTCTCAAATATACGGTATGACACGAATTCAGATGTTAACGTCACTGTAGGCTTTGCTTTATGGGCTCCCGCTCAAGTAGTCGTTATAATTGTTCTGTTTCTGCTGCAAGGTACCTTTGCAGAGAGCCTTTCCATTTCTAGCTCCGCATTCTAACAGCCTTTCTCACTGAGGAATGATGAGCACACGTGTGTACGTGCTATACGGGAAGCCTAAGAAGCTCTTGGTTTCTCTGTCGATATGCTTTTCGGCTGTACAAATCTTCAACGTTGCAGCAATATGTTAATTGATCTCGGCCGCGTCAAAAGCATACAGTATGTCATTTGTAGACCTCAGAAACTAACTCTAGCGAAAGCAGAAATCAACTTTTTTGGAGTTGACTCTTGCAATCTCCTCCTTCCCATATCTAGCCAGTGGACCTCCCCAGCAGTAAGCTCGGTGTAGCTAGCATATGAGTTTCTTTTATGCGCACTGGCTTTATACTACGCCGTCAACAACCTTGAACTGTCATTTTGGCGAAGTCCAGGCGCCTCGACTTACACTATCATGCATATCATTGTTCGTGACAATCTGGTGTATTTCTTCATGTAAGGGCGTGTGTTTTTGCATTTATTAAGGCTAATGTCCTTCGCAGTGTGTTTGTAGCGATGCTTGTAGACTCAATGTCACAACTCCTTCCTGACAGTGCAGTAAGTAGCGAATGCTAAGCTTCGGCTCTTCAGTGCTAAATACTATGGCATCAGGCGCTTGTTCTCACAAGTATGAACGGCGTACTTATGACCATAGTAAGCAGCATAGTTGGTCCATGGATGATCATTGGCCTCAGAAAGCGCTACGAGCAAAATATCAATTATGGAGTAAACCCCACGTGCGAGTTGACAGAGGTAGCTTTCGCAGGCACGCTTTCGGGGCAAACTGTTGAGAGCGCCTGAGCTTCCGCTCACACCAGGCTTTCAGTGTATAATGTCTTTAGAACGAATTGGGACTCATGTAATTTAGCCTGGCCGCTGTATGTCCATATATGTACATGTTACGAGTATTACTAGCTTATTTAATCTTGTAGAGATTTTGTAGAACATAAATCTACTGTCAGGCTTCTCGCATCATAATTGGTGGAGTGAAATGAGGTCAACGGAGCTGTTCCAACTGCAAGTACAAGTTGAGGCCCGAGGTATGTATATGAAGGCCCAAGGGACGGACGGACGGTCTCGGTGTTTCGCTCTGGGTTCAAATGTTCAAGGATTAGTACGATAGGGGCTATTTCCCGTTTGGTGCGATCCGTTTATCATTTTGATTTTTTGACCAAGATCTCCTCTCCTCTTCTCACTTTCATCCGTCTCATTCACACAAAAGCTCTCGTTCTTGAGCAGTCGGAATGTCCGGAAAGACAGTAGGGATACTGGGTAAGCGTGAGTTGCACCTGCCTTGCCTCAAGTCGGCTCATCCCCACCAGTCAACAGCCTTCTTAGACTTTCATGAGTCGTAAACCGACCACCTGAATCCAAATGTAGGAGGCGGCCAGCTCGGGCGCATGCTTGTCGCGTCGGCCTCCCTCCTCAACATCAACGTCGTCATCCTCGACCAGGGCCCGAACGCACCCGCCAAGCAGATCGCCGCACCCCGCACGCCAGAGCTCGCGCATGTCGACGGCGCGTTCTCGGACCCTGCCAAGATCCGCGAGCTCGCGGGCAAAGTGGACGTTCTCACCGTTGAGATCGAGCACGTCGACGCGCACGCGCTAGCGGATATCGAGAAGGAGACGGGCAAGGCGGTGCACCCCGCCCCGCGGACAATCCAGATCATCCAGGACAAGTTTGCGCAGAAGGAGTGGCTAGCCAAGGCGGGGTGTGCGGTTTCGGGGTTTGTGGATGTTGATAGTACGCCAGAGGCGATAAGGCAAACAGGGGAGAAGCTGGGTTACCCGTTCATGCTCAAGAGTCGGACGCTTGCGTACGATGGGCGGGGCAACTTTGTTGTGGAGAGCGCTGACAAGGTAGAGGATGCACTCAAAGCGCTTGGTAACCGACCGTTGTATGCGGAGAAGTGGGTCCCGTTTGCAAAGGAGATCGCAGTCATGGTCGTGCGCAGTGCGTCTGGAGAGGTGCGCTCGTACCCCGCCGTGGAGACCGTACACAAGGAGAACATCTGCCACCTTGTCATCTGTCCTTTGCGCAGCTCGGACCCCGCTGTTGCTGCACGCGCGCAGGACGTCGCTGAAGAGGCTGTAAAGACGCTGGAGGGCGCAGGCGTGTTTGGTGTGGAGATGTTCCTCCTCGATGACGGTGCGTCTTATCACCCAGCCTACACTACCCTCCCACATCCAAGGCATGCGCCAACTCATACATCCAATCTCAAGGCAAAATTTACATCAACGAGATCGCCCCGCGCCCACACAATTCAGGCCACTACACCATCGAAGCCTGCGAGACCTCACAATACGAGAACCATCTCCGCGCCATCCTCGACCTCCCACTCGGCTCCACCTCTCTAAAAGTCCCCTCTGCGATCATGCTCAACATCCTCGGTGCCTCTCCCTCTCTATCCGAAATTACCTCCTTCGCCGATTTTGCACTCACAGTGCCGGGGTGCGCTGTGCACCTCTACGGCAAGGCCGAGTCCCGCAAGGGTCGCAAGATGGGGCACATCACCCTCACAGGCGACAGCGACGCACAGGTCCGCGCGCGCCTACGGCCCCTCCTCGAGCGCCTCCCAGGCGGCCCATCGTCCGCCGAAGAACTCGAATGCTACGCGCCGCTCGCGCCTTCCCCCGGCGCGGGCTTTGCTCACAAGGCCCCGCTCGTGGGCATCATCATGGGCTCGGACTCGGATCTCCCCGTGATGCTCCCTGCCGCGCGCGTGCTCGACAGGTTCGAGATTCCGTACGAACTCACGATCGTCTCCGCGCACCGCACGCCCGACCGGCTCGTGTCGTACGCGCGCAGTGCGACCTCGCGCGGCCTGCGGGCGGTCATCGCGGGCGCGGGCGGCGCCGCGCATCTGCCCGGCATGGTCGCGGCAATGACGGCGCTGCCTGTGATCGGGGTGCCCGTCAAGGGCAGCTCGCTCGATGGTGTGGACTCGTTGCATAGTATCGTGCAGATGCCCGTGCGTTTTTCTCGCCTTATCCTCGCCTCTTGCCCTGACACGAGATCTGACAATTTCGAACGATAGCGAGGCATCCCAGTTGCCACAGTCGCCATCAACAACAGCACCAATGCGGGCCTGCTCGCGGTGCGCATCCTCGGCGCGGGCATGCCGCACCTTTTCGTTGCCATGGACGCGTATCTCAAAAGCATGGAAGACGAGGTGATGGGCAAGGTTGACAAGCTCGCCGAGGTAGGATGGGAAAAGTACGAGGTCAAGCGGTGATCCCTCTTTATCCAAAACTAAGCTCCGTTGAGAGGTGTTAGTTGCAAGACACACGATGCCTGCCGAGACTTAAGATTGATGTGCTAAATGACGTACATACACAAACATGCTGAGGCCGAAGCTACGTTCGAAAGCGAGATAGAATGATACATGTAAGTAGCGGAGAGGTTTAAGATATGGGTACAGGTCCGAGGGTAAAATATAGAAATCCACGATGCGAGATGCTGAGTGCGAAAACATAGAAACGAGAGAAACATTAGATGAAAGCAAGCGTGCAAGAAATAAAGCAAACGAAAACAAAACGGGGATATGACAAAATTAGGACCGTGTGGGTCAGATGTAAGATAAAATGCAAAGGAATCGCGCGAAACCGTGCACATCAAAAGTTAGTTCAATCGCTTACACTCACGAGGGCATCCCGGCAGGTTGAATCTCTCGCCCCACCTCTCGTCCTTTTAAGATGGACGCTGCGCGCGCCTGCCTGTCTTTCTTCCACCTATCGAGCTCCTTCTCCACCGTCTTGAGCGAGACAGGCTTCGTCATGAGTAGATCCACGCCCGCGCTGTACGCCTCGTCGATGTCGTCAGGCCCGGCAAGGCCCGTGAGCGCGATGACGAGCGCGCGGGGCATGCGCCCCTCGCTCGTGTCCTCGAGGGTGCGGATCGCGCGCACGGCTTCGAACCCGGACATGACGGGCATTTGAAGGTCTATATAGACGGACCAAAAAAAAGGAGAGCCGCAGATTAGAACGAGGTGGGTGCGCGCGGTGAAGCGGGAGAGAGGACGCACCCATGAGGATGACATCAAAGTGCTGCGCGCGCTTGCGGACGGCGTCGACGCTCTTGAGGCCGTTTTCAGCCTTGGCGTAGGGATACCGCTTTCGCTGGAGGAACGCCGAGAGTAGCATAAGCTACGCAACATCAACAACTTATCAACATGAGAAACCCCGACATGAAACCAAGAAACACGTACATTTATAGGGTTGTCCTCAACCACCAACACAGACGGGATCGGCGCAGGCGCAGCAGCAGTCATGCTCGTAGGGTCTGCAGCCGGAGACACAGGCGGCACAGGCGGTGGCGGCAAAGCAGCTGCTGCCTTCGCCCGCACGGCTGACGATGGGGCAAGCACCGCCGGCACAAGCTGAGTATGCACGCTCGGGCGCTCGGGCGACAGCGTCCTCCCGCCCATCTTCTGCTTCTCCTCCTCAATCCTCCTCCCTAAACCAGCGAGATTTCCATACGTAATCATGCCCTCCCTGGGCTCCTCCCTCGGTCTGGGTGTCAACAAATCATCAGGCGGAGCGATTCCAATCTCCAAAACATTGTTCGTCCCCATGGCGTTATCGGCATTACCGATCCTCCTCACTTTGTCGCTCAACTCCCCATTCTCATCCAATGCCCCAGACACCTCATCGTAATCTTCGTCTTCGACATCAGACCCAGCGAGCGTCGAACTCGACATAGACGTCGACACCGACGACGTCGTGCTGGCGCTCCTCATAGTGCCATTGGACGACGACGAGCCGCTCCCGCTGCTGATCAAGCTGTCGCTCGACCGTTCAGAACGCACCGCCGGCGATGGGGGTGTCAGAAAGCCTCTGTTGCCGCCACTTTCGTTCAGACGTCGGCCGCGGGACTCGGCGCCGGAGTCAGGCTTGGGCCGTTCGAGAAACGAGTCAGCGGGAACAATGAGATCGTCGATGCGATGGTCGATCGAGCAATTGACCTGTTTCAGCGTCGGACGTTTCACCCATGGGGACATGGCGGGCGAGCACGATGGAGGCAAAGAAGAGGATGTAGAAGCGGCCGGGGACAACGACGGGGACGTTATGGCCGTGGACGGCAGGGAAAGGGGAGAGGTGTGGCGGGTTGAAGTTGAAGAGGCAAATTGACTGTGACTCGACCTGGACATCGACAATGCCGACGTCGCAACTGCAGCGAACGTCGTTGGCTGCCCTTGTCCCCGTTCGAAACAGAAATGGAGCGCCTTCGCGAGCTTGAATGGCCCGCATCTACACAAATCCCGCATCAGCTTTCCTCTCAAACAAAACCACCTCGACAAATAAATACACTCACGGCCTCGCCTCAAACTTGACCTCGGGCAACGCATTCGCAAGCGCCTGAAACCTCGCCACATCCTGACACAGCACGACCATCGGCTTCCTCCGCTCCCCGCCCCCTCGTCCTCTCCCAGCCCCGTTGCCACTACCGGTCCTCCCCCTACCCGCCCACCCCTTCGCGTCCAACGACCGCTCATGCAGACACTCCACCACCGCCTCGCTCTCGTTCGCCACAACCAAGTCCACATCGCCGTCTCCTAGCCCCTGAGGACCACCGGCGAGAAAAGTCGCACGGGCGTGGCCCACCGCAAACGGCCCATAAACGACCCTCATCCCAAACCACTCCTTTAAATAACGCGCAAGCGACGCTCTCGTAGACAGCGTCGTCCCCGCAGCCGGGCCGAATCCGTACTCGCCCACCGAGGATCTTGTCGATCCGAGGGACGCCGCGGACGGGACAGAGCGTACAGATCCAGGCGAGCTGGGCGTCGGCGACGATGACGATGCGGATGTGGATGCGGATGCAAGTCCTACGGGCGACGCGAGCGCCTCACCAACCCCAGACGAGCCGGATGAATGCGGCTCCTCAGCGTCAAAGTCCGCGAGAAGCACCGTCCGCCCCTGCGTGAGCGCACGCACGCCCTTGACGAACCCCACACCGCTCCCGTGTCCCAACGCCGGTCTTGCACCGATATCTCTAGGCAGGCTCTGGACCAGCGCCGACGACGACGACGACGACGGCATCGACTTGTTGTCCAGCGAAGTCGAAGTCGAAGCAGCAGCAGCCGGCCGCTCAAGCACAACCTCAACCCTCACCTCCGTCCCGACCCCACGCACACTCCGCACGTCCACATCGCCGCCGAGGAGGCCCACAATCTGGCGCACAATCACCATACCCAGCCCCGTCCCGTGCTGCCGCACGTCCTCCTGCGAGAACGGCGTGAACAGGCGTGTCTTGAGGAACTCGGGGCTGATGCCCCGTCCCGAGTCGGTCACTGTGAGGGTCACGCGCGATTTTTGCGGGTGCGGGTGCGGGTGCGACGGTGCACCACCGTCAAAGGCGGAATCGTCGTCGTCGGCGTCGACATCGGTCGCAGAAAGCGCAACGCGGACGTAGCCGCTATCCTTTCTTGAGCGCATTGGCTGTACACAAAAGCAAAAGCAAAAACAAGCATCATTCAGCTCTTCGTCCACATACAAACAGCAACCAAAGCCCAGAGAAGAGTGCGGACGAAGAACGAAGATAAAAGATGCACTGAAGATGTTCATCAGCACCTGCCTCAGCGCCCCCGGCTGCACCACATGCATCCAGTCCTCCTGCCTCTCGATATCCAGCACCACCGTCACCCCCTGTCCTGGTCCCTGCCCCTTGAGCATATACCTCCGCATCGGCTCTCCGCTTGAACCCGAGGAGAGATCGGCGAGATCGAGTCCGAGATCTTCGATGCTGCTCTTCGGCGATGGACTCTGCACCGACGAGGAATATGAACTCGAAGGATACGATGACAACAAACGCCTCCTGAATCGATACCCAGCATACACGCTCTCGACGACCTGCTCCGTCAGCAGCGCCACGTCCGTCGGCTCCGCGAGCGAAACCACCCCGCCGCCCCCACCACCTGCGCCCTCACCTGCGCCCTCACCTGCGCCCTCACCTGCGCCCTCACCCCCACCTCCCGCCACACCCACCACACACGCACCCTCTCCCCCTCCCGCCCCAATCCCCACCCCCACCACCCGCCCATCCAACCCCCCCAACTTCCTCAACTCCAAAACATGCTCCACCATCTCCACCAACATCCGCCCCCCCACCTCCACCCCCTCCACAAAGCCCCGCTGCACGCCATCCAGCCTCGTCTCACTCAGACTCTCCACGCTACACAGCACCCCATGCAGCGGACTGCGCAGCTCGTGCGATATGCTCACGATAAAATCGCCCTTGGCGCGGTCCGCGAGCGCGATCGACAGAGCGGCGAGCTCGGCGGTGAGTGTGCGCATGAAGGCGCGGGTCCAGTGCAGTTCATCGGGCTGGAAGAGCCGGTGGGGCGCATGTGTGTATGCGAAGAAGAGTGCGTATGCGCGTTTGGGGCGCGCGCGGAGGGGGGGTGTGGGGCCGGTTCGATGGTGCGATCTTGGGTTGAGGTTCATTTTCGATGAGCACGTTGATGATGACGATGAGGGCGAGGACAAGCTTGACGAGGAAGGGTGATACAACGGCACGAAGATGATGCTCGTGCTCCCCGGGAACCGCGCCCGCAAGCACCTCAGCACCATCTGCCTCTGGCGCGACGCACCTTCGCCAATAGCACCAGCAGCACCAAACGAAAAAATGTTCCCGTCCGGAAACATCTCCAGCAACATCCCCCGCAACGCGCCCATCGCTCTCTCCCCTCTGCCCTCCTCATCCACGCCTCGTCCCAGATCCCCGCCCGCCCCCGCCCCCGCCCCCGCCTCCGAACCCCCACCAAGATCAGACCACGACCCGCTCTCCGCCTCTCCACGCACAGCAGCAGCGAGCACCTCCCCTTCCAGGGAGCCCATGCCCAAATCCGCGTCCGAGCAGCCGCCCTCGCCCTCGTTCGCGCCCGAGCAGACACCCACACTCGAGGCGGAATCCGCATCGAGAAACACGACGCCGTCAGCCGTGAGCACGTCGCATATGATCCCGCTCGCGCGGTCGAGCGTCTTCGCCATCGGCTGTTCGTCCGTTCCGGATTTCTTCCGTGCCGTCTTGCGTTTTCTGTCGCTGGGGCTGGCTGTGGTGCCAGTGCCGGTGCCGGTGCTGGTATGGGTCGTGGTGCTGGTGCTGGTGCTGGTGCTGCCAGTGGCAGCAGTGACAGTCGTAGCGGCAGTGGCACACTGTCCTCCCCTCTTCTCCTCCCCTACGCTCCCGTCCACAGACTCAACCGACGACTCAGCATAATCCTCCTCCTCCTCTCGACCCGCCCCTGCCCCCTCCTCCCACTGCCCAGCCACAAACCCGCCCAACCCCTGCGCCATCCTCCTCCCCCTGTCCAACTCCCTCCCCTCCGCCTTCATCTCCATATGCCCCATCACAATCTCCGCCATCCTTACCAACATATCCCGCTCTACCGCACTCAGCCCCTCGGGGCGCGGCCGCGGGTCCGTGACGCACAGCGTGCCGATAATGTACCCGTGTTTCGAGCGCAGCGGTGTGCCGGCGTAGAACCACAGAAAAGGGTGGGATGTGACGTAGGACCGCGTGCGGAAGGCAGGGTGTGTGGATAGGTCGCGGATTTCGAGGATGGGGGGTGGTGTGGACGGGGGTGGTGATGGTGATGGTGATGATGACGAGGCGGGGGGAGAGAAGATCTCGGGAAAGAGATGCACGGTGTGCACGCACAGCCCCGGTGCGGCGTCGAGCGTCGTGCACCCGAGCCAGAGGTCCGTGTCGGGCACGTCGGCGTGGATGGGCGTGTCGCGCGTGGCCTCTGCGATGATGTACCTACATATTCCATTGCGCAAACGCAGCGGCAAAGGATGAGTATACGTTATACAAGGCAGCACCAAAGTGACTGGACGCATGCATGTCATGCAAAAGGGGTACGACAGGCACGCCACGACCCGCTGACACATCTCGAAATGCAAGGCCAAGTGGAAAGATGGGCACTCACTGCTTGGAGCGGTCAATGAGACTGATCATACTGCGCTCGCAGCCGAGTTTGATTGCGGTGAGCTGGGTGAACGCTGTCAGTGCGGGGTCGTCACTGCTCTTTTTCTTCCCCAGCTTAGAGGGCGTGGGCAGCTTGCTCAGTTCGGCTTCATTGCTGTTCTGCCCCGGCGAAGTTGGTTGATGTGTGCTATTGAAGTTGGTGGTGTCAGCAGAAGTGGATGCGGACGAGGAGGGCAGTGACGAGGTAGGTGGAGGCGGAGAGGCGGTGGTGGGTGATGGGGGAGGGTAGACCTTGGGACTAGGAGTGAAGTAGCAGAAGAGCTCTCGCGATTGCTCGATGTCATGTGTCTGGGGATAGTCAGACTGGTCGACGAGGGGCTGAGTGGATGTTGGGGATATGTGTGGATATGAACTACGACAGTCGTTGCAGCCTTGTATGTCTTGTGAGGAAGAAGGTATGTTTGAGGGAGTCGGAGTGTGTATAGCTGTCATGTTTGTGCTATGGGTGGATGTGCACCATGGAGAATAGCAGAGAAAAAAACACAAGTGGGAGGAATATCGTCAAGAGCAGGAGTCATCTAATACATGTCCTCCCCGTCAACGCCCCAGATGTCCTCTTCTTCGGTCTAGACCCCCTACGATGACCTCACTCCTCCCATACCAGGCACCCGAGGCCCCTGATTCCCGTCGTGCCCGGATCGCTCCCAGCAACAGCCGTGCCACCCACCTGTTTAGGTACTCTTTCTCCCTTTCCTTGACCTTCACTCTCCTTCCATCTTCTCATCCGCTCCTCACCCATCCTGATCATCATCGCCTAACTAAACCCTCTCTTTCCGACCCACGCTCTCCGCCACCTGTGCTAATCACCCGTAGCGGCACGGGCTAGATCAGTCCATGGAAAATTGTGTGTCGTTGACGTGCGCCAGAATGCCAAAACGCAACACGCTCTGTTACAGTCAACTCCCTCTTAACCCATAGCCCTCCAATCCCATACTCCCTGCTAACCCATGGGTTTTGCTACCCATCGTGTTTTGTCCCACCCAAATGAGTTCCGAAACCCATAACTCCCTGATATCCCATACCCCATGGGCTTGAGTGCCAAAAAACCCATACATTCGGTACTTTTAGCAGCAATAACTATCCCCAAAAGACATACATTTCAGGTCATTAGGGGAAATTTTGGTTGTGTTGTTGAATAACTTTATGAAAGTGTACTAAAGACCATGGGAAATGGCCAATATGACCGAGGTTTACTATATTTTTGACGTGTTTTCTTCCATGTATTTGGCCAGGCATCCGAACTTGCACCAAGACTCAGGGGCTTGAAGCGGTATGTGATTGCATGGTACCTCGACAGCTTATGAACGATCCAAGCACTCAAAATTGTGATGTTTTCCTGGTTGTCGGCATGTCAGCTTCGGGCAGAGCTATCAAAGAGAATGTCAACATCGAAGATTAATAGTTGTGCTTCTCCTAAGGCTGCTCATCTATCAGGTTACTATTGCCTTTTCCAAATATATTTATTTTCTCTGTATTTTCTGCATCTATTTTTAGTACATTCTCCAAACCCATACTCCCCGTTAACCCATACCTGTGGGTGTCCACGAAGGGGTATGGGTTAAGAGGGAGTTGACTGTACATACAAAACACCGTCGTGCGCTTCCATGATATCATGACATCATCGCCCACTGTGCCGGGTCCGCTTCTCGCTGATCCATCTTCGGCCTTCATTTTCCCGTATAATTATACCATCCCCGCAGACCCCTTTAGATCCCCATCTTCGTGCGCTCCCTCGCACCCTCCTTTCCTTTCCCCGGGTGCCCCACCCAATCCCTATCTCCGCCTTTAACACGATGAAGTGACGCAGTCCCATCAAATAAACAATCAACCCTCCTCCGTAAGTGTGTCTCCCGTGTGCTGCTTGCTTATCTTCATTGCCGCAGGACCTCGGTCGAGACCTCTGACATCACCGCACTACAGCTCTCTCCTCACCGTTCGTCATATTGCATGTCCCTCATTCACACTGCAAAGCTCAGCGCTGCGAACAAAACGCCATGCACTCTGTGCCTGATCCTCTCCCCAAGTACCAACTGATTCACCACCCCGCTTCTTGTCTGGGCTTTGCCTTGCTTATCAATGGTGTCATCGCGGCACGACACACACCGTGTTTACCTGCAGATCACACCGCTGGCTACAGTTTCTCCTATAGCGTACCAGCTCGAACACTCTCAGCCCATCTTTCGGTCTGGCCGCTTCGCAACGGACTCAGGCAGCCAAGTATCCGACGTTTGAAACCTGTACCGCAGGCACGGCGGGCAGGCAGCCTACTGCCTGTAGCCATATGCCCTAATCTAACACTACCAGCACAAGATGCGCTACGATCCGCGCTCACTCGAAGCAAGCGACAGCCTCGATCTTCGCTATCAGTCAAGCTAAGGCGCACTCATCCTGTGCGATTCACGCTAAGTGCGTCTGGCCTGCGTTCCGCAGATTGGACATTCACATGTGTGCGCTGTTTCATTCAGACAGCAGCTGCAGCATGAGCATGGAGTTTTTAATTTACAAGCTTCACGGCCATATCATCCGTGGCTAGTGTTGTTCTTGGCCTGGCCTAAAAGCCAAAGCCAGGCCAAGCCAAGCCAGATTTCAGGCCAAGCCAAGCCAGGCCAAAGCCAGTACCAGGCCAAGCATTGTTGGCCTGGCTTCACCACCAAGCCAGGCCAAAGCCAAGCCAATAGGCCATGGCTTTGTTAGACACTTATTATAATACTATATATCAATAATTACAGTTGATGTTAGCTTGTGATACTTTTGTAAACCTTGTACACCTATCCTTTATCTATTCTTTTTGTAATCTGCAGACCACGCTTGTTTGTGATCGTGGGAAAGTCAGTGTTGGGAGGGCGTCCTCTAGAGCTAAATAGTTTGAAGCCTAATTTCTCATCAATGGTGATTGACCCTGCACTCTATTCTTTAATGAGACTACTAATTATCAGAAGTGATCCTTGACTATGCTGTCTCTCAAAACATACCCAACTCTTGACAGAATCTGTTTTTTTTTTTGGAAGAACTAACCTTTTATAAAACTAATGTGTAGTAATAATAATCCTGAATAGGCCTTATCCTTGATATAGCAATTGTACTACCAGTGCTTAGTAGAAAGCTTGATATTCAATATACTCCTTAGTGCTTAACAGAAATTATGCCTCATTCATTACTTTCATGTTTATTTGGATTGCTAACAAGAAACTTATGATCTACCAAGGACTATTTCAGTTAAATGTTATTTCTGTCAAGGGTTAGCCCTGTCAAGGATTAGTTCTGTCTATGGTTAGTTTTGTTGAGCTAGTGTTGTTAAGAGTTAGCTTTGTATTGTAGGATTAGGTGATTTCTTGAGGATTGATTACCATGTTTTCCTCATAGTCAGGTGTTTAGGCATAACCAAGTGTTCTCATAAGGAATTAACAAGGCTCATATCAAGCATATTTAAAAGCAGTTTCTCACAAGCATATGGTATTTACCACTATACAGGGGTCAACTCGCAATTAAAGCATTTGGCTATATTTTGTAAGTAAATTTGTAGTGTAGTTAAAGTACCATACAAAAGCCATGGCTCAAGCCAAGCCAGGCCAAGGCCAAGCCACAAGCCAATAACTTTGGCTTGGCTTGAGATTTGGTCAGGCCAAAAGCCACTTGAAGCCAAGCCAAAGCCAGTGGCTTTCAGGCCAAGCCAAGCCAAGAACAACACTATCCGTGGCAATCTGCTTCATGAGCCTGGCAGTACATGTTATAAGGGCTGGCGCTGGTTCCGTATGGCAAAGATTCTACCTGCCGAATAAGTACTCTTGTTTTGAGAATCTAGAGGATCCCCATCAAATGGTCCGCCGCCTTCCACTTCTGTAGCACCGGGTGCAGCGCGTACATGGGGGCAAAGCTGTAAAGTGACGATGACTCGGGTACGGGTGCAAGGAGAACTTAAAGTGTTAACTTGAAACAGACAGAGAAAGCCACAATTCGAACGCTAACGACAAAAGCATACGGCGTATGTCAACAGACCTTATAAGGTCTCTGAAATCGGGACACGGCCTCCATCTGCACAACAACAAAGCTCACGTTCTCATTACAATGGTAAAGGACGAGACGAGAAAACTCAAGTTCTGAGAATACAGTACATGACAACTTGAATATTTGTGACTGACCGGCCCAACGCGGACTCGCCAGTGCCCTCTTCTCACCCCTTCCAAGACACAATTACGATCAGAAGAGGGTACTGTGTACAGCAAGTGTACTGGGTCTTCGGGAAGTATCCGAACGCTTATGGCACGGATGGAGCCGCCTCACAGCGTTCAGTTATTCACAGCGGGAATAGCCCGATAAGTTCTCGGGACTTGTGGTGGAAATATTGAAGACGCACTTTAACTTTGTTTTGCAGGAAAAGCGAGACTTATTTGGTACTTAGTAGCGGGGAGATATTCTGATTAAATTATCTTTTATGACCAAATTGGCCGTGTCAAGTGTAAATCGCCAAACGTTGTTCAACATGCGTCCCTGGTAAGTTCCAAAATAAGTCTCGCTGTTCTGGCGAAATTCCATTAAACTGCATCTACAATATTAAATTCTGAGAACTTATTGGGCTACTCCCCCTGTGTATTTCTCGAGGTCCCAGTACAGCGCTGATCGACTCTGAGATCTGAACACTGACCAGCGATGGTTCTGTGGGAGGCTCTAGCGCAAACACATTCTGCCTATGGTCCTGCAAGCGCTCGGCAACTTGAACGGTCTAAGTTGATCATCACGCATTCGCGTTGATCATCTAGGGTACTTATCACGCGGTGCGGTGCACATCAGGTACATGCCGTATAAAAGGCCCAATACCACCATAGACGTGAATGGGTTACCATCAATACCCCCGCCCTCCCTTACTAATATTGCCACAGCACTTAAGAAGACCACCTGCTTACATATATGGCGTTGCCGCTACCGATAATAGATGACCGCGATGCGCAGATCAGCTGGAGCGAACACTGGTGGCAGGCCGGGGTTTCACCAGAATACGACGGCACATCGACTGGGTCCAACCGCACCGGAGACACCGTAACCTTCACATTCACAGGTGCGCACCGACACCATCCACCGCGCTCGTAAGCTCACCCGGGCGCCTTTTATTGTCGTGGGGTGGCAGGCACCTGGGTATCCGTTTATGGCATGGTAGGACGCAACAGCTACGCCGGGCTCCCGACGTCGTCCTACGCTATCGACGGCGGGAGGCCGACCGTGTTTGAGCCGCTTGCCATGGAGGACAGTGTGTATCGGTATCAGATGTTCTCGTCTGACATACTGGATGACGGAGTGCATACGCTGATCATCAACAATATCACCACGGACTGCACGGTTCCCGGGACAAATGGCACGATTTGCTTGATATGGCTGGACTTTATAGAGTACATGCCATCGTCAACCGAGCGTATGGCTGTATTCTTCTCTGCATTGGCTTATTTTTCTGAAACTCCAAACCGACTGAAACAGTGCTGTCAAATCAGTCGTCTCCTTCAAGCCCAACTTCGTCTCCCTCTCCAACTACACTTCATTCCACTTTTACATCATCGTCGAACCACACGTCCGCAAGAACAATAGCAGGCAGCGCCATAGGCGGCTTTGTAGCGCTATCTCTACTGGCCGCGTCAGCCCTCCTTATCCGCTACTACCGCATGAAAATACGCATGAAACAAGACATGATAGACTGTGAGAACGTCCTTTTATATCTGCAAGCGCCCTTCTCACACCATCAACACAGCGCTGATTACAGCACGTCCGTATCAGCAAATTATCCAGGAACCCCAGGTAAGGAGTGAGTATTCCTGGATGAGGGACAACGAGCCCCGTGTGACAACTGAGGAGCCTCGGGTGAGCGCGAGCGCGCCTCCGCCGTATGGGGAGGGGATGTAAAGAGGCGTGATGGCTATCGCAGTTATGGACTGATGTCTTCGGCCTTCAACATCGAATACCCGGGCGTGAGTACTGTAGATACCGGAGGCGCTTTCATATCACGCCCAAGACACGGAAATGGTGCATGTTTCTGAGAATTGGGCCTGGAGGATACTGGAGTTCTGAGGAGCAAGTGCATTGTAGGTCTGAAATACCAATACCGAACAGCCGGTAATGATTGATTATGAAAGGAAATGCTCATGACTGGGACTCTCACCGCTTTAGATGTTGATCTAGACGGTCTCCTTGATCTGATAGCTAGTAAGAAAAACGGATTTAGGTGTTTTGGGTTTGGGTATCTCAGTGTTGGAAACCAGCAAAGCGGTTTGAAAGTTGAGTAAGCGAATATTTGGCTAGCATTTTGAATGTCAAGTTGTCTCTGGAAGAAGAGTGTGTTATTTCACACGTTCTCAACAGCCACAAGCACCCATTTAAGGCGGCTGCAAGAGACGAGAAGAAATGGGAAACCTGGTTCGGCAAGGGCCGAGCCAAGTTGGCTGTGCTGAAAGCCTGGGAACGAAGAAACAGACACCGTGCGAATTGCGCTGGCCTCGCGTTCTTTGACGTCGACGCTCTTGTCTCCCCACTTTTCCAGCGAACAATGACCCTTCCTCGCAGCTGTCCCCGCATGCGCGTTCTCCCCTTACATTTGAACCCCGCGTCGAAGTTACGAACATGTCAATATGGCATCTGGTCCCAGTCGTTTTCGAGTGCTAGAAATTCCACTTTGCCCCTAGTGATAATTGGTACACGCGCTACAGCCTCGCAACCCTTATGTACGTAAAACACACAATCAGCTTACCCAGACAGAGGACGAGAAAGTGCTGCACTCCTAGTTAGCAAAGGCTATGCTCAAATGTATACTGTATTGCACAGCAGGGTCTAAGCGCTCCGAACAACTTCGAGAATCTTCTGTGTGGTAGCGCTGACACCGCTCGTCATTTTGGATGGATATACGGAAGCTTCTTTCCCTTCAGCACCGTCTATTGTGTGGTAACGAAACAACACACGCGACGGGCTACGATACGGTCCATGCCACACAGCTTCCACGCAGGCGCTTGAACCAGGGACGCGTTGGATCAATGCTGCAAGTTGGAGCTCCGGCGACGGTGCAAAAGCTTTGTGGCCTGAATTGGTAGGTCGTCTTACGTTGTTTGACAAATCACAATAGACGTGGTACGCGACCTTTTGTGCTTGCTTCTACTATATAAGCGAGACGTTCCGCGTCCTTTGGTCTTAGACTTGCCATCGTTCAGCGCTCGGCCCCCGCCCTCCTCATTCACAAATTTCTCGTGCGAAAACACCCGACGCTTACGATGACTGAGAAAGCCAATTCAGCGCAGGACAGTACCCCTCGTGAAACCACTCAAAGACGTAGCGTAGTTGGCTGGATCTGGCACCGGGTCAGCTCAGTCTTTGGTTCTCGACGCGAAGAGACCACCGGGCCCACCGAGGACGCCAATTCGCCTCCCTCTTCGCTGACCGATTCTCGACTTCAAAGCCAAGGTCATACCAGCACGGCATCAGGAAAAACCTGGACTCGGATTTTGCCAGGAAATATCGGAAATACTGTGATTTCCAGCATTTTGTAAGAAGTTCTGTTGTTTCTCGAACAGGTGACGGCGAACGTGACCAGGCTATAGAGCCATTCCGTTGCAGCAATCACCTACAGCTGTAGGTCAGTGAGTGTTGCATTAACCACTACAGCAGGTATGTGTTGCAACGTTTGCTAGCGCTGATGGATCTGTAGGAGATGTTGCAACGGTCCGGGTGGTTAATCAACTTCGGGCTTCAAACGTTGCAACGCACGCGTACGGGCGATCAAACTTCGGGCTTCAAACGTTGCAACGCACGGGCGATCAAACTTCGGGCGTCAAACATTGCAACGCACGGGCGATCAAACTTCTATCAAACGTTGCAACAGGTGAATACTTAGAGCCCTGTTGCAACGCTGACGCTCTGTAGCCAATCTGTAGCCACTGGCATTGAGTTGCCCGGCGCCCAATAAACGCTTCCCGCGGTGAACCATCACTCTATGTTGTTGCAACGCCGGATCTGATGGAGGCGACTTCTCATTGGCTCAGGCTGGTCGTCGATGTTGCAACGCAAATTTCGATACCGTTGGGCGGCGTGATCTAAATTGGTACGTTTCTCGGGATGTATGATATAAAGCGAGTGTGATCCATATCTGTCCACGGCACCCTCCATTAACGAACACTTCTCCGATCGTGCGGGGGTCGACGCCGCCGCCGCCCGGAAGCAGACCAAGGACATACGATTTACAGTGCGTTCTCTTTTTTCCCGGCGCCTTGCCCTCCAAGCAACTGATCCTCATCGGTGCAGCTGCGACGCGTGTACTTGTTACAATATCTGCGGGCGTCCGCGCACCAACCAGTGTCAGTCGCTAGTTTAGGTCCGGGACCAGGGTACGTAATGTCTTGTTGCAACACCGTTTTTCTGGAAACTCTAACAAGGTTTGTTTAGCTCATGTTCTGGAACGTTTATGGAGTGCTTAAGCGTTGAGTGTTGCTCGTTATCGCCGTCTTCCCCTTCCGTCCGAATTGCGGCGCCGCTTCTAGGGCTATTATCCTCCCATCTGTTCCTCCCTCTCGTCCTTATATTCCGACTCTTCGTTGCGCTGGTGCCTCTTTCTGTCTCCTTTGGCTGTCACCCTCTGCGTATTTGCTCCCTACGTCTGTATCGTGGCCTTCGTATCATGTCCAGTATGTTGATCTTGTTTGCTTTGACGAGGTTCCCTTACTAAACGCTATCACCAGGAGTGTTCCAGAGCTGGACCACAGAAGAGCAGGACGACTTCTTGAAAGTATGGTGGCACAAGTACACGATCGCCAAGAGGACCTCGATCGCCGCAGAGTGCAGGTTCTGGTGGGACGTTACGACGGCTTGGATTCGCACCTGGCCCGACCACTACACGTTACTTTCCCGCAGTGCTGTGGGTAGCATTTGGATCCCGAGGTTCAATCATCGCCGTGTTTGTGTTTTGACCTATGTGAGTTTTCTTGTCGCGACTTCGAATTAATATATTGCTCACTACATGACTAGCACCTATATGACTGGTTCCATGCGTACGAAAGAGCGGTAGAAGAGGGTTTAGAGGCCGGTACTGCCTCGCCAAAATCAATCCCTTCAACGCCGTCACCATTCTCGACACCCTCGACGTCCTCAATGCAATTTTCGCCATCGTCGCCCTGAGCACTGCACTCAACGTTTGCAGTGCTGTCACCCTCGTTGTCTTCCGGATAGTAGCGTTGCAGTAGTATATTGACCGTATGTACATTGGGTAAACTGCTTAGCTTTCCGTTCTACTTGACTAGTCACCGTTATTCATCAGCACTTTTGTTTTTGGCGATAGTACCTAATAATAAATACTATTCCCAAAGGCCGGGTTTCACCTAAAAGACAGCCGCTTGCCCTCGGTGGAGTCAAACAATATGGACGACAAATTGCATGACTTTGCTCGGCGATACCACATGTCGGAGACACAGAGGTGGAATGTGAAGCCCTTGCGTTGGGAGGATGCGATGCACATGAATGATGAAAGCGGCAGGCGGATGCTCTCTGTAATGTACATGCGTCAGTCAGTCAGTCAGATGCGTGTCATGGTGTCTGAGCCCTCTCGAGATCCATGAAACCACTTTGTTACCTACGCTAACCTTGCTCCCAAAAGCTCGCGCGAGTACGCGCGCATGTGTGATAAACAAATTTGGACCAATTAAATTGCCAGGTGAAACACCGCGGGTGCATCAAAACCTCATATGCGGCTGAGGGAAAAGCTACCGGATGAGAATTTACATGAAAAGACATTATGACACTGATAAGCTATAATTCTCGGAATTTACTTGAACGAGACAGAAGAGTAAGACAAAGTGAGATGGACTGGGAAACTGAGTGCAATGGGGATCTACTGTATGAAGGGAAATGATCTTACACTGTAGACAGAAGGTAAGAAAGTCGCGCTGCAAAGGTATGATATACTGTACTAACCTAGACAACTTGTTATTCTCTTAGACCCTTCAGGGCTGTATGTTCTCCTTTCCAGGAGCCCGGAGACAAAGACCTCCGATCGCATTGTCGGCGGCCTTAGGGTTGAACTTGATATGTGCTCGGTTTGACGCGCGCCTCGCACCATCAACATTACCAACCTGCATGAGTGGGCGCGGAGGCGTGGAGCGGGGCAATTCCAAGGAGGGAGCAGAGGCATGGCCCGTAGAGGGCTGAGGAGATGGGGAGTGCGAGGATGACGGCACTCGGACCTGAGAAGGCCACGGCGTGTGGAGCAAAACGTGAGACGGTGACGGCAGCTGATCATCAGCCCAAGGCGGTGACAGCGCTTGAGCTGCGTATACGTCGGGCGTTGTCTGAGGTGACGGCGCCAACCGTGCTACCCCAGTAAAGACTGGGGTATGAGACAGCGACAGAACCAGAGGAGGTCCAGGATCCTGAGGAAGGAAGGAAGACTGCGGCGTCGACGGCTGAAGTATACCCGGAAAGTTGAGATCCGGGGAGACATTAGGCTGGGAAGATGGTAGTAACTGCGAAGGTTGAGCGGCGGAGAAATCGATGGGTATGTTCATGTCGAGTTGGCCGCTCCCCTGGAACAAGGCCTCAGATAGCTCCGCGTGATCATACTGAGGGAACTGGTTCTCCATAGATCCAAAGTGTGAGAGCGCCTGCTGCACCTGGGGATCATCGAGCCAGGAGTAGTCGTTGGTGGTATCGAAGAAAGCGGGGTCGAAGTACGCAGGTGCCGTGTATGAGTCAACACCACCATCGGACATATTGCCAGGGGACAAGCCATGCCCATCGGTTTGATCTATGATGGCGATACCTGTAAATGCGAAGTGAGCTACTGACACTGCAAACACCAATATGGCGGTCACTTACCCGCGTTGGTGGAGTCTTCGCCATAAGGCGCGACAAGAGTATGTGCGTTACTATCATTTCCGTGGGCTAATATGTCGCATGTTGCATCTACAAAGGAAGCTGATGACGTCAATGACAAAAGACGTGCATCGTTAAGCTCTGCATTACCTTGGAGGCCCAGTTCCTCCGTTGTTGTGGCTAAAAAGAAGACATCATTAGTTACTACTACCGAATGTTGCAACCCATATCGCACCGTCTTGACCAGTTGAGGTAGTGGCTACATCATGACGTCAGAGAAGGCACCAGGCACGTATGAACGTTGCAACACTTACTAGCCTCCAGTGCACACGAATCGATAGGTTGCATAACTACGTCTCCGGCCTTGTCTTCATTCAACGATAACAATTGAGCAGTGGTGGCTTCTTTGTCGCTGTCATCCCGCTTCTCGACGATGTTCTGACCTCCCTTTCCTCGCAGAACAATCTCAACCGGCCTTCCAGCTAGGCAGCAACGTGAAAAAAGGCAGACCCTAGATGCGTTAAGGACTCACGAGCCTTAGCAAAGGCAGCAAACTCCTCGGTGCAGCGCTTCCAGCTCTGCGAGACCTGACCAAAGTCAAGGCCAGCTTGGTCCAGCCCGACGTGAATGCTATGGTTGACAGTGAGCTACAACCACTTGCACGACGATGTATTGACTTACCATCCACTACACATCTGTCCTGAAAGCGGATCTCTGCCGACGATCATTGTCGCAAAACGAAAGCCGTCGGTCGATTTTCCGCCAACGGTTTGGCTGGAAACATACTCGTGTATTTCAGCCAAAGACGGCATAACCGTCATCGTGTTACTGTTAAAATTTCAATGTCAGTATATAGCTAGTAAATCACAAGACAGTAAATCAAAACTTACGCTCTAGCAGCAAGCGCGTTCAGCTTGGGGTCGCTGGCTGGCGAGGGACCGGCGAGGACAACCTTCTGCTGATCCTTCTTTCCCTCGATCTCATCGCGAACTGACTGGGGGCCGTCACGAAGCTTGCGCTGTGCAACGGAACGGACCGCGTCCAAGACCTGGCCACCCGTTGGCGTCCCCTTGATAGCGTTGAGAATGAGTGTTACCTCGGGTCCAACCTCTTTGTCGTAATAGAGCTTGCAGAACCATTCCCAGTCCTTGTTGCACCGACTATTCGAACCCATCATCCTGTCCAACATAGTGGCCGACCTCCCACTGATAGACCGAGTACAGGTAATGCTGTTCCTGAAGGCCCATCGCATGGCCGCGTTTGTTTTCTAACACGCAAACAGTGTTCGTCAATGCTATGAGTAAGGGAGGGAGACGATGAACGTACCACGTTACGAAACTGGATCCCTCTCTCGACAACGTCCCGTTGGAACTGCGTAAGCTCAGCGTCTTTGGATAGGTTGGGGAAGAGGGCTTTGAGCTCGGGCCACCTGAAATACCATGTGGACTGGAAATCAGGCCAAAACAACGCAAAGTTCTTTTTCTCGGAATACTCCCCGTACGTAGGGAGCTGTGAGACCATGAACTCTCGCTGTTCCAAAGTCCAGATGCCCCATTCGCCTTCCGTGTCGTCCATGTCGAGCTTGGCATTGACGTGGGCACACCGAACATAGCTCTCAACGTTCTTGAAGATCGTGAGTGTTGTAGAAAAAAGAAATAACGCGCTATTTGCTCACCCGGGAGAACTTTTTGGACTTTGTACGAGGCGCTGGTGGTGCTTTTGGGTTCTGCGGAGCCTTCGGCATGATGATGAGGGGAGTATAACGAAGTAGGCGTGGAGAGTAAGGACGCGGGGATGAGATGAAGTTAATTCCTGCAGCCGCTGGAGCGAAAACATTGGCTTTTTAAACGATTCAAGTTGTGAGCTCCGAGAAACTATCTGGACGGGGTTATGGCTTATCACGAGGATGAGTTCCATTGCTAGCTACCTGCGGGTATCGTCAAGGATATCAGCATCACTGAGGGCGGGTTCCAGTGCTGCGTAGACGCGTTCAGAGCGTCTGCTGGTCGGTCTTAGATGGTGACCCTGCACGAGTGTGCGAGATTAGACCTTCTCCTAGAAGGACCTGTGATCAGCCCCATCCGACGCGTAGATTGAGGACCCGAGAAAGCACACTGTAATATAAGTAATAAGATGGTGGCGGAGAGCGAATGAGGACAGAGTGAGTAGAACTCAACGGTATTTGGGAGGTGAAGGGGGTGTACAAGGAAGCGTGCGAAGAATAGGATGTTGAACATCTCACCGGATAAGCAAGTTAACTCTCCAGTCCGAGTCATGGTTAGTTGCGGCTAGTCGGGCCGAGTCGAGGGCTTCAACCAGACGCCTTTGCTTTAATTAAGTTTGCCACCACGTTGCGTTTGAATGTCACACTATACATACGAGTACTAGTAGACCACCTCCCACATCATGTCAACTATCATCAACTGCTAGCTAATAAATCACTCTTTCTCGTTGAATACCTAGTGTGCTCGCATAATTCGATTAAGGTCAACTACACCGGGTAAGTGGTGTCTCGACTAAACCCTCTGTTGGAGTCTCTCAGACTCTAGCTCTTTGGCAAAGTACTCTGTGCGAATACTAAGTCCGTCGTCCTCAACAGCGCTATTAGATGATACGGTAAGCATTTCAACTGTACCGTCTGGTCGAAGTTTTCACTGCGTTGCTCTCTACAAACCTCAGGCTAGCCTTCACTTGCAATCCTGCAATCGCACGTTCACAACGCCAAACGCAGCGAGAACGTGATAATTGTGTACACTCGCAGCACGCAGTCTACGCACCTCTTCCAGGACTTCATTATGCCCCTCTACCTAATCTGCCATGATTACTTTCACTCGATCTGCTCATAAATGGCACCTTGCACGTGTTCGTGGTGCGCAAATCCACTATGATCCATCATCTAAAGAGACAGATCCCTTTCCCCTTCCCAGGACGGCTCTGACGAACCCATGGTGTAAGTACTTGGTGCTGGGGATGTTACCCCGCATTGCGGGTTTGTGCAGCGCAATCACTTTGGTGAGAACAGGCTTGTAGTGAACTTCAATTACCTGTCAACTAAGTATACTTTACCTGTGCTCATTGACCCGGATCATGTGGGCTGATTTCTTCAAATTCCGCAGTGGTCTACGTATGCTCAACTTGAAGTCGTAGGCGTACAGTTTCTCAGCGAACATCACTTTCAAATCACCACGCTCCTTCCACTGACATGGGCTCCCTTTAGTGGCAAGTCTGAGTCGATCACCATCACCAACGAGAAGGGTCGTCTCTCCAAGGAAGACGTTGAGCGCATGGTCCGCGAGGCTGAGGAGTTCGCCTCCGAGGATGAGTCCAACCGCCGCCGCAATGAGGCCCTCAACTCGCTCTCGTCGTTCGTCTATGGCCTCAAGTCCCAACTCGCTGACCAGTCCGGGCTTGGTGGCAAGCTCGAGGATGACAACAAGAAGGCGCTCCTCGACGCGATCAAGGACACAACTGATTGGATAGACGAGTACGGCCAGATGGCCAGCACTGAGGATCTCGAGGAGAAGCTCAGCGAGGTCCAGAGCATCGTCTCGCCCATCACGAGCAAGCTCTACGCTGGCGGCGAGTCCTCCTCGGGCAACGCTGACGACGACGACTATTACGGTCATGACGAGCTGTAGAGAGTTTATTTTGATGGGCATGATACGTGCAAACTACACTGTACTGTTTGGGCACGCTTAAAATAGAGCTAGCTATATAGTCAATCAGAAATTTCTTTAAATCTCTGGCATTGCCTGGTCTTGGATGGATGTGAACAGCCAGTGTGTAATGATCCGCCTAGGTGACAGTCATTTAACTTTGGCAGAATTCAGTCACAACTGGTAATGTATTCTTCTTCGTCATATGTGCATGCTGAAGACATATATATGTTGCATGACACTTTACTTAGATGTCTGAAACGTAAGTACCTAATCTGATCTTCAAGTTTCGTTGGATAGTCTATGTCTACAGATGTATATGAATCCTGAAATATTCGTGTCACTGAGCTCGAGCACAATGACTCGGATAATAAGACATATGTCACGGTGGTAACTCTTGCATTTTCTCGAAGGCGGCATCATGCATAGCATCAATGCAACACGTACTACTACTGTTATCGTATATTACAAGCTATGTGACTGACTGTTACTTGATCAAAGTACGGCAAGTACTTGCGATGTGATACCAAGTTGCATGTCCCAATCCTATTGAGACTACGCATATCGTCTGCATAACCAAGCGTAGCCTGGAAAGCCGGTCCAAAAAAGATCATCGTTAGAATTTGTGAGGTGTGATACATCGTCTGATGCATTGTAACTGTAACTAGAGCCTTGATTTGTCAGTCTGTACTAGTACTGTACGTAGTCTATGATATTAAGCATCGAGCTCAATAAGCGTCAAGCAGAGTGTTAGAGATCAAGGAATCATAGAATAATCTAAGGTTACCGTCTTATTTGATTACCCCAAGTGCTTTGATCCCTCTTTCCGTCCAGGCATCCCGCCTTCGTTTGACTTGAAAGAGTCGGAACGTATATGACAAGTGGCTCCTCTTTGGCAAAGAGAGCGTCGAGTTTAGATTAGGGTTGTACCATCCGGGTGGCAGCAGTGACAGTGCGCGGCGATGTATATGCAAGCTCCTGCTAAACATTCTTGGCCGAGCTGGGATTCCGGGAGATTGGGGAGTCGAGGTAAACAGTCCGCAAGGCGTCTTGATGTTCACCACTGGGTTGACGATCTCCTTCAATCGCAGCACACCGAGCGTGACACTCATGGACGAGTCGACACATCGGTATTACAGAACGTGTTGAGGGTCATCTGTATAATCGGTTCTCCTATAGACTGCGCGGCGAGGGCGTTGCACATGTCACCCAGGTGAACTAAAGACTAGTTGAACTTCGTCTCGATTGTACTCAGCACATATGTGTTCGGGTGGAACTAGGCTCGAAAACGGGGCAGAAAGCGAGCGTCGCGCGGACATGCATGTGGAACGTCAGCAACGCATCAAGCTGTGCCTCGCGCCGGAGCTCGTCCTTACGATTGATCACCACCCAAGTCACCGCCAGGCGTGAAGCAAGGTCCGCGATATAAGTCGGATCCAGGTCGCTCGCCTTGTGCTTGTTGATGTGAAGATCTGCGATGCATTTTAGAGGACGCGGCTGAGGTTGATAGGGAGGCAATGAGGCCGTGAGGTTGTTGCTCTCTGGGAAGGCGAACACATGAAGAAGACACAGAATAATCATGTGCGAGTGGGCTAGATGTTCACGTCGGCGGAACACAGCTGAGTGCGTGGTAGTGAGTGTGCCGCACTGTAGCACCCTCCGTGAATTCGAACAATGTTCGGAGACAACAGACTCAATATTCAGAGTGGGGATTGTGTCTTTACAAATCATAAATACCGTGTATATATTGAATAACATGTAGCAAAGGACAAGAGGCATATATAAATATGAAACCAGCAACGAACGGTATAGTCTCAATACTTGAGAAACAATCGTACCCAAGACAGTAAACGCCAAGGGCAAACAACAAAGGAAACAGCGTTAATGTAAGACTTGGAGCCGGCCCTCCTTGACCGCGCTCTTGATAGAATCCACAGCCGTGGCCCAATCATCCACGCGGAAGTGGATGTTGCCCTTAATACGAGTAACGTACTCTGATGCCCTTCCCCTACGTAGACTTTTGTCAGTAAAGATCTTACATTAAGCGTAGGAGCCTTACCAGTCGCAGAAAATCCCAGCGCGAGTTCCTTTGATCACGACATGATAAGGTTCTGGTGTACCAACGTTTGGCACCCAGAACACTGCACCGTGATAGACAGCTTGGTGATGGCCCACCATAGACGGGCCCTCGACTGATGCTGGCTCGTAGTTAGTATTGAGTATTGATGATCACCGCACACTTACCATGAAGGAACGTCGGTGGAGCAGCCCGAGCATAGCTCAGCAGAACAGGCTGAGCTGGCGGAATAGCTGAGTGCGACGAGCTACTCGTGGCAAGAGCAGGTGGAGTGTCTGAAATCAAAGGTATCCATACTGTGAGCGAGGCTTTTGTAACGGCAAGGGCGTATATGCTTACCAGGTCTGAGATAAATTGCACGCTCAGCGCGCGTGCGGCTAGGCGCAGGGGTATAAGGGATGTCCTGCCAGTTAACCGCCTCCGCGTCAGGTCTAGCAGAAGAAGGTGACATGGGGCTATGAACATGAGGGATCACCCGGGCAGCTGAGAGAGGTGGAGAAACCGGGGCGGAACGTGGCATGGTTCGGGCTGGGGCCGTGAAGACGGGGGACAAAGATAAGGATGAGGTAGTCGAGATGGAGATGCAGGAAACGCCCTCATCAACGTCCTCGTCCGGGTATCCTGTAATATAGGTGAATCTATTAGAATCAGCAGAGGGGTGGAAATCGCAGATTGCGTACCTTCTATACCATCGTGCGCGCTAGCATCAGGCAACAGGGACGGAGAAACAGCGGTAGTGAACGATGACAAAGCCTTGTCATCGTCACTTGGGAGGCGACCGCTGTCCGGCGGTATTCCGAGAAGTAGGTGGCCAAGTTGATATTGCTCCGATTCCGTGATTCGGAGCAACTGCAACATCTGGAGGGCATCTCAACAGGAAGGGAAACGTCAGGTTATCATAGCCTCTACAGAAGGTGGCAGGAGTTACCTTCGATCCGGCTCCTAGTTGCAGCAGCATCTGGAGAGCCAGGTGTTGCGGAGACGTTGGGCTGCGAAGGGAGATGCATCAACAGGCGATGGGGGATAGGGAGAGGGAGGTCTGGTTGAGACAAGGCAGAAACTCACCTGTATTTATGTCTAAGGAGAATAGAGCGTTGCAACGCCCAAATGACCGGTACATACCTAGCGCATCAGCCATGGGCTGTTGCAACACCTGCAGGAGGAGTGTTGCACACGGTCCTGGGAAATTTGGCCGTTGCAACGCGTTTTGCTCTAAAGTTCCCAAATAGGAATGTCCCCTATGTGCGTCAACGTACGCGTGTCTTGACCGAAACCCTTCGTAACTAAGTTATGCTAGTGCTTTGAAGCTTCCGCTCGTATACAGGGCAATGCACTGACTACAGCCGCACCCCGCGCAGGTCTAGTGACTCCAATATCGCTGTCTAATGGAAGTCAGGGCTTGGAAAATGCGCCTGAGCTCTCTATCGCCCACTCTCTGTCTCTCTGCTGCTGTCTGGCTGCCGCCCTCTCTCTGACACCCTTTCTCTGACATCCTCCCTATGGCATCTTCTATCTGCCGCCCTTCCCGTACTGTTTAATAAAAGTTCAGCGGTCAACATCTTCATTTCGCCCCTCCGCGCGCTGCCATGTTACTTCTGGCAAAGCGAGTTTTCTCGATATTTGTGTCCGGTGCAGCACGGAGAAGTATATGCCTCGGTACATCTCAAGTAGCTCCCACCTCCACTCTGACTGACCAGTATGAGCACAGAAACTACCTACAATCAAACGATCCAAAGCGTCTTCATTTCCTTGAGAGATCGCTCCCTGATTCCATCGCATTACTTCAAGACGCACTACATGTGCTGGTCTGGTCGTGTCTTAGATCCATCAAAGAGACTCAGTGACTACGGATTGGGACCATGCTGTACTCTGCAGTTACGATGTCGTGTTGCGGGAGCTGGACAAGGTACCATAATCTATCAGACACAATTTGTGCTATCATATTGACTAAGGTATTTTAGATGATCAAACGGATGCGACGATTGCCAACTCATCGCTACTACAGATGTTCTCGCGGAGACGTCGGAATCAAGTCAGCAGAATGCAACCCACACGACAATTGGTTCCAGATCCAAGCTCGTCCTCGCGTCCAACTTTGGTACCGTCGCTCACTGCTGTTGGGCGGGGATCTGCCGGACTCAGCCTTAGCAAGGACACGCTTCGCCTTCATCTCGCCGCTCCTAATCTGCCGACCCCTACGCAGGAAGGCATACCTCAGGCATCTATTCTTGATTACTTGCCAGAGGTTGACTTCGAAATGGGCGATCCAGCCCCTGTTATGGAGCCACCACCCGTGCAGCGTCGCACAAGGAAGGTGAGGCGCATTTTTGTTTAACCTATCAAATTTTATAACTCAGTGGCAACCTCGCCCAGCCACCACACCAGGATTTCTTCGCGCTACGTCACACATACCTGCAGGAGATGATACGCCTTGAAGGTCGGGGCAGCCATATGCATGATAAGGAGTGTCCTCGATGTCAATCACCGGATCCTCGGTATCGATGCGTTGACTGTCACGGAGGAATACTCTACTGCGAAGGGTGCATGGTTGAGAAGCACAATGAGGCTCCTCTTCACCGCATCAAGGTATTTCCGCTCTTTTCTCTCCGTACTAAACATTTGATTAATGGACTCAAACGGCAGGTTTGGAATGGGACGTTCTTCGAGCCGAAGTCCCTCAAAGCTATGGGGCTTCGCGTGCAGTTAGGACACCCGCCTGGCGTCCATTGCAATAACCCCAAGCAGGCATATGCTGATGACTTCGTCGTAATTGATACCCACGGTGTTCATCAAGTCGGCGTCGACTTTTGCCAATGCGAGACCACCCATAACGACTATCAGCAACTGCTTCGTGCTGAATGGTTCCCTGCATCCGTTTCTGACCCAAAGACTGCCGCCACCTTCCGCGTGCTGGAGAGCTTTCATCTTCTTTCCTTGGAGTCAAAGTCTTCAGCTTATGAGTTCTATCGATCTATCTCTCGGGCGACCGATAATCTCGGTATCTTGGAGAAGAAGGTGCGGAAGCTCACCCCTATGTCGTTGTAGTTCTGTGGCTCAATAACATCATACAGGACCGGTATGATAACTTCCTTGTCATGGTGCGCCAGTGGCGCCACCTCAAGATGCTCAAACGGACGGGAAGGGGACATGTTAGCGAAGACCTTGAAGAAACACCCGAGGGAGCATGTGCTGTACAGTGCCCAGCATGCCCCCATCCAGAGAAAAACCTTCCCGATGGTTGGCAATCCGCACCGCCTCACAAACAGTAAGCTTTACCTGCCTCGTTTTTCTCTTCCACAACGCTGACCACACAAAAGATGGTTATACGGGCTTTTTCTTGCAATAGACGCCAATTTCCGTCTGAAGAGGAAAGCGGTATCACGAGAAGAATTGGATCCAAGCTTCGGAGACGGTTGGGCGTATTTTGTCAAAGAACAGCCGTTTCAAGACTGGTTGGCGTCACAGCCTGATCCGCCCCACGCCGTACGTATTTGACGCTCATACATGTCATACATCATCTAATATCCCCTTAGCGAAGTTCCTGTTCAAACCACAAGGCCGTAAACATGGCGAATACAAAGTTCGCTCGTGGACTCGCTGTGACAGGAGTGGGCACGGTGGATTGTGCACGGCATAACATGAAGCTTCCCTGTGGTGTGGGCAACTTGATTGCAGGAGAACGGTGCGTAATGACTTTATTGGCTCGGACAGGATCTCTGACCTAATTGCAGGTACAACGTCATGGATTACATACTTTTCTCAACACTTCGATGGGCTCAGCTTCGTGTCTTCAAGATTTCCTACGATATCTGCTGCCAGTGGTTCAAGAACTTATGGGCTCGAGCGGCAAAGTTACCTGAACACCTTGCGTTCAGTCCTTTTGGCCGGATCTTCCACTTCCTCGTTCCGAAATTCCACCTTCCCGCCCATATTCTCAGCTGTCGCACTCGCTTCTCATTCAACTTCACTCCAGGTGTCGGTCGGACTGATGGCGAGGCACCCGAGCGGGGCTGGGCGAATATCAACCCCGTAGCATCCAGTACCAAAGAAATGGGGCCTGGTCACCGAAAGGATACACTCAACGACTTTTTCGGCGACTGGAACTGGAAGAAGACCACTGGCCTGGGCCTCGAGCTCAACAGAAAGCTATCTGTTGCCTTTGTCAAGCGCGCTGATCACCAGGAAGACTTCATGGATATGGAACGTACCCTTCCTCAGCCCAGGCTCGTGGAATGGCGCAAGGATGTGGAGGCCTGGGAGAACGGTCAGACTGAACCTAACCCTTTCGAGAGCCGGGTACAAAGTAAGTCCCAGTCCGCGCGTGATGTTTACTGCTATGGGCTTACAACACGAACAGAGCCAACGCAGCTCTCAGTCCGCCTTGAGCTCGCCAAGCGGGAAGCCAAGGAACTCGCAAAAGGAATGCCGATCACGCACTCGGAAATCACGCGCGGGGTACTTATCGCTGCCGGTATAGATATTGAGGACCTACAACGGCGGCTCCGGGCAGAGCGTCGCAGCGTCGGCCAGAATGCTGTTGACCATCAAGTCAAGGTACAGAACCGCGCCAACACACTTCAAATTAGAATCGAAAACTGGACCAAGGCTCAAGTACTACACATGCCATCTGTGGTCATGCTGCGATCCAGCCGGCATACGTCATCCAAACCCGTTAACCCTGAGTCTATTACTTTGTTTCTCCCGTCTCAGCTTCCTCCTAGAGCAACATGCGACCTGAAGCTCCGCGAGATCGAGTGGGACTTGAGGGTATCTCAGGCTCACGATGCACTCAGCGACCTTAGACAGACACTGCAGTATCGATACTACCTCTATAAGGACAAGGACCGCAACTCACGCGGTCAAGGAGCTAATACTCGCGCGCTCAACATAATTGAATCAGTCAATTCCAAGATCAAGGGTTATCAGGATACTTATCGTGACGCCTACGGTGCCCTTCTACTCCTGAAACCTATACTCCGCAAACATTCGCTTCCCTCTGAGCTACGCGCCCTTCGGGATGCTGATGTTCGGGCTATGCCGGAGGAACTTGATGGGGAGACCGAGGGCAAGCGAAGAATTTCTTGGATTTGGCTCGCGCTTCCACTCGACCCGTATGATGAGAACGATCCGGTCCTGATAGATAGTAAGAGGTCACTTCCGAGCTGTCAGATTTAGTCTACTAACTAGTATCCTTTCCAGCCATCCGAGTTGAATGGTGCAAAGCTCGGGCTCGGGCAATGCGTTGGACCGAGGAAGTTGAGCTCCTTGTTGAGGAGATGCGCCGAACAATTGCATTTTTCAAATGGCAGACAGAATGGTGGGTTTCGTATAGTGATCGGAAGACGTTGGCAGCGCCGGAAGACGAAGAGGGTAGCAGAGCATATGCGCTCCGACAGGCTAATAGTCGACGCGCTCTGGCGTTGAGTTTCACGTCGAAGTGGACAAAGTCTCTTGCAGTAATTCACGGACATAATAGTACGAGCAAAGAAGCACATTGCTGATACCGCACAGTAGCTACAGTAAAGAATCATATCATCATGAAAAAATGTTCGACTCTACAGCAAGCCGACATGTTATATTGTTAATGAAGCATGATCCATACATTGTACCTCGAAGAAGTTGTTGCAACAGACTTGGCGGGCTATCGATCTGCCGAGGCGACGGATCCGATAAGAAGTGTTGCAATAGACTCGCGATCCATTGCATGATCAATAGACCAAAGGGCGTTGCAACAGACTCGGAGTTGGTCTATCGGTGTGACGGATCCGGTGAGGAGCGTTGCAACGAAAATGGCTTTGCTCAAAAGTAACCGAAGGCCAAGTGTTGCAACACATCCCGGACGCTATGACCCGGCGTTCTCCTTCGGGACTCAAGTACTCAGTGCTGATCCGAGTCCTAGCTTGTACTTCCGGCATCTTTATGATACTTATGTCTCAGAGACTCGGACTCGCCTCCCTGATAATGTATAACGCGTCATGTACCTCCCATCCACAGCTTCGGCTATATTCAGCTTGAAAAGAGCTAAACGAGAATGGACTATGAGCACGTAGCTGCATGTTTTATGGGGAGATAAACTTGATAACTTGAAGCTAGGAGATTAACACAGCCACATCTTCTGATTCTGTTGCAGCGCCCGTAAATCTGTGCATTGCAACGGTCTATACTGGACAGCTCACACGGGACAGGAAGCAGCTAGTGTTGCAACGCCTCTGTACTACAGTCAGAGGAAAGTTGCAACAGTCTGCCAGGAGCTGGTGACGTGACAGTGATTACACAAAGTAAACATGTTATTGAGATCTATGTTATATTGAGCAGCATTACTCGGAGTGTAAGCTAAAGTACGTATGCATGTCCTTAAACACGTTCAAGTAGAATGTATTACATAGATCTAATACAGTATGCGAAGCCCATTCTGACGGAACTGCACGTCCCCACTTTGGAATTAAGTGCACGCTTCGCTCAACGCGGTCTAAAGGTACGACTGATACTTGTTTCTCACCATTCCGCGAGTCACGGTTGACTCGATACAATCCGGAGTTCGCCTCCGGATGCGATGCGAATGGAGTGAACCACTCGACATATGCAAGGTGCTTAGGTGGAGGTTGGTCCGGTAGAAAGAGTTGATGTATAGACGCCAGGGGGATAGAGAAAATCACCTTGACTTGCGCAACACGAAGGTCTAGAGTAGTTCATTCAGCACATATAATAACTAGCCTGAATGAAATCAGCTTACTGTGAATACCGGCATCTGGACTGTCTCCAACGCGGACTAAAACAGTGTCAAAACGCGCTGGGGATATGGTGGTTCCATGGTTGCTGTACTTAGGCGGCTGAACATGGACCGAGTCGATTGTTTCGTTGCCGTAGTGCTCGTCGTTATGGAACTTGACCCGGTGGAAGACAGGAATAGATGTGAAGGGGATGCGAACGTCAGTAATGAGGGTTTCGACCTGGTTCAAGGTGAGGGTGGAGTCACGGAAGCGAACAATGAAACGAGCAAGGGCAGCAGAGAAGAGGGCTGCATCGTAGTGGGAAGCGGAGGTGATGTCGTCGAGGGTAACAGAGGGGCGCGTTGGGTGCATCGTCATCTTCTGGTGAAGAACGCACGCCATATCTGGCGGATGCCATCGCAAGCCGTTGCCGGGCGCAGCAATAGCACTGCCTCGTTCCTCACCAAGCGCTCGCCAGCTGAGATATTTTGAGTAAAAGACGATTTTCTCTTGACGCTCGAGCCATTTAGTCATCTGGAAGAACTCATCTTTGTGATTGGTGGCAGCGTATGCGTCCTTTGCAAAGTCGATATGGAGCCGCTCCGTCGATTCCGTGTTGAAGTTGTCTGTGGTGCCGAAAAGCTCGATCGCGCGCACATAGTGTTGGAGGACATGAAGCTTTGGGATGATGAAGTGCACTCGTACCCCAAGTCTCACAAAAATGTCCTTGTGGGCGTGAAATTCGGTCAGGGACTGTTCGAGAGCGTTGATTGTGTTGGTAGAGTGAACGGGGAACTGCGCTATGTAGAGGAAATCTAACAGACTCCGAGTAGCGCGCAATAGACTTGAGCGGTGGTGGTGTGGGATGGGGGCGTCAATGATAAGCCCAAGCAGGAGACGCGAGATCTGCTTGTGCTCAGCACCACTGATACGCGACAGCGAAGTGATCCCTTTATGGAAGACCCGGATGTTGTGGTTGGGTGGAAATCGACGCGTACGAGCATCAATTTCAGTCGCCCCGCAAGCAGTGATAAGCCAAGATTTGAGATGCTTGAAGACTCCCTGATAGAGCTGGTGAAGGATATCGGGTGTAATCGACTGGAAGATGTTGACAAATGGAAGCCGAAGCCAGAAAGGCTCTTGTATAGCCTTCACGTTAGCATCGCGGCAGGCGGCAGAAAACGCGTCAGAACCACAAAGGTCGAATGCTGAGATGACGCGCGCAGGATCACGCGGTGGGGACGGAGTAGGATAGTCGCCGAGGGAATTGTGGTTGCAGTCACATATGGGACATGTGCCGGAGTATGCGGCTGTTACGAGGCACTGCTCGGGGTAATCCCCGACGTAAGCAGCAAGAATTGGATGACCTCGTCGAGTAACCCCATCGCCACTTGTGACGGCGATGCCGTTGATACCAGCATCTCGAAGAGGCTCAGTGATATGGGACATACAAGCATGAAACATGTTAGCAAGCACCCGACGTTTGGCCGACTTGTTGGTGATATGCTCAAGGCGTGATGTCGGGAGGTATGCAAGGAGAATCTGGCCCTGACGACTAGGTTTGCGACGTATGGATTTGGGGAGATTTCCGATTGTGAGATAGACAGGATATGCCGTCTTGTTCCGGAATAGCGTGATCTGAGTTTTGTCGGAGGATAGAATGACTGGGATGATGGTTGCACCGGGTTTCTGCTGCTCAAGGACCTCCTACAATGCTACTCAGTTTTGCCTGAACACGGGGGATTGAAATGGACGAGGCTTACCTGTGTACTCCACCACCACTTGCCGGTCTGCATATCATGATACAGACGCTCGCTCTCAGCCTTGTCTGCCGTCGCATAGTGCTGTTCGGGCTGAAAACTGAGGTATTGTGCATGCTCAGGATCACCATAAAGTGCACGTATGCATTCGAGGATATCCCGAGAGAACATGTCAAAGCTCTCATCTCCCGCCACAATGTTACTATGTGTGAATGCCGGGCGAGGAGCGGGAATGGAGTTGTCAATGATCGCATTGAGCTCAGGGGCGTTCTTGTAGGAAATGTCAAGGGCATCTGAAACCTAGAAAACTATCAGGTTTTGACAACATGACACGGTTTGTGGACGTACTCCAGGAATTGCTAACAGCTCTGAAAATGCGGTAGAGCTTGGCCCACGCATTTTTGCCCATCTCGCAATCTCCCAGTCCATCTGAGATAGAAATGGCGCCCACATGTTCTGCGAGTTGGGATCGCGCGTGTACTCCTGGAACGTGGAACCGGGCCTTGACCCAATGGGTGCACCTGCACGGCCTCCAAACGACTTGACAAAAACTTGGGGCTGACGCAGGCGCTCATCCGCAGCATGGTCGGCATGACGTGCAGCCGATGTTGAGGCTGAAAGATCTTCAGAGTCTTGTAGTTCCTCCGAAACGGAGGCTCTGAAAGTGGCCTCCTCACGAGGGAGTTCCCAGTCGGGGGTAACAGGCCGTGAGTCAGGCTCTTCCTCACTATCGGATGCGTCAACTGGGAAGGGAAACTCATCCTCTTGGTAGTTGTTGCCAAAAAAAGTCGCCCTCGAACTGGCTTAGGGACGGCTCTCCAGGTTCCGTCTCAAGAACAGTGTTGGGTCGGTGGGCGTTGTCCTGTTGTGGACGTTGTCGCATTGCGGGAGGTTGGAATTCCGAAGGGTGTTCTAATTCATCATTAGCCTGAATGCACTCAGGCTTGGCTGTTTTGCGGAGGTGGTGTAGCAAATCGGCTCTCCTCCGGAACAGGCTCTTGCACCCGGGGCAGACATAGGGCATGTTGGGTGGTAGATGTGAGTAGAACACGCACGAAATGCAATAACCAATGTACGGAGACAAGTTGGTGGTGGCGCCAATGTGACTCAGCGCTGATATCAACTAGTCCTAGTCTGGCTTGCCGGAATCTGAGTAAGACCATAGCCATATGTTCAGTTGTTTCCCGGTTTTCGGAATATGAATAAGACTTTCTCCATATGCTTGTTGTTTGCGCCTCAAAGTCTAGTATGACTGTTCCATTTCAGCCCTTTGTGCACCGGCGAACAGTCTTCAGCTCACCTGCGTTGGATACCATTCCTCCTTGCTTCCTTCACCACACCGTCCTCCTGACAAACTACGCTTCCGTTCATGGGTGGGCCAAACCTAAGTCGGTTGACACGTTCACGTCAAGGCCAGCCCTCAGCGGCAACCAGCGACGTGCCTCCAGGCCTGCAAGCCGAGTCAGAAGTAGCCCGTCGTAAGTAACATGGAGTGACCTTCTCTGATAACAGAACTTTGCTTACCTCTGGGATCATTAGCGTCGAGAGCAACCAAGACCGAGCTACTCAACAACCCGAGTCAGGTGACAATCCTAGTCAGTCTTTTCCAAAACCTTACGTTTTTATTCTAGCCTGGGTGAAAAAGACCACAACCAAGGGGAGGAAGGGTAGAGTCCAGTCTGCAAATGTGAAAGACACAGCTGGTTCTCTGTCAGGAGTCAACGACACCGCCAAAAAAAGAAAACGTGGCCAATCTTCTGCCACGCCTGATCAGCGTGAAGGTAGGAATTGATCAGATTACGATCCCACTAAGCTGTGCTGATGTTTTTGCCAAGTGAGCGCCGCTGCTGTGCCCAAAAGTCAGCAGAGACCCCCCAAGCGATCCAAGAAGGCGGTTGCACCAACCTATCTCATGCCGCAGGTTAATGGTGATGAGGGAGATGAGAGTTTGTTGCAAAGAATCTCGTCGGAGCTTCTTGACGATGAGCTGAGCTCCACTTCTGAGTTTGGGCAGACGTCAGACTTAGACACGGATGAGGGCCTAGTCGAAGATAAGGATGAGCTCATACCAGCAAAGCAGCTGCGATATGAAGTTAGATGACATTATTTCTCTGCTTTTATTATCAATAAACTGACCGCAGACTTGCTTTAGGCTGTTCGTGTTGTCAGTACCAAAGGACATGGGCCCGACTCGGAGAAACGTACAGATTTGAGAGTACCTCCGCCTGCAACCGTGACTGAGAACTTAGCAGTCGAAATCTCTGCTGGGGCACAGGTAAATGTTACCAACATTATCGGTTACTACTATAGCTGGCTCACCTATACGCATAGCTGACGGGGCATCGCCGTACGAAGCTCGAGAATGAAGTGAGTGTTTGTCCTTTCGGTACTTAGCCGTCAATTTACTTCACGTTGCGTAGCTCCCCAAGGTGCTTGAGGGTGGCCAGCGTGAGAAAGGATCGTGGATGCGCGGGTCTGCCTCAAGTACTCATGATCGTGCCAAAGACGAGTATCACGATGGCAACAATGACTCGGCCGACAACCACCCTCAGCCATGGCTCCCGCGCACGAAGATCTTCCTTAAATTCGCAAATGAGGATAACCAGTCAGGTGTCTCAATCGGCCTCAAGAGGCAGTCACCCTTCATACAGAAGGTCATTCAAGGTAGCATCCTGGTGGCAAAAGAGTACCTGGTCATCGGCACCGAGACGTTCGACGCTGATGTAGCTAAGGCGGAAGGGCTAGGTGTGGCTGATTACGTTTTTAGGCCAATGACACCTCGCGGCCTCGAGGAAATTGCGCTTCAAGGCCTGATTACTGAGGCACATAATCTTGGCTCTGGTGGCCACCTTGACGTCGGTCACCGCCTCAAGGACGGCTCATTCAAACTCTACCAACAGCCGTTCAGTGCCTATGTGAGTCCTCAGCTACTCCCCTTGTATTCTTGTCTGTTTACTTCTCTCATAAGACGGCGGACCGGCTTGGTACCGCCCGCTGCAGCATCAAGAAAGCTGCAACCATCATTGCCCCTCGCATCCTGAGGCTCAGCGGGATGTCTCGGATGGACATATCTCAGCTGTTGTTCACTCAGGGTTACCTCTTCCCCCCCTCGTCTTCGGTGCGGTGATCCTGTTCATGTCGGTGAACCTAACTAATTGTAGTTCATACCAGACAGGGAATGCTGACCGGCTCCGCCCATTCGAGAACATCGTCATTGCTGAGGTCGTCAAGGACGCGTTCTTTGCCCCACGCACCCAGCATAACAACCTGGGCCTCAAGTTTGCCAGTAAACTCCCATCTCGCCCAGGCAATCGCCCGTCCCAGCCTCGTAAGACTGAGGCCACCGCCTCGATGGTGGTGCTCGCATCGGTTGCAGTAGGAAACCCCATTAATGACTTATTGTTATGCCTAACATCGTTATATTCTAGGTGGCTAGTGCTATTGAAGACTTTCTTCACTCGAAGAACACCGAGTTTGCTGGGGAATCGCTTCAAGGCTTGTATGAACAACAGCTCCAGCTGCTTTCGGACCTGCAGAAGAAGAAACCCAAGGTATTTCATCGTGTCATGCATGATATATATCGCTTTGCCATGTACGTCGTTTTATTCAGCGCAGTATTTGTTCTTTTCTTCGACTCCAGTGCTAATGTTGCTTATAGGGGGATCGAAGACTCTCATTCTCAAACCAACGTCACGGCAGCTTCAGAACAGATTCTAGCTGCATCTGAGCTGATCACCGACGACCAGTGGAACAGCATCCCAGATGAGTAAACAACAGCTTCCTTCGCCGACGTTGTGTATTCCCTTCCCGCTCTCTTCTCATCTTTGCTCATCTGTTTATTATACTCCTATCGCTCTGTTCTCATTTCTATCCTTCTAATTAGTGCATTACATTCTTGTATGTATCTCCCACCTCGTCAGACGTCCTCGTTCATTACCTAATATCACCAATGTTTACACTACATTATATTTCCGGCGAATGATAATTGTTTTCCGTTCTTCGCAAATCGATGGGAAATGGTTGGGATCTCTGAGGTTTTCCGTCTGTTTATTCATAGGGGACCATGGATTGTTAAGGAATCGGCGTTTCTTGAGATCTCTAGTAAATCCCAGAGATATCTGCTAATTTCTCAGAAAATCTACACTCAGGGTTTTCCTGATGCACTTCTCCTCCTTCATACAGCACGGAGACACGCGGCGACCAGGCAGGTGACATCAGCTCCGCAGTACCATCCAGCAGGTGCTGCAAGTGCGAGCCCAAGGCTCCGAGTCGTGGTCAAACCGCGTCTTCTTCGACTGCGTCCGCCCCGACGAACAAAACACCTACTCTCCAAGCACAGCCTCAGGCTCGCTCTCAACCTCAACCTCAAGCCGCATCCCAGCCCCGTCCAGCAGCGCAAGCTGCAAACACCGGCGCAAGTACCCGCCAGACGAACTCTCCACCGCAGTCTCCGCGCACGTCCCCGCCCAGCACCCAGAACCAGAGTGGTAACCAGAGCCACAACCAACGCGGCGCTAATTCCTATACTCGAGCTCAAGGCGAAGGCGGCATCTTCCATGGCCCCGACGGCTCCGTCAACATCGTAGGCAACGGGCTTGTCTACGGGTGCACCTTCCCCGCCTTTGATGGGCCGGCCTTTGCCGGCGCAACGGTCCAACGCGGCGGACGCGGTAATGTTGGAAGCAGTAAGTATTCCGTTGTTTGTCCCTGCCTAAATAACATACTAAAGGATGTGTCGCATGTAGCATACCACGTTAACGCTGATAGACACGGCACCGTCGTCAACGAGCGCGTCTATCCAGGATCGGATGGTAATAACTCCCGCTCCGAGTCGAACTTTTTCTCGAACGCCGGTGACGGGCCTCATAATTGGCAGGCGGCGAGCAACACGGTCCAGATCGGTGGTTCGGGCAATGTGGGTAGCACGGGTAGGTCCCTTTTTGTGTTGGGCGGAAGTATGTGCTAATTGTGATGGCTTGCTTCGCTTTAGTGGTCTATACCTACAACCACTGAACCCACTGAATGTCAAGGATTGCAGAACTCACCTCGGACAGGAATCGAGTGGTGGTGGCTATCAGAACGTACAACAATATGAACTGCTTTGCCTTTCCTTTTATGATGTTCCTAAACCTTTGACCAATTTATCTCGCGGCGACAGAAAATCGAAACGTCCATCTTAATATACCAAATCCCGAAAGACATATGTCCCGATTACACACTGGCATAATACAACAGCATCGTGTATATACCAAGTAACCCAGCATTAAACTCAAAACACCTTCATTCACGCGAAATAAATACCTATAGCAATCGAACAGCTGACAACTGCAGTGCTTCCAGACGAGAACAAGCTTAAGCCCACTCCCAGGTCATACCGTGGAGGCGCCCGGCAGACTCCGAAGCGAGGTGCTGGAATGCGCTGGGAGATAAATCGAGGCTCGTCGTCGCGCACCCCGTGCAGCGGTCCGTGACCTCGACGGCCACGCTCTTTCCGCCATCTGGGTAATTCAATTAGTACCATGCCATGACTCATGCTCGATTGATCTAAAAAGAAAGCGAAGAAATGACTAACAGTGCATGTTAATCTTCTTCCCGCAGACGGGGTTATCGTTCGGGTTCCCGTCGCTGTAGCCAGGGTAGGTGTCGAACAGGGAGTGCGAGACCGCAGCGATGAAGTCTGTGTTCTTGTTCACGACGCCGCATGCGCCCAGGCCGGTTTGGTACCAGGTCGCTATGTCGCGCCATTGGCGCGTTAGGTATGCGAATGCGGGCGCAACATAGTTTGAAATGAACGCACCATCACCGGTCTGAACACCAGACATGTACGACGGGCTTGATTGCGCATCGGCAGTGGCAAGGTTGACGGGGATGGCGACGGCGTTGGCAGTAGCGGCGAGGGCGAAGAAAGCGAGAGTTTTGGATACGAACATGTTTACTCGGGTTTGTTGGGAGTTTTGTGAGAACCAATAAAGAGCGACTTGGTGAAGGAGTGGAAGGGAAGCTTCGTTGAAGCGACGAAAGACCGAGAAGTCGAGGATGTGAGGAGAAAAAGATGTCGATACTCTCCAAGACAAAATCGCTTTTTTAAATGCGGGAGCTCGAGACATATTTGATCGTGCCTTACCACGAAGGCTATCAATGCCCGCGCTTAGCTCAACGTTGATGCACGGGAGATGAGCACGCCGGGGAAGCGTGCAGCCCCGACCTGCCGCTGGTATCATCGCACCGACCCCGCCGGCGCCTTAGTTTGATGGTGGGCGCATGTCGGACATGGAGAAGACGCTGCTGCACAGCCGTGAAAGACGAAAAGCCAAGTACGTGCCCTCTGGGGACTTTGTATTCAGCGACGAGATAGCTGCACCGTGTTGCTCGAGGAATGGAACTTCTGCTTGCTGGATTCAGGGGAGCAGATCAAGTACACAAACGTTGGCAACTACATGACCACCAGTACCTTGAGATGGTGCGTCTTAGAAGCTGTTGCTAAAACCCTGAAGTACGTAAACTCACACATCGGCCACGCGCTGACGGTGTGCTCCGCCGGTAGCATCGGGTGCCTCGATGCTATTACGCCTATCGGATGATCCTTTGAGTTAGATCCGCGAGAAACCCACTCAGAATCACCGGTCCAATGAATACTTTTAGCTCTCACCCTCCGTTGTTTATCGGTGTTCATCGACGCAGAAGGCCAGAACCTGATGACCAAGGACGACTGCTGCATATGTCACATTAAACGTCAGTGGCATGTTCGCCGCCACAAGTGGACACAAGATCCTGCAACATAAGCATTTTCTGTACGATAAGCTGATCTACTTGCCCAGGCAGACGGTCGACATTGTGTTTAGGTCCGCGTTGACGTTGAGTACTCTCAGCGCTGAGCACAAGCGTTGGGCTAAATGACGGCGCCTCGCCGTCACGGAATTTGCCACCGGAGTTTCAAGTCTCCGCCACTCGTGAACATGTGCTGAAGCGTTGACGCGTTGACGGTTGACTCTGACTCTAGGACTCCGACATGTCTCGAGCGATCTCTAGAGTTGACGCGTGACATTGGACTCGGAAATTGTAGCGGTTCACTCACCTTGTTCGCCGTCGACACTACAGGCGTACTTTGCTACGAACACCCAGAGAAAAACACGTGCAGCCAAGCGGACCGAAAGCCGACCCTCCCTAACAAACCTTGTTCACGACTCACAAAGCAAACCGGAAGATGGACTCGAGTACAAAGGACATAAATACAACGACTCGAGCCACGTGTGTCATCTTGGGACCAGTAGCGCGATGCCGTATCCACATCTAACGCCATCTCGGGCATGTTTCTTGTGTCTAGTCACCATCTGACGCCATCTTAGTCTGGTCTCGTGTTTGCCTCTGACGCCATCTCAGGCGCACCTTGTTCTAATATCTACGATACTTAAGCAATACCATGCGCGCCGTCTTGGTAGGACCACTGCCTCCATCCCCCTTCACTCCCTCTCCACGTTACCCATCCTCCCCCATGGCTTTGCGAGCACCGGTGCCACTGTACCCTAGCCAGCTTCCGCCGCCCCTCCATTCAAGTTCGCTGGCTGCACTCACCCAGCGCAAATGGAACGTCCCCGCCACTGTACTCCCTCGCACGCTCCTGATCGCGATCTTCAAAGACTATCTCGACTGGGCCTTTGAGCAGCGCAGCTCACGGTCCCCACGCCCTGACAGCGCGCAGCTCATGTCGGTCATCACGCACGTCTGCAGGCAGTGGCGCTACACCGCTATCTATACACCGGCGCTTTGGCGGAACGTCTCTCTGAGGTGGAGCTACGACATGGTCGAGGCGGTGCTTCTGCGGTCCGCGGCTGGGAACGTCGGGATACTCGTCGAGACTGGGCCGTCTCATGTGCACTGGGATAGATCGGCGGCGCCGAGAAGCAACGGGGCTAGAATCAGTGACCGCAGGTACACCCTGCTCGGCTGGCACATGCCGCGCGTCCTAGAGCTGCGATATCTGACTAGGTGTACGAACGTCAACTGCCAAGTGCTCGGTGATCTGCTACGGAATGCGGCTAGTCTGGTGTTTCTCACTTGCAATCCTCCCCGCGGTCCGACGGGAGATCTGTCTGTCATCCGGCTTCCGCCCCATTTTCCGCGTACGGTTCTCTATCTAAACCTCATCGGGTGCAACACGCTCTGGAACGGGATTCCAGTGAACTTGCACATGCTGCATTTCTCTTCAAGACAGTCCACGGGAGATCTGCCGACCTTACTTGGAGTCCTTGGAGTCCTACCATACCTCCAGGTTTTGACACTGAAATGTGCCTTACCCTCAGTGGACGACACATCGCTCACGGATCTACCTCTCGTGGACCTGCCACGCCTCAGGGAGCTATGCTTGCTCGACACCGTCGAACGCTGCAACGCCTTTGTGTCCTGCATAAACGTCCCGGCCCATGCCAAAGTCCTCGTGAGCGTCCGCCAGATCCCCTCAGACCTGCCGACAAACGCTACCCCCGCCGAGGTCCTTCGCTCATTCATGCCGATTCTAGAGACATACTGGCGCGCCTGGAGCGCAGCGCAAAACACGCGCCCTCGCCCGTGCCTATCCATGCGCCCGTCCTTCGTAAAGCTCTGGAACACACAGGGCCGTCCCGTGTTTACGCCCAGCCTCCGCGTGCAATGGGGTCCGCCTACGACGTTCATCCCCTGGACGGAGACGATTCTGGCTACGCACACCGATGTTCCCCATCTGCAGTTTTGCGTGGACATTCCGTTACCGTTCTATAACCCCGAGTTTCGGACGGCGGTGATCTTTGAGCTCCTGGGCGAGCTGGAACAAGATAGCTTTGGTTACAAAGATATCCCGGATCTCGTTGAACACATGTCGTTATCCATCGCTCCGAAGACCTGATGCAGACGTTGGGGCGTCTGGTGTGTGGAAGCGACGTACCGTCTCGCGTTTGTTCACCCAATTCAACGATTTTTGTACTAGGTCGTCGTAAACAGTTTCCCGATGTTTGTGCGCGATCTTTTCTAATATAGTCGTTTCGTGGATACCTTGTTCGCCCATGAGGGCGCCTTCATAAAATGTCGACACCCTCGGCATCAGGGTATCGAACGCGAGCGAACACTGAAGAACATGGTCGCCTATACAGAAAACGGTCAAAGCCCGTCGGAGGGCTATCAGTTGACTACAGGCAGTCTTCGGTGATGGACTTGCAACCGCGACGAAGACTTCGGAGCTCTTCGGAGGTGTCAGACAAGAATTTGTGCTGGCACTTGTGGTCTGCAGACACTTTTCGCCTCAGTTCACGTCTAGCTTTCAATGAAACAAGCTGAAACGTACGCTGGCATCATCATTTGACCTTCATAGATCACAGACAGAGCGCACCAAGAGCACACAGCACAGCAGACGCCGGCGAGCTATCGTGCCCCCACCGCGTTGGAGTGGGGCCGGCAAGCTAACGTTTCAAACTCCGCGGCACATGGGTGCGACGCAGAACGTTCGGGGTTCGGAAGCTGGTTGCATCTTTCGTTGGCCTATTTTGGACTAGAAAACGTCTTGGCGCGATGACTACCTCTCCCTAGATGTCCTCAGTACCAATCTCCTTTGTTCTTTGGCCGCCTGGTATCTCCTGGTGTTCAGCTTTGAGGCTCTCATACGACTTCTTTGGCTAAAGATGTGCCTAATGACGTCGTTTCTAACGCCGAACGGGTTCTGTCACTCCGTGGGGTCTGTCAAAAGACGCGAATCATCCATCACCGTGTACCCTCAACGCCAAGAGGCCAAGAGGCCAAGAGCGCGACCGTCGAGACACCATGACGATGCTCGCCCCAACACCTCGCAAACATCCATGTCTCTCCCAGTCGTCTTGAGCTGGCATTGCGCTGCGGATGCTTCCTGAGGTGGAGTCGCCATTCACGGACCCTTGGTGGACCCTACGCTCAGAACAAAGGGATCGCTACATCGCTGCGGTCTTCACTCCAACATCTCGATCGGTGGAGTACTCATAGTCGAACCAAGGTGGTCGACAATAACCTCGGTAGCGCCCCTGCTCGATCGAGGGCGATGATAACATCCCAAGGTTCCTGTGCTCGTTCCCCGAGAAGCATATGTTAGCGTTGACGTCGTTCTATGTCAACTCAATGTCACCCATACAGAATTGTGCCTGGCTTCGTGGCCCCGCCGCGCCAAGCTATTTTGCCAGCAGACACTACGCCTCCCCATGCACCGCCGTGCCTTGCGATTGCAACCTCTCTAGCAACTCGGTCATGGTACGAAATTCGTATAAAAGGCCTTGCCAGTTCGCCTCAGAACTTCAGAACACAGTTCCACTCTCAACTGTCTCTTAACCTCTCTCACAACCTTCCTACTCATTCATCATGATGAAGACTGCCATCGTCGCTGCTTCCCTCGCTCTCGCGTCCGGCGCTGCCGCTCGCTCCATCACCGTCACCAACAAGTGCTCGTACACCGTCTGGCCCGGTGTAAGTTTCCGTTTGAAGACTCGCTTTCTTTCCTGTGCTGATCCTGTCGTTTTTAGCTCTACACCGGCTCCGGTGACGCCCCCGCGCAGGCCACCGGCTGGGAGGCCGACTCCGGCAACACCGTCACCTTCGACGTCCCCGACAACTGGACCGCCGGTCGCATCTGGGGTCGCCGTGAGTGCGACTTCAGCACCAACCCCGGCCCCAACTCCTGCGTTGACGGTGGCTGCAACGGCGGCCTCCTGTGCACCGACCCCGGTGTCCCCCCCGCCTCGCTCGCCGAGTTCACCCTGAACGCCAACAACATGGACTACTACGACGTCTCCCTCGTCGACGGCTTCAACATCCCCATGGCCATCGACAACACCGCCGGCTGCTCGCAGGCCTCGTGCCCGGTTGACCTCAACCCCAACTGTACGTCTCCTCCCTCCCTCCCTTTTCTACACCACTTCCTTCTCCATCCTAACCTCTCGCCTATCATCCAGGCCCCTCCGACATCGCCGGCCCCACCGACAGCTCGGGCGCCGTCGTCGGCTGCAAGTCCGCCTGCTACGCCAACCTCGACGGCAACCAGGCCGACTCCGCCAACTGCTGCTCGGGCTCGCACAACACCGCCGCGACGTGCCCCCCGTCCGGCGTCGCGCACTACGACTACTTCAAGAGCAGCTGCCCCAACTCGTACGCGTACGCCTACGACGAGTCCTCCGGCACCGCCCTCTGGACCTGCGCGTACAGCGCCAGCACCGACTACACCGTCACTTTCTGCCCTTGAGCGGGGTACAGTCGGACGGTTTCGACGCCTCCGGGTGAGGACGACGGAATAATATGAAGGAAGGAGTTGAGGAGACAATACCATGGGATTTGCATGTTCTATACCATCGGGTTGTAGTAAAGGATATTTATCGGGTTATATATTGTAACGTTGCGGAGAACTTGTCGAGTGTGCTCAAGTGTCAGAATCGAGTCGGACCCTCCGCTCAGCGGGGTACAGTCTTCTGTTTTATTTTGGGCGTGAGGCAGACACTCGTTTGCGCCATCGTTCACCGTTCCACCTTCCAATGTGCTGTCTGCCTTGCCGTTTCGCATGATCGGCCGTTCAGGTTTGTTAATCAACAACTGAGGCTGAGCCAGTGATGATCCATGCTCGCCGGTGCCATGAGAAGAAAGGCATTCCGCAGTGTTATCGTCCAAAGGCCCCTGCTCCACCCTACGTCTCCGAATATAATCTCGCCGAGGCTCCCTGTTAACAACTGCCTACCCGTTTTAGAGTTTTCAGTAAATTTAAGCCAAAGCAAAACGTATTCAAACGGGGATTCGTTTCTTCTTCCTTCAAGCGCGTGTTTATACCCTTCTTAACCCAACGGTACATGTTTTTTGCAGTGTCCATTAGAAAAATACACGCGGACCGCCGCTATGCAGCTTCCTGGCTGATGCTAGATGAATTTGTCTTTTCATATTTTAGTAATTTGATCATACACTCGTCCAAATACCAGTCGGACAGTCCTTTATGCTGTACTGAGGTGCTATAAATGGGACACATGTGTGAACGATGGTCAAGTGTGCGTGTGCATGTGAAGCCCCAAGGTCTTATAGCGGTGGCGTCGAGTCATTTGAAGCTAGATATTCGCAATCTGGTAGCTGGAAAACTCAGAAAAGCAGGCTCATCACGACTTTTCCCGATCGACCCGGTCTGTGTTCAATATTCAAATATTCGCACGACATCATCGAACAACACGCAGATGGATCCTTTGGGTCTTTTGAGCCGGTGCCAGAGTGCTAAAGCTCCAAGTACGCTCTCGAGGGTGAGGCCTTTCCAGTTGAAATTATTCGTTGTAACCAACGTCCCAGCGAGTGTCCGTCGGATCTCAGGCTACACATCATGGGCCATGCGCATGGGAATGATTGTAACTGATCATTCCGTGTTTTAAGAGAGAACGTACACATGATGGCTAGTGTCGTGTCAAAGGCTTGGCCTAGTAGTAAGCAAGAGTCAAGCAGCCATGGATTAGCGAGGTAGAAAGCATACATATGTCAGTGCTTCGTTGGCAAGGGACTCACATCTATTCACAGTTAGTGATGTACAACACGTCGTGTCAGGAAAAGAAAACTCACATTGTAAATGTTTTTGGCACGCTGGAGCTATTGCCTGTTCATAACCCGTGTTACATTCCCGCAACAGCCCGTGAGGACAAGAGTTGGCGATGCCTGCACTTACAGCAAAACCAATATATTCCGGCAGCGATGGAGAAGTATCGGTTCTGCGTTGCTATACATTAAGATGCGTGGTGGACAAGAGACGACTCATACGTACGAAGAAGAAGAGCAATTTCGGAAGTTTCAAGCTTGTCCCCTGGTCGTTGAAGTTTAGCTCCTTGTTATGGAAAAATGTGAGTTTGTCTAAAACGCTCACCCATAAAGCGACCTGATACATAGAAAGCTGTCAGCATGTACGGACTATTAGATGCGCACAAAGTCTGAATGATCACCTCTTCAGAGAACATCAACACTGCCCAATTGATAGAGGCGTGGTCAGAACTGAGGGACATAGCGAAGGCTACCATCGACACCATTGACTCACAAAAATCCCAAGCATACAGCGTAATGAACGCGCCTGTATTTCATGAATGCGACAGTCATTTGCATGCAGCTGAATATTTGCAGAGCATGTACATTAAACCCGGAAACTCACAGGAAACATACTGAACAGCAGTCCAAGTCTGCATCGCATCGACAAGAGCGGCCCACCCCGCCGCCTCTGTTGCTGCCGCTATCATACCTGTGGCGCTTCCGTTCACATGAAAAGACATATGTCGCTGGGGAAGGATGAGACACTTGAAGCAAGCAGCTTCTATCTGCAGGCTCAACTTTAATGGGTACTAGTCTTTATACAGGCCGAAAGGCTATGGCAAAGGAACATGATCTCTCGAAATTCCCACGTGGAATCAGCACTAGGAAAAGATATGGATCGCATCGTAGTGTCCGAACCAAAGATTTTCTAGCGAGTATCTCATGGGCCACGGCAGAAGGTCAGCAGTCTTTCGAAAATAAGCGAAGTCAGTGCAAGTGCTCACCAAGGGGGACACGAAGTCATACTTTTATATCACCTTTTCGCTATCTACTCGTTCAGTGCGTGACCGTGTTTGCTGGCCGAGCCTCTCAGCCCTTACTCATAACCGCTGATAGATCGTGCTGTTGTTATCCCTGTGACAGTTATCTTCGTGATTTGCGGCGGAATGTTCATAGGGATGTCGTTAGCCGACGCAATTATGAGTAAAGGTACGTTGTGAGCGTCCATTATTTACCACTGACTCAGGAACGCTTTCGCCTAAGTTCTGGGAGATCAAGACGGGCTGTGTGATGTCACCTATCTCAGCCTGATGGAGTATGTGTCGTGGTAAGCGCTCGTCGTATGGATGATAGGGCACTCGATCTCTCACTCTTGTCTCAGTATACCATTGATGGTTCTCGATTTTATACTCGTTTTGCTTGTCGGCGCAAAGAGCGCTAGCTACCACATGCGCGTCATGAACGCGAGCTGGACCGGCGCGAGCCTCATGCGGACCATAGCGCAAGGAACGTTTCTGTGTTACCTCAGGTAAACTCCGCACCGGCGCTCTCGATACTATCTTGACTGACTAGGGTTTGCGCCCAAGTACATTCTTCTCGACGCTCCTAGCATTCATCTTGTTTCCGATCAAACGAGAGCTTCTCCCTATTGCGGTTGGAATCTGGTTTACTCTCCTCGCTATCGCAGTCAACCGTCTCGTGCTCGGGCTGTCGCAGATAGGTCAAAATGGGGTTGATGAGGATCCGATCGCGGTCGTGTCGGTTTCCAAGAGTTTCGGTATTGTTCAGCAAGGTGACGGCGGAGGATTGGCGCTGCATATACGGCGAGCGGCGTGAGGCCATCATATAGACGACGCCTTTTGGGGTGCATTTAAAATCGCGGGGTTATAATATCGTACCTACTTACGGTCAAGTCTAATGCTCATGAGGAGTGCGATTGAGATGTAGACGCTATAGGATGAGCATCGTGGTGGTGCGGTTCTTGGCCAAGTAGAGAAGCAGAGCAAATATGAGAGCAAGGAAACTGCCGTTTCAATTAGCATTAGAACTTATACAATCCGCGTATAAGTCAGTGGCTCACAATACAACACTAGCTGTCCGCGTTCAGAACCACCTCCATCTCATTTACGTCTCCCTCCGCACCAAATACATCCGCACCCGACGCGAGCGAGTCAATGAGCAGTGCCAGCCTCGACGGCCCCAGATTAGGCTCCTATGTATGGCAGAATGGTTAATAGGAAGAGTACAGGAGAGCACCACAGCAAACGCACCTTGCGGATCTCCTCTAGATCATCCTTGAACCCCTCCGCGATACTCGCCATCCAGAACCGCCTAAAGTTGTCCCTCAGCGCCTGCTCCTTCTCTGCCGCACCGGGTGCCGAGGTCGGCGGAAGGAAAGGCGGGATGTCGCGCTTGGTTGGGGGCGGAGACGGCGAGCGCGGCCTGCGCGCGGGCTTTTTGGGCGCCGAGGCTGCGTCCGCGGGCGTGGCTATGAGCTGGCCTGCGTCCTCGTCCGAGTCTTCATCGCTGTCTTCTGATGAGGACGAGGAGTCAGACGAGCTCCCCGAGTCTTCAGAGTCGTCGGTGGGCGCTTCGGGTTTAGCTGGTGCTGGTGGTTTCTTTTGAGGTGACGCAGCGGAAGCGGCGCTCGAGTCGGAGTCACTGGCGTCGTCCGAGGAAGAAGAGGAGGTGTAAGCTCTGCGCTTTCGTTTTCTATTACGTTTCCGTGCTCCTGCTTTGGGGGCTGCTGGTGCCATGATGGGTGCGGAGAGCGTCAGGGGGTTACAACGAAAAATGATCAACTTGGGCAGACCACACACTAGGGTTAGGAGTTAGGGCACTGTTCAGTCTTTTCATCTGTCGTCCTTTGATCTCCTTTCTTTATTCTATGCGACAGAGTTCGGAACTGTCCTTTCGTGCCCCCATGCCGCTGGCTAGGATCTCTGAACAATGGCCTGTTCCCGGGCCGGACAAGCGCTGGATTGGAATTCCAACGTCAGCGTTGTCAGCCTCCGCGGACTTGAATGTCTTTGCAACGTTAATGTTATCTCGTTCTCCCTCTTCTTTCTCTCCCTCGTCCCGCATGTCCTGAGCTCAAACGTTTCTCTCTGGACACGTCCCCGCACCACGTTGTCGCAAGAGTCTGCTCCAAGTCATCCTCCACCTCTGATCGTCTTCTTCTCGCTCCATACAAGTCGTCCCAACCATCAACTCGGCGCCCGCTCTCTCCCGTCGACTCCACGCTTCTGCTAATGTCGCAGAATATGCCTGTCATTCCCGCTCCCATACTCGCCTCCGCCTCCTCTGGCAGCGACCCCGCTGGACCCGCACTGCCCATGCTTCACCCGACAGCGAAGACGATGCTCATCGTCAGCTCCGTGATACTCCTCTGCGTAGTCGTACCGGGCATCGCCTACATCTGGTGGGACCGCCGGAGGAAACGGCAGCTCATCATTCTTTCTGGGTCAGGGTCTAGCTCTTCCGTCCTCGAGGGCAGCTCTCTCTATCATTCTCCACGGAACAGAAAGGGATCTCGGGTATTCGCTTGCGGCTCTGACGACTCGCTTGATATACAGAAGCGGGATTCGGATGGATGGTGGGGGAAGCTGCTGGCAAGGAGGTGGACTTGGAACCACGACACATCGGGACGAGGCGAGGTTCGCCCATCGACTTTGAACGAGAAAAAGACAGACGGAATGGACCCGTACACCCACTTCGTGCTCGGGGACTGGTACGAGCGGTACTGCTTGCGCGGCGAGACGCCTCCTCCTAGATCTGGCGACGCACAGCGCTGCCCGTCTCCCCCGCTGTCTGTCCCTGCGCCAGCCTCTGTGTCCAGGCCGCGGTCAGGATCGGAATCCGGGTCGCCCAGAATCCGGTCTGTAACCATCAATATGGAGGGTACGCGGTACACGAACAAGGTGCGTTCCCTGACAATACTCTTGATTGCTTTCGTATGCCACATGCTCACCACCGCTTGCATGTATCCCCCAAGGCCAACGAAGACGCGGTATTCACATCTGCGTCCGAAATGCCCGTCCCGAGCCTCCTACTCCAGGCGCCAAGCACCAACGACTTCAACGAGACCGCGTTCTACGACACGAACACGAGCAGCGACTCCGCGTCCCTGGAGTCCATGGACCCCAGCTGCAGCTTCGCCAGACTGCGTGTGAGCACGAGCACGGATCTCGGCTTCACGCTCGCATCCGTGGGCAGCACGAACAGGCTCACGGACTTCCTCGCGCCGTCCGGTCGTACATCACGACCGACGCGAACGCTCTCTAAGCGCTTCTCGAGGGCCGAGTTGAGTGTCGATATCACGGACTGGGCGGCTGATGCTGAAGAAACGACGACATGGGGCGAGGCGGTCGATTCTACGCCTGACCTCCTTTCTGCCAACCGGAATGGAGACGAGGGCGGGGAGAGCGGGGCGTCGTTCTTTGACGACGAGGATTTCTCAGCGGGGGACGAGGATCTCTTTGTTGTCAAGAGTCAAGACGTGATCGAAGAAGTTCCACGTCGTCGCGAGTCCTGCAGCGGGAGCGGGACCCTTCCCGCGTCTCCTCCAAAGTCTGTTTATAGCTCGCGCGCCAGCTCTAGGTCCAGCTCAGGCTCTAGCTCGCGCTCCAGCTCGTTGGACTCGGATGACTCGTTTGCGTACCGGAGGGGACACCAGCGCGCGCACGCGATCGTCTTCAAGTTCGCTTCTGAGCTGCTCGCTTTTCTCCGTGTGCGCGGCACGCGCGGTCCGCTGCTCTTGGAGAAGCGCGTCAACATCAGCGCGTTTGAGGGGCAGGACGCGGCGACGAGCGTCAAGGCGAGGGGTGTGGTCGACTGCCATATGGTCTAGGAGCTGAGAGGTCTCCCTGTTTGCGTTTTTATTCTTCATTTTGCGCTCTAGCGCGCACACGTTCGTATATCGCCGTCTCCGAGCGCGCATCTTTGCGTCGAGTTTCATCGTCATTCATATCATTTGCAACATCTACCATCCACGTCCACATCTAGCCCCGCATCATGTACGCTGTAGCACGCACATATCACATTCATTTGCACCACACGCAATGCATACGTTCTTCATCCTCTTCGTAGGATTTGGGAAACCCTTTCCCTGCGCGCTGATAAACACGTGCTGCTCATTCAGTTGTGAGCCAGTTCCCTGCGACAGAAACCAGAAGAAGACTAGGAGGTGAGTAGACGTTAGTGACCCCGCTAGCTCTTAGATTCTATCCCTGTTCCCAATACCGCGGAGCGTGGCTATCGGCTGAAGTACAAGGCCGATCATGTTCAACATGCGATGTTTCAAGCACATCTTCAGGGTCAGTAGAGAAATCAAGTTTTCTCGTGAACTTGTTGTGATTCTAACTATGGCGATCACTCGAAGCAAAACACGTAGCATTCAGCGCGCGAGCTGATGCGAGTCCACGGTCGCCTACAACTTCTGATTCAATGGTTATTCTTGCTCTCTTACTATCTACTGGTACGGATTTCTGGTGTTGGTCGTTCCGCTGTGGAGGAGAGTACTCCTGTGGCTCCATACTCAGGTCTCCGTGTTGAGATGCGATGATGGGTGAGTCAAGCACTTCAAGGCGGCTGTGTGAGTTGAATGGAGAAGCCTCGACGCGATCCGCGGGCCGGAGGTGGCGGTGCGGTCGAGAGGAGCACAGGCGCTTTACGGGCGCTCGTTTGCTTGGCTCTATTTTTGCGCTGTGGTGCTTGTTTTGATGCTGCCCGTCGTTGTTGGCCGTGAAAGAAACTTGGATTTCCGTCATCGGGATGAAGTTTCAAGCCCAGTTATAAACCATGATGCAGAGAGGAAGCAAGACACGTTCCTATAGGCGGATGGTATACATAATGCATAATGGCCGGCAGGCTGTCCGCGAGACTGGTATGGTACTGCCTGTGTCTGTCTGGCGCGGTACAGCCTGGTGATGAGAGTTGCCGAATTGCCACTTGATCTCCATCTGGGGTGCGGATGAGCGAAGTGCACGGAGCTGTGCCAGGAGGAAGGGGTAAGGATTGCCGCGTGCAGGACGTATATATGTAATATTGCAAACCCTTGACGGCTCTTCCCTCCACGCGCAGTGCGCACATAGAAACGAGCTTCCTTCTCTTTTCCCTCTCTTGCACTGTCTCTGCTCCCCAGATCGTTCTTCTTACGCGTCAAATCGACTTCTACGACACCCAGCCCCACGAGCACTCGCAGGCACTCACGCGCACGATGGCCGAGTGGGACACGAAGAATGGACACTGGATCCAGATGGGCGACCAGAGCCGCGGCAGCTACCAGCCGCTGAACGACCCCGCGGGGTACCAGCCCGGCCTCTCGCAGCCGTACGCGCCGCCGTACGCAGGAGGACCCCCCAGTCAGACGGCGTATGGAGGATACCAGGGAGCGGGAGGGGGCGGGGGAGGGGGAGGAGGGTACGGCGCTGGGTCGCCGTGGTCGAGTCAGCGGTTCAAGCCGGAGAAGAAGGTGCAGAACCCGATCGTGTTGATCTTGTTCCTCGCGCAGGTGTGTACTGTCACTCTTGGGTCGAGTGTGGGCGCGTGGAGCTGATCTATGGATGTGGACGCGGTGTGCTGTGGACGCACACAGTTTATAGGGTTCATCGGGTTGTCTGCGTGGGTGATCTATGGGTGGATCAAGGACGGCGGGCTGAGCAAGGACCTCAACGATGCGAACGATAAAGGTGTTACGCTCAACAAGTGCGCTTCTCCTTCCCATCCCACCTGGTCATGACGCGTGCTTACACGAGTGCTCACAATTCGCGCCTCTGCTGCGCGCCGGTAGACAAACGCTGTACCTCTTGCTGGCCGTCACGGGCGCAGCCCTCGTCATATCCACCATCTTCCTGCTCATCGTGCGCATCTTCACCAAGGCGATTCTGCACATCACAATGATCTTTTCGATCCTGCTTAACGTGTGCGTCGTGTTACTTATTACTGTACATCGTCCAGCGATTGATTCGCCGCTGAACACGCATCTTCGGGGTTGATCAACAGCGCCTTCGCAGGGTACCTCTTCTACATGAAAGTATACGGTCCGCCCCTCCCCCTCCTCATCATCCAGCATCCAAAATTCTAACTATAGCGCGTTGGATAATGGCTGGTATTGAACAGTGGGCGCGATCATCGGCGCGATCGCCGCCGTCCTCTCCGTGCTCGTGTACTTCGGGATCTGGAAGCGCATCCCGTTCGCGTCGCTGATGCTCAAGGTCGTGCTCGACGTGTCGAAGCACCACCTCGCCGTGTACGTCGTCGCGTTCGCGGGCCTGTTCGTGCAGATGCTGCTCTGCGTCGTGTTTGTGTTTGCCGCTGTCGCTACGTGAGTGTCTTCCCCCGCCGTTGTTGTTGTTGCTGTTGTTGTGCCCGGGTGATGCGCTGGCTGACTCGGCGGGGGCGGTTGGGTGGTAGGTACGAGAAGTGGTCGACTGGGAGCGATCGTGAGTCGTGTCTTGTTTGAGTTTCGAGGATTGGGCTGCTTATATATTGGGCACTCTTGCAGAATGCAAGAGCAGCAACTCGTGCTCGGACGGCAAGGTCGCGGGCGTGATCGCCTTCGAGGCCGTCTCCTTCATCTGGAACTCGCAGGTCGTCGGCAACGTCGCGCTCGCCACAATGGCCGGCGGTCCCTTTGGCTGTACGTTACTTTCATCCTTCTTCCCATGCACGTTGAACTCATTTTTGACTGGCTGCGTCGACGATGACAATGGCAGGCTGGTACTACTTCGGCCCGAGCAACATGGGCGGGATGCCGAGCTTCCCGACGCTCTCCGCGTTCGGCCGCGCGTCGACGTTCTCGCTCGGCTCGATCGCGATGGGCTCGCTCATCGTGACAATTCTCGAGGTCATCCGGCTCTTGCTGAACGCGCTGCGCAATTCGGCGCAGGAGGACGGGAACCGTGCGTCTCCTCCCTCCCTTCCTCTACTTGAATCTCCTGACGGGACGCGGATGTTCACATTTACTGTGTGTGTGATTGCGATTGCGATTGTGACTGGGATTGTGAATGCGATTATGTGGTGGAACAGCCTGCCTGTGGTGCCTCGCGTGCTGCGCCGAGTGCTTCGTGTCCTGGTTCGAGAGTATGGTCGAGTACTTTAACCGTTACGCGTACATCCAGATTGCGCTGTACGGTAAGCCGTACGTCCGCGCGGCCAAGGACACGTGGAGGATGTTCAAGGACCGAGGTGCGTTCTTCCTTCCCCTGTGTCCTCGTTCGTGCGGTGGCGCTGATGCGCGTTGTCCCTTGTACATTGTTCTGTTTGGTGTTTGGTGCAGGCATCGACGCGCTGGTGAACGACTCGCTCGTGAACCATGTTATCGCGTTCGGCGGGTATTGTGTCGGGCTACTGTGTGCGCTGCTGAGCTACCTTTACTTGCATTGTAAGCCTCTTTCTTCAGTTCACGCGTCTTGACCAGGAGGGATATCTGATACCGTCTTACGATGGCGACGCAGTCGACAAGCCATCGTACAACTCGGATGGCTCGTACACGGCCCCCGTAATGATATTTGGGTTCTTGATCGGGCTCATGTGCTGTGCGTCTCCCCTCTCGTCCTTCTCTTTGGTGGCCGTGCGGGACTGACAGTCTTTTTAGCTTTGACGCTTGGAACGTCGATAGAGGCTGGTGTGTCGACTATGTGAATTTTCCTGCTGCCAATCTATCTTCCGTTGTCTAGTTGCACTAACGAACACTAACACCAGCTTCGTCGGCCTCGGCGAAGACCCACAGGTCCTGGCCATTCGCTCGCCGGAGCTCTTCGCTGTACGTTTAGCTTTCCTGTTTCTCCGTGTCCCCATCCGACTCGACTGACCCATCACTCCACAGGCTGTGGCAGCAACATATCCCCAGGTCGTGCGCGGCGTCGGCGCGTAATGCTTCGGCGCGTGGTGCGGTGTAGTAGGTCTGGATGACGATTACGATTTTATTTTCTCGATGAAAAGGGGCGCTCTTTACATAAAGCTTTATGACTTCCCGTGGTATATTTCTCAATGTCTGCTGTATCTTAGGATATCTTACGTACTGTATTTATGGAGTCTCGATTATTTAGGCTCCGCTTGCTTCGACAAGTGATTCAAACCGAGAGATATCTCAGGAGGAAGAGCGTTCGGCGTTTCGAAGTCGATGTAATGTACAGAATGGTTTCGTTGAATGCGGCGAGACTAGCCACAGAAGACGGGGTCGCCAACAAGGTGGTTTATATTCCTCTTTATCGAACCTGCATGTGTTTTCTCGCGTCGAAGGTGCAATGATCACAATATCCAGTTCTCTCATTCAAAGCAGTGTCGGTATTGATACAACACTCGTAAGTAACTGATGCACCCCATACATTGCGCTGAGGAAATAAATACGATATAAATACTCTGTGTTTGCCCAGCGAGACCCAAGGAAAGTGTAGTTTGTAACGAATCTTCTAGGAGATGCAAGCGCGGGGCTCAAGCCCACGTCCAGGTCATGCCGTGGAGACGGCCGGCGGAGAGGGGAGACAGGTGCTTGAATGCGGCGGGTGAGAAATCGAGATCAGTCACCGCGCAGCCGGTGCAGCGGTCGACGACCTTGACAGTGACGCTCTTGCCGCCCCCTGATAGTAAACAGGCGAGTTAGCGTAGGGTTCAACGGTCAACTTCTATGGTGAACGGGGGAATGGATCGGGCGGTGGGCTTACAGTGGGCGTTGATCTTCCGGCCGCAGACGGGGTTGTTGTTCGGGTTCGTGCCCTTGTAGCCCGGGTAGGTGTCGTAGAGCGAGTGGGAGACGGCGACGATCAGGTCGTCCGACGTGCTCGTCTGTCCGCAGGCGCCGAGACCGGGGGTGTAGTAGGTGGCTGCGCGAGTCACGTCAGCTTGGTGGCTCAGGTATGCGTGAGGGGAAAGGGACGTACCGTCGCCCTTCTGGGTGCCGTGCATGTAAGACGGCTCGCTACGGGCCTGGGGGAGCGCAGCAGCGTTGGCAGCGAGGGCGAGGGCGAATAATGCAAGGGCTTTGGACACGAACATGTTGAAAGTGGTAGAAAGGCGTCGGTGTAAAGAAAGTAAAAGTCGGTATGCGACAAGGAGTGTGGGCTTGACCAGAAGCAGAGAAGTGAGGTGAGAAGGAAAGGTGAAGTTTGTACGCTCGTGAAGCGTCCCTTTTGTACGCCAGAGAACACCGAGCGGTGCTAACCAGTGCATACGAGACCAACATGCTTGTGCCTTGCCACGAAGGAGCATGCAGGGCCATATTCCAAGGCCAAGGTCTGGGTTGTTCAAAGAGAAGTGAACGATGAAGTCGGGCTTCAGGGTCTTGTTGCTAAGATGTTACATCGTGTTATACGATGAACTGAGATAATTTGCGAGTTCAGACCTAGAGCCTTGACGGATCACATTCTGCGTCCGTCATGAAATGTCCGTTCATATACCGAGTTTCGATCAGCGGAACAGAAAAGATGTGGATTGAACTGTCCAGAAACATACATATTGCACAGAAAGCGGCTCGTGAGTTGTGCTCATGGTGTGCCAGCCTTTTCATCATGCCTTATGGTTGTCTGGGAACGTTTCGTATGTCTCGCCGGTAGTTGCTACTAAACCGCATGGTCTCCTCCGAGTGTATGAGCGGTGACTGCTGGAAACGGGCGATATCAATGGGACCTAGGCACAGCAACGGCACAGCGTGCCCCCGAGCGCCTCCGAGGCGTACTTGGCATCGAGAACTGTGTTGCAGGACGTCGGTACATCAGGCCTGACCGACAGATATCATGACTATCCAGTGGCGATGACCTCGGCCAGAACCTTCAGATCAGTTTCAGATCCGAATATCTCGCGTTATCGAAGTTCTGAGTAGTCGTGAGTTGACGTCGTCGTCGTCGGATGCAAAGGTTAGTAAAGGTGGCTGTGTTTCAATTGTTTGGTGTTTAAAACGGAAGTACCTGGCGGCGCTTATATCTTGCCGCTGCCAGCGCTCGGCCCATAGGGACAGCGTGGTCTTGCCCTCCCAAGAAATCATTCCGCCTTCAAGAACTAGCAAAAGTAATTGATACGCTTGGTTGCATAAAAAATGCAAACTAAAGCATGCAGGACTTGGTGGAACGACCTCGTGGAAGTCCGTCATTTGTGTTCGTCGAAGCTTAGTCAATAGTGACTCGGTAACTTCTGAGCGTCTGGCAAACCGGGCGCCATATGGCACTTTCCTCGTTATCTCCGTATGAAACTGATTTTATGAAGACAAATTGCACGTGAAAGTTTACGAATTTTGGAGTGGCAATAGAAGGACATTACAAAGCACTAGTGACTAAGCTCGTTTGTTGCAAGAACAGTGTTGTACTTTTTATGAGCGAGCAACTCGTTTAAGGCGAGACAGAGATGAAATTATCACAAATTGTCACATGGATGATCGTTGTGTGGGCAGAACACTGGCGGCAATAACGGGGCATGTATAACTTGAGGAATAAGTGTTACTGCTGCTTTCATTGAAGGACACTTTCTCGTACAGGGACTTGGAACCTGATTCGGATCGTAGAGTCAATATATTGAGTTAATAACAAATGCTGCATTCAGATTATAGATCAGCTAGATGTACTGTACACCACGCTCGGAAGCCCATCCCAGATGAGCTTCAAGTAAACGATTGTATGGGTACTCTACAGACCAAAAGGAGCGACTTGGGATACAGGGTTAATAAATAAAGATAATTATGGGAGACCATGTGCCCGTGGACGAAAGCCTGGTGTTTAGGCCCAAACCCAGGTCATGCCGTGGATCCTGCCAACAGACTCGGCCGCGAGAGCGGTGAACGCAGTGGGAGAGAAGTCGAGGTCGGTCTCTGCGCAGCCGGTGCAGCGATCCTCGACGGTGACGGTGACGCTCTTGCCGCCGTCTAAAATGAGATAGTTTGCATCAATACGAGAAGTTCTGTCGAGAAATCAGTGGTGCTTACAGCTGGCCTTGATCTTCTTGCCGCAAACCGGGTTAGAGTTCGGGTTGGCACCATTGTATCCGGGGTAAGAGTCAAAGAGCGTCTCAGAGACGGCGACCATGAGATCGCTAGCGGTGTTCGTGACGCCGCAGGCGCCGAGGCCGGGGGTGTAGAAGGTACCTATTTCATTACTGATCAGAGATAGGTGCGTCCTGAAAGATGTGCAACGTACCGTCACCAGTCTGAGTACCAGTGAGGTAGCTCTGACGAGTCTTGAGAATAGCTGCTGCGTTGGCAGTGACGGCGAGAGCAGCGATAGCGAGGGTCTTGGAGAAGAACATTGTGTGGTTGTATGGGTGGTTAAAGAAAGAGTAGTAGTATATGTGACGAAGTGTCAAAGAAGTCGAAGAGAGTGTTGAATGCTTTGCCAGAAGCTCGAAGAGAAGAGTAGATAATGCTGAAAACATTCGTTAAGAGCACAGTCTTTTATACTCGCTGCAGCTGACAGCGCCTCATTGCCCCTGGTCGAGCTTTATGAAGCAAGCGGAGAGCGTCGGACGGAATAAAGACCCACTCCGCACCCGTCGCAGCTATACGGCACCGAAGTGACGAAGCAAGAGGTCGTTGCGCAATCCTGAGGCCATGTGCGGTGCAATAAAGCACGTTGTTCCTTGCGACGCAGTCGCTTGCCAGCTCACAATTCTTGAGAATCAACCACTCAACTTCGTCTCCGTAATGATGGGCAGGGGCATATCAGCGCGCACGGGCGTCTGAAACTTTGCAGAGTAACCGGGCGCGAGAGGCAAGCACCAAAACTAGAGCAACGAGCCCTCAAGCGCTGGTAGTATTAGTACCAACTCCCAATGAGACGCGTGTAATGCGTGTGGTAACGCTGTGTCCCGAGTTACCGTGCGCTAGTGGTTGCTGGATGAATGGTCCGTTGCCATCAGGGGCCAAGGGCAATGAAAGGACTGTTGTGGAGGTCAACCAGCAAGCTGAAGAGGCCTGACGTTCATCCAAGCGTTGAAACGTACTATGCCGTGAGGTTGCTTGCGGTTATCCGTACTGCGGGCGATACTCTCCTACGAGCGCGACACAGCATCGTAGAGGCACTTGTCGCCGATGTGGGTCGCCAGATACTTGATCCGTCATCGGAACCTCTTCAAGCGGCCGCCGAACCAGCATACGAGAGGCTGCCAGCGCGAGCCGGGAAAAGAGAGAAATAAACATCCAATGAGTACTATGGTAGCGTGATGCGATGGTTGGACGCAACGTTCGCTCCCCGAAATCCTCGTCAACCTTGGGGACAAGTCCAGAGATGCATCGATGAGAGCTCCCACGAGCAAATCGGGAATTTTCGGGATTTTCCGTCGGAGATCTAACCTCATCTCCATTCATGGATGTGGGTACTCCTTATGTTTGTTTGCAAAAGTGCCCAATCCATGTACAAGTCGACGATACATTTTATTTTATATTGTACATTTGATAAAAATGAATTCATTGCATATCGGCATATGATGTTGTCGGTTGACACGTGCCATGCTCAGTGGTGTATTGTCAGTACGATCAGCGGGCCAGACGTGTTACGGTCTATATCACTTCTCCCATGAAAGAGTGGTTAGGACGCCGAGTGCACAAGTTGAAGCTGCTTAGTCACCTCATTAAACAGCTCTAGATGGTCCAGCTCCACCGTGATACATAACGACTTGAACAAAAGAAGAAGCAGTAGAACGCCGATGCCATGCATTGGCTTGTGAATGGCGACGTTCAGGATCCACACAGCTCCTCGTGTGACCTCCATCCCAACAAAGATGGGTAACAGAACTACTGCACGTACTACGAACCCGATAAAGCACTATATCAAGTGGGATCGGGATAAACGTTTGAATGTGGAGCACTCACACACGTCCATGATCTACAGGAGTAGTTCACTGCAGGACACTACACGAGCACCCTTCTTTGGGGTTTGATTTTGTCTAGAGGAAGCCGCGTTTAAGCTTCAAGGCTTGCCTTATCGATGATATTGAAGATAGTAGAGTCGTTTACAGATAAGCGCTGCTGTGCGTGCCCTCGCCGGCCCCCACCGAAGCTCCGATTGTGTGAGCCTCAGCGACGTCTAAGATATCGCGAGGACGAAAGAAATACCCCGATTCCTCGTATCCCTGTGCACAAATCTTCTCTAAGATGATCTTCCCAGACCTGACTTTGCTATCGAGGGCAACAAGAAAGGCCCCGACGACACGATACTTTCTGGAAGCTGTGTGCTTTTCGGAAACAGCCGTGCTCCCGGCGTCTATTCGTATATTTGAGGGGATAGTACTAAATATGTACCGGAGAAGTGGGGTCTCTAGGAGGGATATTCAAATGCTCATCAGTATCCACGCTTAACATCTACTCATTATCAAGTCAAGTCTCGAGTCCAAGTTGTATATCAAATAAAGAGCGTGCAGGTTCAAGCTAAGTATACGTACGATAATGTCATAAGTTAATTCAATGCATTCTTACTAAAGTTCATAAAGATTTATCGTAAGAAAGTAGCCGTGGATGTACCCAGCTATCAGGATCATGCGGCGCTGAACTGGTTTTCCTGGCCTTGATGAGCCAAATGTAAGTCGGATAAATGAATAGTCGGTAATTGCGGAGTTTCGATGGATGATTCTTCGTGGTGGTCATCATGTGTTGGTCGACGGGGCCTTCGCGCGTTGAGCCTGAGGATGTGTGCGTGTGAGATAGGCTCAGAGAGATTTAACACGATGGAATCACACTGCGTATGCTGAATTGATATAAGCTATGGAAGAATGCGGTGAGCTTAGTCCATGAGATCAACAAGCAGACAATTACATTTTGGGATAAACGTAAGAGGTATGGCGGCGTATGCCTGCAAAGGCGGCACTCCATACTTGAATCGAAGTGAGCTAGGATAAACGACGCATCAATCGAAACTCACGAGGACGACGGTGAGCAGGGCGAATGCACTAGTGCTAGTCAGAAGTGAAGGGTATGGTGTCGTAGAAGTAGAATACGCACGTAGTTAAGAAACCCATGTTAATGGTGACGTTGCTAATATACACTATACGCCTCGCGCTCCTAGAAACAGGAAGCATGAGTAAATAGAGAGTGATACCGGGGAACCATTGTACGTTGCTACACTCGTCCGTGCGGGTCGGAGGAAGTAAAACACAGAGATCGAGATAAGAACGTCGCACACCATGAAAGTCGAGGCGACGAGAATCACAAACTATGCAGCGGCAGGGTGTGTTAGAAATAGAGAGACATTGACGATCAGTCTGCGCACCGCAGTGTGGGCAGCAGGATCATCGCTATTATCCGCTATGCTGTGACGAACTGAGACTGCGCTTTCAAAGCCTTTTGACTTTGCTTACTCGTATATGTCGTCAGCTGGCACCAGAGTTAACGGCAGTATTAGCGGTGCAATTTTTCATGAGACTAATCGCCTTACCTATACCCAGAACTGCAAGAACGGGAGAAGTTCATTTCAGGACAACCCTTCAAAGGTGCTGAAACCATATCGTACCGAATCCAACACACGCAACAGTAAACTGGGGAACATATTTAAATGGCTTTTCAGTGAAAAAGTTTTTGAATCTCCTTACCACAACGCTCGTGATCCACACGTTCTTATTGGTGACTAAACGTCGGCGCAGACATCAGCCGCAATGCCTCCGCTTGTCTTGTAGAAAGTACCGTACTTATCCATAGGCGATAGGCATAGAATCTACTTGATCGTTAGCAACTAATAGAGACGGAGGAGGTTCAGTGTTACTTACGCTTGTACAGTAGCGATGATCACAGCCTGTGTATAAATCCCTGCTGTTGAGACCATCATTCGCCAAGGACTGAAACTTACTGTTACTATCAAGGTAGCCTAACCAATAGCAGCTGTAAGTCGGGATCACTCAATCGATCAAACACTGGATAGGACGCACGTCGGCTTCCCTGGCAGAAACACGTGTTGCCATGTGCCATGAGTAAAATATAAATGACTGTGAACATCGTAGGACTTACCACGGGATCATCGAACAGGTGGGTGATGTACTCCGCCTACACGAAATGAGATACATCCATTGGAGGTATGTGGAAATAGCAGTGAGGAAGGTATCGAGCGCCCTGCGCCTAATCAGCTACAGTTGTGATTCTGGGGGCGATTTAAACGAACAGAAGTCCATAAACCTCAACAAGAATGAGTCAGGTCCGTGTTCAATTGATATAGAAAGCAGTGAATCTTACCACTACTTTGTGTACCAGTCGATCCTTCGGGTACGAGCGCCAATAATACAAGCACTGTCCTATGGACGCTCCGTACATCCTGTTCTTTGTCGGTATAATTATCGACACCCTGCAGAGTACGTACCCTAGTGATATGATCCATCCTAAACAGCTGTGAGCGCTTGGGACATTCAGACCTCTTGGGTGACTGCGTACCAATCGTACCAGGGCCATAGGATGCTATGGTAGTATTATACGACAACGGGTCGCTTGCCATGCTTGAGAGATAAGAGAGCGAGGCGTTCAAGAGAGCGTGAGATGAAAGACAATCAACCTTAACAAACACGTAGAGCGAGAATAGCAGAAGAGGACAGGTAAAAGGAGATGGTTAGGAGATGAAGTTTTCAACCGGTCGTGTTGAAGCGGGCATGATCAAAGGAGTTGCAAGACGCACGCACTCGATCAAGGCGCCAGAACGTGAAAATAGATTTTGTTTTCTATTGGCCGGATCCCTGGCGTGAACAGGGTGCGATCACTAAGACATTGCTTGGAATTGAGTCGATGAATTGGACGAAGGATCGGTTCTCATCAGCGTGCAACACGCCGCATGTCTCCGGACTTTTTACCCGAAGAGATGACATAATTGACTCCAAGTTGGATCCTCTGGGCAGAGGCTCCTGAGAGCCGGAGCGTGGATACATCTCCGGTGCCCAGGGCGATAATAAAGGATGCGACTTTGACTGGCTTCTAATGCTGCCATCAAATGAGGAGGCGTTACGTTCCTCGAGCATGCTATTCATATTTTCTTCTGAAATCATCAGTGCGCGTCAAAAGGTAAGCCGACTGAGAGCATGACACGTTGGAAGAAAGTTATGATTCTGACGGATTCAAAAATCTTGTGGCTGATCATCCCACATTGTTTTTACAGGGACAATCGGCCTGACCATCTCAAGCTCACGTAGTGACTGTGGGTACAAGCGAAAAGCCTGCAAGCGTCCCGAGTTATCTACAATAGCTCCAATGTACACATATATGTCCTCCTCTCGCAGTTTGCCGACTGAAGAACCTTTTCTCCGCCACGCTATGCCGAGACTCCCCGAAGCTACGAACGATTCTGTTTTAGCTGTGCCGGATTAACTTCGAGGATACACACAGGACGCGTTTCGGCGGACTTGGCGTCGGGGCGCGAGAAACCTTATCACAGATTTCCAGACATGACGGCAGTGTCCAAGAGCCCACTTACGGAGCTATCCGTGAATACTGCAGACGAGTAATACGAAAAGAGCCCCGTATGACTTGTCAATTATTGTAGCTGCTCGACATGAATGTTCGTGTGTCTAGGTATATCAGTCCGTGATGGTAGCATGCATGAAATTCGTGGCAGATTACACCGTCTGCGGAGAATCCTTCAAACTCGAAGACATCCTTGGGCAGGTGGTGACGTGGATGGTGGGTAACGGGGGAACCTCGATAGTAGATTGCCGAAAGTTCCGGGCCTTGGGATGTCTAGCCTTTCTGGCGTTGAGCCTGTGACGATGTGAGCTGTGATGCACCACTTTTAGATATAGCACTGGAATGTCTTACACCGCGTATGCAGAGTTGATGTACGCTGAGAAAGAGTATCGTGAGCATTATTGAACTACCAAAAAAGAATATGGACGTACATTTAGGGATGATGGCGAGTGGCGTAGAAACATAGAGCTCTAGCGCGGGAACGGTGGACTGATATATCATTAGCCTTCGAAATATGAGTGGCTAAAAACGCAACGTACAAAGATGACAATACAGATTGAGAGAAAGCTGACGGCAATCTCAAATAAGCCCAATGGTGTTACTAGTTCAAGTCGACATACAAATTCAATAGGCCCATGTTCATTGTGATGGTACTGATATAGTAGATGCGCGGATTTGTCCTGAGTGACCTTGTTAGCTCGATGTTCCTCCGAGAAAAGGCCTCGCTTACCGCATCACGCCAGACCGTTTAGGGTGAAGGTAGTAAAATACGGATACCGAGATGAGGGCATCACAAAGCATGCATGATACCGCGACGACAATGACCATCTGAAGTAGGCTATAGCTTGACCCATCATAAGTTAAACATCAGTACTCACCGCCTGATGTGGACTAATTGTCTGTTGTATCGCCCTTCGGCATCGTCAGACCACAGAAGTTACCCACTAGATTTGTCGCTTACACGTAAGAATCGTTAGCTGGATCAACAGTATCTTAGACAAGGGGTACGACAAGGTGATGAAAAGAAGTCTCCGCACCAAGGCTCACGGCTACAGCAACGTCCATTCAGCACAATTCCGAAGTCATCGAATGCGTGTACATACCAAGGCCAATGATTGCCGACACAAGCTTTTGAGAATGTAACGTGTCACTGAAGTACATCAGCTCAGTGGGGTATAACTTACCACAGCAGCCGTAATCATCCAGCTCCTCCCTGTAACTGACCAGCCACAGATTCGTCAGTTTCCATTATGCTCACGTAAATGAAAAGTTAATACGAACTTATCCATATGCGATATGCATAGACTCTATCCGATTCCGTTTAGCCAACGCCGCTACATGAAAGTTTTGATAACGAACGCTTGGACTATGAATACGATGGACGCCTTTAATTTCCGTTATTCGACGTTCATAGGACGATGGCCGAGAATGAGAATATACGTACTGTGATAAGAAAAACACCCTGAAATAAAGGCGTGAGTGTGAAATGAACATGATCGTAAGCATCGGAACATACAAGTGATTCCCTGAGCAAACAACGTGAGATCTGCTGAGAAGGATGGGTGAAAGGTACGGACTCACCCAGGTATCACAGTCGCGCACTCTAGAGACGTCTTACGCCGACACATGATCAGAACGCGCCACTCGAGGTACGACGATAGGGCAGTAAGCGCAGAATCCATCAAACTTAAAGCAGTTTTGAGAGAGGTTATGACATTATTCTTGTGGACTCACAATAATCCGTACACCTGACATGATTATGACACGTCTTCAGAGGTTCCCACCGTAATATGCGATGACCCTCACCAGTACTTTGTACCATAATCGATCATGAGGGTAAGACCGCCCGTAGTACCAACACTGCCCAGCCGACGCCCCGTACATTCTTCAAAGAAGTAAGCTCTGTCTGATCTTGACAGATGAACTGTACGTACGCCCATGAAATCATGCATCCTAATGACGGCGATAAACCTTCTCCACCTAAGTCAAAAACATCATGCTCACCCACGAGTGCTGGAGAATACGACTGAGCGGGCGTGGCCGGCGTGTATGCGTCTGGATTGACGTCTAGGTGGGGGATGAGCGACAAAACGGACATGGACGAGTACGATAGATGGCACGAAGCCTGAGACCGACGGTGAAGTGCCAGGAAAGAGACACTAAAAAAACGCACATACACACCTAAGTACGCATTTGCATGATGCGCGTGGCCCAGCTCGGGGCAATATAACCGACATAGGCAAGTGCGAGAACACTGTACGTCCGGTAAAGCCTGGGCGCATCGAGTGTAACTGAATGGAGGGCATGCCACGCGCGTTCTCACATCCACATCACAGACCTATACATACCCCCTGCATGAATAAGCACACGAACGGATGAAAAAATGAATTGGGGAGGGGATTGTTCGGCCTTGTGGCTTCCGCCAAACCAAAAATAAGGCGCAATGATCCGACGATGTTGTGTTCGGAAGCGTAAATGAGTATTACTTACTGTATGTATGAGCGCTTGGATCAGAGGGGGGCCGAGGGGTATCTCCGACTCCGAGTGGTGGGAACGGAGGCCGGTCGAAGGTGTTCACGATGCGCACGTCGTTACACAATATCTCAGAGGCGAGAGGTGCACAACACTTGAAATGCGGATGTTAGCGAAACTAGAATAACTGAGCCAAGATAGTCCGCTGGTTCTCGACGTTGGAAGTTCTCATGAGTGACACGTCTAGAAGAGAGGTTATGAATGCGGACGGATTCCATTGTGCAGGTACCTGTCGGCATATATGAAACATATATCGTTTTGATGCCATCGAGTCCAGGGTTGCGATTTACAAGGTTTAGTTCAGACCAACGTCAAAGACGCTGCCCAATCGAGGTCCCCTTGCAAGTCTGAAGGTTGCTTCAGAACGTCGCCTTAGAGATGGACTCAGCTACAACCCGACAAGATCTTTTTGCGAGGGGGCGGGATAGCATGACAAGTGATCTGCGCTGTTCTTAGAATGGTAGGAAGACACAAGCTTGCCCTATCAATTTCCGCCGATCTTAATCTAGGCGAATCTAGAAAACAAATTCACAAACATTCCGTGACATGCGCAGCATGTCGTACATGCTATCAAGGTTTCTAGGTATCCAGAACCTCTATTGATTGCTTGACAAGCCAAGAACCACCGGTGATGATGGCACCTCCAGCTGTAAGGAATGTCGCTGACAGAAGTGTTCCTACTGCAGAGAACGTCAGAACAATGAGCAGCGATGGCAGAGAGGCACTCGCAAGGGAAAGCTAGCGCCACTAGGCTGCTTCCAACTGTGACCAGCACAGCCCCTACACCGACCCCACAGGCGGGCAGCTTCTGGTATGTCCTCGGCTCTTCAAGACGAACATCCATCGACGACTGCGCCGGACACAATTGGTGCAGGAACTTGCGAGAATCCCTTCGATGCCCCGTGTCCGCTGGGGTAGAGAACATCACGCGCCCATTTGAGTTCTGAGAAAAAAAAACTGCGTACCATCCCACTCGCGGCGGCCGACGTCCTTCTCATTCTCCCTCTCAAACTGTGCGTTCTCCTGCATAGGTGTTTGAGTGGTGGAGGCCATCCGAGACTTGCTGGCAGCTGCCTATGGGAGTCGAGAGGGTGAACAGTGAAGGTAAGATACGGCGGAAGGGGGCCTCATTGGCGACGTTATCGAGAATGTCGAGGGCACAAGTTTAGACCAGCACGGCAGATGATCCTGAGAGACGAGCTAATATGTAAAGTTGCGCGCGAAGAACTCGCGATTACGATTGTATGAATAGCCTCCGCCACATTCAATTGATGTGCCACTACAGCTGCCAATGAGTTGTGCCGTTGTATGCTCGAGCGCGGGACCGACAAGTGAGTAAGTGGGAACGGCCAACTGGGAGGGAGCTCAGGTCGGGAGAGAATAGGGGCTATGTATGTTTGCAAGGCTGGCCTGAGCTTCTGCGGCATTCAAGAAGAGATGTTGGGCGAATCTTCCGTACCCACAGAGTGCATGGCCCTCCCCGGTCAGGAACGACCCCAAGCGGTGGAGGAGGAGATGAACGAACGTTCGTGCGGTAGTTGCCGTGCGGACTTTAAATTCCAATACCGCGTCGCTGTCATGATCATGCACGGTAGTGCACGACGCATGTACTCCTCGAGACTAATGATACGCAAGTTCCATACCTGAAGCTTGATACATGCCCACATCACCCATGATGCTTTAAAGATGTGTCTACCAACCACAATAAACTGCAGCTCTCTATAGTGCAATGGTCTTACCTCAACCCTGACATGATGATGCGGAGAATGACGCCTTGAGTCTCCAGGTAAGCCCTCCGCTTTGGACCACGAGTTACTGAGAATCTGCAATCTAACCCTGCCATTCATGGCCTCAACTTCTATTCAGTGAGTAAAGACCGTGATCGTGGCGTTCACGTTCAGCGCCTATCGCCGAATAGAAACGTCACCTCTCTTCGGGCTAAAGTAGGATAACCTTCCACCTCATTCCTCTAAATGTCCCTGGCTATCAGTGGCTATCCTTAGATTGCTGCTTAGCATCATTGACCGACCATCACCGCCGTGGGTCCCGGTCCTAACGCTCACATGTTTCTGTCAGGCTCGTCCGCAAGGAATGACGACAACCACGTCGGATGACCGGTCCAAGAAGTCTGACGCGCATATACAGAGGCCGTTCACGTGGACCAGTGCGCCTTCTCGCAGCTCGCAGAATTGTTCCAGACACCTGACCTGCTCGACTCTTCGAACGACAGTCAGCTGTGCGATGACGACCCACTCTTCCTCCTCCCGTGATAGCTGATCATGCTGCGCCTCCCTGTTCTCTGATGTTGTTCCCCTCATCCATAGCCATGTACAGCGCGGCGCGCACGATCCCATCGGCCCACTCTGCCCCGCCCGCGGCTTTATATACGATGATGCCTCTGGACTTGTTCCCCATATTCGCATTTGCATCTCGCTCCTGGGAGCCTCTGCAGGCATGCGTAGAATGAGTGCTTCACTGATTTCAGCGTCGACATTAGCTTTTGCCGCGCTCTGCGGCGCCCTCGCACCCTCGGGGCCGTGGGACGCGTTCAACTACGCGCCAGACTCGCGGACGGTCGTGCCAGCCTCTGTTCACGGGACGAGCGGGAACGTCGCGGGTGCAGATGCGCTGGTGAACGCGACGAGCGGAAGTGGCAGCGCGACGCTGACCGGGGATGGGTCGTATGTGACGCTTGATTTTGGGAAGGAGGTGTGTGCCCATTCTCCGTGCTTATCTCGATTCGTAGCAGCTGATTCGATGGTGGGTGCGATGATCCTAGGTCGGCGGCATCGTCTCGCTCCAAATCACCAACGCGACAAGCTCCTCCGCGTTCTCTCTTTCCTTCACCGAATCTCCTCTATTCATCAGCCCTACGGAGAGCGACGACTCGTCGTACACGACCCACCTCGAGAACTCGGACGGCGTCGAGGCCGTACTTGCTCCGCTGACCACCGGCTTGTGGACGCAGCCCGCAGCGCTCCTCCGCGGCGGCTTCCGGTATCTCACGATCGTGTCGAACGCGGACGACGCGTTGTCGATTGCCAATGTGTCACTGGGGATCACGTTCGAGCCGACGATGGAGGGCTCACTGAAAGACTACACGGGATATTTCTATACTCAGGATAGCGGCTCAGAGGACCCGGACTTTTTGAATAAGGTGTGGTATGGGGGCGCGTATACGGTGCAGACGAATATTATTGCGTCTGACCAGGCGAGGCAAAACTCGCCAGGCTATGCTGGTAAGCTCCCCTCACCTAGCTTCTTCTTTGTTGAATACGAGATGGCTGACATGGTTTCACTGTAGGATGGGCAAATAATGCTTCTGGTGGCCCAGTTGACGGACCTATCCTCGTGGACGGTGCGAAGCGTGATCGGTACGGCTCATTTCCTTGTGCATCCACCAGACACTGACAGCCATCACAGAAATGTCTGGCCTGGCGACATGGGCATATCATCGCACACGCGCCAAGTATCCGTGAACGACCTCCTGCCGCTGAATAACTCCCTCCGCGTCATGTTCGCGTCGCAGAACCCCAACGGCGCGCTTCAGTACTCAGGCCCACCAATCAACGCGTCCGGGAGCGACACATACATCTCGTGGACACTCATCGGGCTGCACAACTACTACCTCTACACGGGCGATTTGAGCCTCGTGCAGGACGTGTGGGCGAACTACACGAAGGCGGTCGCGTTCCTTGCGAGCCAGGTGGATGAGACTGGGCTGATCGATGTGCCGGTGGCGTATTCGAACGATTGGGGGAGGTTGAATGGGCAGGGGCATAATTCGGCTGCGAATGCTTTGTACTATGCTGTGAGTGCCTTCATGCATTCTCGCTCTCCTTTGTTACTTACTCGACTCTGCAGACACTCGTCACAGGCGCTGAGCTAGCCACGGCAGTTGGTGACACCGCCACCGCGACCTCGTACAATGCGAATGCGACAGCCGTGAAGGCAGCGTACAACCAGCTACTGTGGGACGCGGATGTGGGCATGTTCCGGGACAACGAGACGTCGACGATGTACCCACAGGATGGCAACTCGATCGCGGTTGTGTTTAATCTCACGACGTCGCACGAGCAGAACGCGAACATCAGCAATGGGTTGACGAACTACTGGACCCCGATTGGGCCGGTGTGTCCTGAGCTGAATGATACGATCATCCCGTTTGTTGGTGGGATTGAGGTTGGTCGCCGTTATGTGACAAGCCCATGTGATACAATGAAGACTAACGTCTCTGGTAAAGATCGAAGCACATTTCGTTGCTGGGAACGGGAGCCGGGCGCTGGATCTGATTCGTCAAGAGTGGGGGTATATCATGACCACGAATCTGAGTGTGCAGTCGACGTTCCTTGAGGGGTACACTACCAATGGTTCTCTCTAGTACGTTTCTGCTCCCTTCCCCCTCACTCGATCACAACAGCTAACCACCTGAAATAGCTATCGCGGCGCGGACGGATACGACTACGATGCATCCTACACGTCCCACTCGCACGGATGGAGCACCGGTCCGACTCCCGCGCTCTCGTTCTACGTCGCGGGCTTGCAGCTCGAGTCTACGCAGGGTGCGACGTGGAGTCTCGCTCCGGTTCTGTCTGGGCTTAGCGCAGCGCAAGGCGGATACGAGACCCCGCTCGGATGGTTCGGCGCCAACTGGACCGTCGCGGGCGGAAACCTGACGGTGCAGGTGTCGACTCCAGCAGGCACGAACGGAACAGCGACCTTGCCTGGAACTGGAAGTGTTACCGTTGATGGACAGGACGCCGGTAGCGGGTCTATGAGTCTGACTGGGGGTAATCATACGCTTGTACAGGCTGTGTGAGGTAAAACTACGCTAATGGGGCGACTAGCGAAAGTAAAAATGTACTTATTGTGTATAAGGCTACATCATAGCCAGAATTAAAGTTATTTTAGGTGATATCACTCATGACCTCACCATCCAGAGAAGAGAGCTGGACTCAGAGTTTGAGCTTATGGGTGGGCTGACCATCGACGCTCGGAACAAGCAGGAGGAGAGGAAGGTGGCGAGAGCCATGCGGCCCGCCGTCCGTCCCGCCAGCGGTACGTCACGTGTGTGTGACGTCGGGAGAGATTTATCAACGGGATCAAGGCGAGCGGCCGCGAACGGACAAGGACAATCTCGCCCATCGATCTCTTCTTAGCCGCTACAAACAATCAACTCTCCATCGCCCGCATTCAAGTACTAGTATCTAAATCTACTAAGGTAAGGCTGCTCTAACCGCCGCCGACGCTATAAAGTCGCCAGTTTTTGACTTGGTTAAACTCCGATCTAACGTCCTCCCCCTTTTTCTTCCGTCCTTCCGTCGTTGCAGCTAAACTATGGGTCTCCTCGACATTGTCCCTGTAAGTCTTTCGTCATCACGAGTACAGGTTGGATTTCTCATGAGATCATTCACTAGGCCGGCGTCCTCACGGGCGAGAACGTTCGCAAGGTGTTTGACTATGCCAAACAGAACAAGGTGTGTTTGTTCCGTTATCTAGCCGACGTTCCGACCCTGACTTAACGCTCGTCCCACAGTTCGCGATCCCGGTGAGTACAGCTGTGTACCGAGATGAGAGTGGGATGGATGTTGAGAATAAGCGATTTTGAACTCTAGGCCATCGTGAGTAGCACCCATTCCTTCTTATCCGCTTCGAAGCTGACCCCCAATAGAACGTGACCTCGTCGTCGACGGCTAACGCCTGCCTTGAGGCTGCTCGGTAGGTCCAGTCAAGAGCCCTTACACATGCATATACTCAAGACACCTTCAAAGTGACAACAAGGCGCCCATCATCCTCCAGGTCTCCCAGGGTGGAAGTGCCTACTTCGCTGGCAAGGGCCTCGCCAATGACAAGCAGCAGGCCTCTGTCACCGGTGCAATCGCCGCTGCCCACCACATCCGCACCGTCTCGAAGGCATATGGCGTGTACGTACCCTGATCCTCCACCCAATGTCTATATGCGCAGCCGCCTGATCGACAATACTTCCTCTCCAGCCCCGTCATCCTCCACAGCGACCACTGCGCCGAGAAGCTTCTCCCCTGGTTCGACGGCATGCTCGCCGCCGATGAGGAGTACTACAAGGTGCACGGCGAGCCGCTCTTCTCGTCGCACATGCTCGATCTCTCGGAGGAGCCCAAGGACCAGAACATCGCGACGTGCGTCAAGTACTTCAAGCGCATGGCGCCGCTCGGCATCTGGCTCGAGATGGAGATCGGTATCACAGGAGGCGAGGAGGACGGCGTCGACAACACGGGCGTCGACAATGCGTCGTTGTACACGCAGCCCGAGGACATTTACGACGTGTACAAGGCGCTCAGCGCCATCGGCCCCAACTTCAGCATCGCCGCTGCGTTCGGCAATGTGCATGGTGTGTACAAGCCCGGAAATGTCCGTCTGCAGCCCGAGCTGCTCGGCAAGCACCAGAAGTACACGAGCGAGAAGATCGGCGGTAAGGTCGCGCAGCCTCTGTGAGTCCGCCGCGTTGGCTCTTTCCTGTGTTCCTGTGCAAGTAGGCGCTAACGGGCGTGCGTGCGGCGGTGAAGGTACCTCGTCTTCCACGGTGGCTCCGGCTCGACCAAGGAGGAGATCAAGACTGCTGTCTCTCACGGTGTTGTCAAGATGAACGTCGACACCGGTCAGCGTTTCCCCTTCATATCTTCGTCATGCTATATCTCTGACGTGTTTATGACAAAACAGACACCCAGTTCGCGTACCTTCAGGGTATCAGGGACTTCGTCCTCAACAAGAAGGACTACCTTATGACGCAGGTCGGCAACCCCGAGGGCGCCGACAAGCCCAACAAGAAGGTGCGCTGTATCAGTCCCTAAGTATGACATTCAAGGATCGCTGACGTGACCGCGTTATGCGGCGATAGCATTACGACCCGCGCGTCTGGGTCCGCGAGGGTGAGAAGACCCTGACGGTTCGCGTCAAGGAGGCGTGCACGGACTTGGGCGACATCAGTGAGTAAACCCTTTCAATCATGTTTTGCTGTCAACGAGGCTGATGGGAGCGTGCAGACCGCCTGTGATTGGAGATGTCGGGGCTGTACATGTGTTTGTAGTCGAGGAACATGCAAAAATGTGTATGATAGGGGATCGTCGCTCGTCGCTTTTAGAATGATATTTGTTTCTTCATTATCAGACCTTCTCAATAGAGCTCGGTAACCCAGTGTAACTCGATAACGTGCCGATGCATCTGTCTGCTTTGACGTTGTTAAAGTTAAAATTCAAAGATAACGACATGGCATTACTTTTTCGCTTTACTTTCTGCGATAGGGGACAGAGCCAAAAAGACAGACAACCAAGGCCAGGTCGTCAAGTTAGTCAAGACTCAGGTTCAAATGGGGCGCGTCGAGGCAAAGCTTCATGGGAATTGTGCCTCTATCGTCTACAAGAATATTCTCCACCACCACTGAAACTTTAGCTTCTTATACGCCCTGTACATGTCAGAAGCCTACCGGGTCCCGACTGCCTATGCAATTTCCTCGCTCAAGCCATACAGGTGAACATCCGAGTCGAGTGGAGAGGATCAACCATCATTCGATCACAATGACGGAGATAATGTACATGAAAAATGGGACCAGTTCGTGAAGAGTGCGGGAAGTGTATATTTCGAGCGAGCGATTAAGCCGTCTCGGCATGGTTCGCCTCGCCCATTCTTACCCAAAGACCACCCTAACGAAAAGTCAGCTACCTCGTATAGAAAAGCGAACAAGCCTCCATACCTCGGCATACGTGGTTAGGCTCATCCTGAGCATAATCTTCTCCACCGACTTGCGACCCTCCGCCTTGGCCCAGTCAGCCGGTGGCATTAACTGGATATCCTCGGCCAGCTCGATGGTCGAAAACGCTTGGAGGAGCTTGATGAGGAAGAACGTCGATTCGTTGTAGGCGAACTGATGGGAAGGTATGAGTCAATTCGAGATGGGACCAAAGTGCAAAGATCGTACCTGTTGGCCGATACAAATACGCGGGCCTGCATTGAAAGGCAGGAAGATGAAAGGGTTCGGTGTAAGATACTTGTGGAGACGCTCGTCAAGGAAACGATCGGGGTCGAAGACCTCGGCTATAGCAGCGTGAGATGGATAAGTGAGCAGATGTACGGGAACATACCGTCAAGGCCCCATAGGTCCTTACGACGATGCATCAGGTAGACCGAGTATGGAGTGCTAGGAAAACAACTGTGAACTCCCGGGACGGGATGCGACAGAAACAGAGCATACCGAGTGTTAGCAGGAATGTAGATAGGAGGCTTGCCGTTGATGCTAGGCCAAACTACAGGTTTACTGCCAGTGGACCTGCAACGAATGTCAATAGCAGCGTTCTTTTCAAAATAGATATTATGCATACCGTAAGTTGAAAGGGCTGCAAGAGAAAATAGTAAGTATAAGCATGTTGTAAATATGCGCGATGGACTTACGCTGGAGGATACAGGCGGAGGACCTCTGAAACATAGCAGTCAGGCAGACCATACAGGCAAATGAGATCAATAAACCGACAAACCATTCAGGAATGCACGCATGTACTTCATATCCCGCATTTCCTCTAAAGTGGGCCTTCGAGAAGGACCCACTTTATTCAGGACTTCTTCACGAAGACGCCGCAATATATCTGGATGCTGCGACAGCATGTAGACAGCCATCGTCAGTGTGCCTGCAGTCTGTCCAGCATCTTCAATACACCGTTTGTTAGTGACTGTGAGCTACGCACTGTGTCTCTGCCCGCAATCATGATGTTGAAGGTTTCATCGCGAATAAGCTTATCGTCTGACATTCAAGTCTTGTCAGTCCCACGTGAGGGTAGGAAAGGGTACTGCGGCTCACCCTCAGTGACATTGACAAGGTAGTCAAGGAGCGTATCTTCATCTGCAACTTTCCCCTTCTCCCGTACCTGACCTAGTCCCTTCTCTTTCGCCTCACGTTTCCTTGCAAGGGCATCTTTTACTACCGGCTCAATGAAGGCGTTGCACACGTCCATGTGCTTTTGTACCTCATCTGCCCAGAACTCACGTAGACGCCATGCCGAGCCATATGTCATGCGAAAAACCGTCGCAACCTGGCTCTCCAAGAACGCCTGTGCGAAGACGTTGGCTGGGTGATCCTTGGCAGCCGAGGTAGCAGCGAGCGGAGAATTAGGTGGGTAGAGGAGTCCGGCAGAAAGCGATTGGAGGTCTTTGCCGAAGAGGAACTCGGTGGCCGAGTCGAGCGTGAAGCGGGAGACCATGTCCTGACGAAATTTCATGTTGTCATGCGACTGAAATGAGCACACACAAGGCAAAAATACCTGGAAATCAGCCGGATGCCCCTCTCTCAAGCGGGCCCTAGTCTGAGCAATGGCGTCGTCCGCGTGCCTTTCGAAGTTGTCGAAGTGACTGATACGATCCCTGCTGAAGAACGGCTTTGTCATAGATCGGTGGAACCTGAAAAAAGTGACGGTTAGTGAGTCTTGGCTTAGCTATTTACGGCGGATACTACATACTTCCATGTATCTCCTGCATGAATCAGCAGTGAGCTAGAAGCTAGCATGAACGTAAATTACAAAACACTGACCATCCGAGTTAAACACCCCTGTTCCCAGCAACGACTTTGAGGAATCATACACCGCATCTCCTAGGGTTTCATGAGGTTCCATGATGTTTGTACGCTACTTTTTTTTGATATGGTTTACCTTTGAAGTGCGAACTGAACTGTGTTGCAAGCATAACCTGATAAGAGTAAGGTAAGCATCGAAGAGCTCGGTACTACATGATGACTGACCTTGATATACTCTGGTTCTATAGTTTCAATCTAGTCAAAAAAAAAAGCGATGGCGGTTAGGAGCGCCAGACGCGCTCAAACATTGACGTTCTAACGCACCCTATTTTCCCACAGAATCCGCGAGTTCATCGTATTCCCAACAGCCTCAAAGTCAGCCTTGGTGACTTCACCTGTGAAATGTGTAAGTAGGTAGCTCACGGAATAGATAAGCGGCAGCACTAACCAATGTACCCAGACGTGAAGCTATAAGCAAGCGCTCCGAGTTTATCGATGGCTCCGGGGAGCTTGTACGGGACGACGGGGGCCAAAACCGCGCCCCTCGCTGCTGCGGCACGAGCGTCGCGGAAGTCTGCATACAGGAATGCGAGTATGAAGGACGCCGGAAGAGACAAAACACAAGCAGTAACAGTGATCCAGGCGGAGAGAGCAATCTGCTGGTGCTCCTGGAGGAGCCGTAAAGCCACATATGTGGCAGCAGGCAGAACAAGAAATCGAGGGGTGTTCCGGAAGATCCAGACAAATCCTGGCGGTATGGCCATGGTGTGGGCGAGCGCGAAAGAATTCTGGGACGAAAGTGAAGTCGTGCGGGGTATATGTATCGATTCCGCCAAATCGCGACAGAAAGAAGGACACCGTGAGACGCCCTATGTCATAGAACACACGCAACGAGCGCCGCTGTGCCTTGTCCACCTTCATGTTCACCGAATCAGCATTACGCAAACGGGACCCGACATTGCCGACGGACCGACGTTCCCTCGGCCAAAGTCAGACCATATACTTATGACCAAGTGATGCCTTCACTTCTATGAGAGAAAGTATACATCCGTTGTGGTGAATCCACCCCTTTAGAAGCCTTCAAGTGTCGACTCTCCTCGAAAGCTAATTGGCTGAGGTAGATGATATGGCACAGCAACGTCAGTGTTCGTGCACGTCCTTGCGCCGTGAATTCCTGGAGACGAAGGACTTCGGGCGTCAAAAGAGAGCAGCGACCCGCGTAAAACAGCTGCATAAAGGAGACCACTTATTCTTGGCTTAAGTTGGAACTAGCACCGGAAATCAATGCACGTGACTGTTGCACGGCAGTCCAGCGTGAGCTGAGCCCACTTCAATCTGTCTCCCTCTTAACATGGCGTCCTTCTCTTTTAGCCTGCGAGGCTACGTCGCACTGGCCATATACACTATCTTCAGACTACATCAATTCGGACTACTCCCAAACCCTTTCCAATCCTATTACCGTTTTACTCCAGTGATGCAGCTTCTTGTCAATGCGCTTCACTGTCTTGCATCATTAGTTCTAGCAGTCGAGATTCTCCTCGACTTTTTTGCATCACCACCGCCAGAGAGGATTCCACAGGAAGGAAACACGGATCCACTGGCATCTGAGGAGACAGTTCGCTGGTGGAATACGGTGACTAACGGGTTGGTTCAAGGGAAGGTGTGTGGCGCGTTCGTAGACATCTGCCCCATGTTGATGGGAGATCCACTCAGAAGCGTCACTTTCCCGGAGCGTTCGTTGAAGACCCATCTACCCTCGCCAGTAATCAAGACGGTGCAGATGCGGCTGCCGACTCGTTAGACTATGGATCATTTTCCTCACCTATGCTATTCCATCGTTCCCCGCCCTATCCATCCTTCATCATATCTTCATATTCAGCGCAGGTCTCTCCTGTTGTTCCCAGCCAGCAAACGTGCCGCAGCGGTGACGCCCTCGAGGAGAAAGAGAGCAGGGCGCATATATCCAACATCTCGGCCGACTCAAGAGAGCCGCCACTAGAGACGTCCCCGAGTAGCTTCATCACCGAAGCTATCTACAAGTTCATATTGGCGAGGACGTCTACTTCTCACAGTCGAAACAGGGCATCGGACAGCTCGGCAGACGAGCTCGATATCGCAGCCCATTTCCTTCTCGCTTCAGCATCCACATCCATGCCTTCGCCTTCGGCGCTGGGGATACAGCTAGAGGTCCCACGGACTTCGGAGGGCGTCGACGAGAACACGAATATGGCTAGATCGTCTTCCTTCGTCTTATTGACGCCATGCAATTCCGCTCTAGATCTGGATAACTCCCTCGAGAGGGTTGACGGGGATACGTCAAAGCGTGTCATCGAGCGTGGTATCAAAGCAATTCTAGAGGCAGTGGACACAAGTCTGGAGAGAGCGGCGGGCGACGATAACAGCGTCGGGAGCGGATCTCGAGGAAATCCAGATTGCGGAGAGGAGCAGTGTGAGCAGTCGAGGATATCTGACACAAGCATGTCGCCGACGCGGATGTCGCTGGCTCAGCTGGTTCGGGCAATTAAAGCGACGAGGGCTAACGATACTCGAGAAAACGATACTTCTGCCGCTCTGCCGAAGCTCGCCAAGCTTCCGCCTAGCTTCGTACCTCGAGCGCTCTTTATGGCACCGGCGGGAGATCTAGCGGAGACGTCTACAGGTGGCCGTGTCGCCGAGAATGGGAAGGAAGTCTCGGAGGGCCACAGTTCATCTGCGGCGCCACCTGGAGGCGTAGATGTACCTGTCCGCCTCCCTCCTCGACCGCCAGCTCTACCGGCGACGAGCGCGCATCGTCCATCTGCGTCCGACACATCCGCCATGCCGATGTCCTACACTTCCTACCCACAGCTAGTGAACCACGCAGCGCGATGGGCGCCTCCGCCTGTTCACCCGCATCCGATGGGCATCCAGCCGCCTTTCCCGCCTCACCTAGATCATCCCATGTTCCAGCCCTCGATGCAGCCGGGTGGACTGTACGCAGCAGCTGCGATGCACGCCCACAACATGAGCTGGAACGGCCCTCAGGGGTACAACGCGTTCCCACATCCTTATCCCCACCAGCAGCACTATCAGAACTTGTATCAGCTCCAGCAGCAGCAGCAGCACCATCTAGCGCACCTAATGCGGATGCAGACCGGGTTCCCCGGCGCGACAGCCGCGATGTGCTTTCAGAACTACAACCCCCCTTCGCGGCTGGGCGTTCCTCCTGCCAGCGGGACTACTCCGGTTCCCCCGCCTATTCCAGAACATGCGCCTGCGCCTGGCGAGGGGACAGGGACGCTGCCCGGCCACCCTTTTCTACCGCATATGGCCTCGTTCTCGCCCGAGCTAGCCGCCGCCGCAGCCACGGCCAACTACGCGTCAGAGGTACAGGACGTGAAGCTCCCGCAGAAGTGGAACGGCGTCGACCCTTTCGTGTCCTTGAGATGGCGGGCCGACGTGGAGCGCGAGTGGCTCGCGGGCGTCAGTATGCCAAAGACTAAGCCCAAGGCCGAGGCTGAGCCGAAAGCCGAGTCTGTCGTACAGCCAGACGGCGCCAGGGGCGAGGGCGAAGGCGAGGGTGAAAGCGAGGGTGAGAAAGACAAGAAGGGCGTCCCGGTGAGGCATGTCGTCCTGCGCGAGCCGCGCAAGAGTCAAGTGAAGAGGGGTGATGTGGGTGTTATTGGGGACCGGAAGCAGTATGCAGTTGCGTCTTAGGGGGGTGTAGACGTAGGCGCCGCAGGTCGCCAGCTCGATGGGGGTTACGGTCATTTTCTTGGAGTGTTTACATTTCTATAGCCTTAGGTTTGTCATTCATACGATAGTGTTGTATCAGTACCACAGATTAGCCACAGAGTTCACGAGGTGAGCCATACACGATGTGATGTTATCATTGAAGAAAGGCAGTGGTTTTGTGAGCGAAGGGTATCGTGTCGAGTATACACGTTAGAAGAGCGAGCGGTACAGCGGCCGTAGAGATACAGGTACACGGATAGCATCGGATATAGAGCAAAGAAGCAGACAGGCAGATAGATAGACATTCGAAGCAACCATCATCCGATGAAGAGTAATACCGCCAGCCCTCGTACGCATAGGTCAGACCATCGCAGCCACCCACTCGCTCCCCGGCCGCGCCCTCGCGACGAGCGGGACGACTCTCACCGTGCTGTTGTTGGTGTCCCGCGACCGCGACAGAGACTGGGACTGCGACCGTTGTATCCCGACCCAGAGCCTGAAGTCCTCGTCCGTACGCAGCGCCGAGCCGCGCGGATCAGCGCGGTCCGTGCTCAGCGCGTAGTGTCTGCTTGTTCTGGCGTATAGCTCGGACAGGAGGTCGTGCAGAGAGACGGTGAGGGGCAGGGTGAGGCTCAGAAGGGTGTTAGAGGGCAGGAGGAGAAGGGCGAATTCGAGGGCGGGGGTGGGCGCGGGCGCGGGTGCCAATGCCAGCGCTGAGAGAGGCCCTGATACAGATGCGGACGCGGAAGTAGAGGTAGATGACGAGAGAAGCGCTGTAGAAGGCAGGGCAGAGACGGACTGCGCGAGGATGAGAGAGTCGCTCTCGCGGAGATGTGTGCCGAACGAGGTACCGGTGGGCGCGAGCGTGGACGAGGGCGTGGGCGACGTGGGGCTGCCGCCGCTGTCGTTATAACGAGGCATAGAGCAAGGACTACCGCTGCTGCGTCTGCGTCGGCTGCGTCGGCTACGGGGCGAGACGGGCGCGAGAGAGGGAATGCGTGGTGGCGGTTCGCGCGGAGGCGAGCAGGGCGGTGGGATGGTCCTGGGGGAGCGTTGTCTTCCTAGTGGTACGGGCTTAGCGTCATTGGAGGTTTTGACTTGAAGGGTGTTCGTGGGCTCTCGGAGGAGCGAGTAGGAGGTAAGAGAGAACGCCGATATGAGCTCGCCGACGGGCCTTGGGATTGAAGGTGACGAACTTTCCGGAAAAGGTTCACGAGGGCGAGACGGCGATGGCGAAAGCGAGAGATGCGACGAGCCGCGGGGGAGAGAGAATCCGCGAGGCAAAGGAAGGGGTTGTTCGTTGGCAGGTACAGGCGACAGACGGACAGAAGGATCTCGAGACGGAGTAATGACAGACTTCCGAGCCTCAGGCAGCGAGAAGGAAGACGAGTCGCCCCGTTCATGAGAAGTTCTCATTGCCCTCCGACGAGACAGGTTAGATGCGCGAGCGGCAGGACTCAGACCATGGCTAGGAGAGAGCACAGATGAGGCGTAGCACGGAGAAACAGCAGCAGCAGCAGCAGCAGCAGCAGCAGCACGCAGAGGAGAGCCAACGGGAGTACCAGGATCAGAAAAAGGGTTGTAGTCCGCGATAGTATCCACAATATCCACAACGGAGTTTCTGGTAGCCTTGGTGGGCGTTTCCGAGCCCAACCTGCCGGCGAGCACGTTCGCGCGCATGAGCTCGTCCAACAGCGCCGTCAGCCGGGGGCCGTGCTCGGATGGCACGGTCGAGACGCGGTGCGATCTGGAATTAGCAGGGCTCGTCATCGTCTTTTCCTCGGACACCTCCATGATCGGGGACATTGGACCCATCGCCGTATTCGGTCGGGACTGCGGGAAGCCGCCAGAGCATGAAGAGGTGCGCTTTTCGTCGTTCTCCTCGGTGTTGCTAAGGCCTAGAGAAGCGCGAGAGCCACTGTAGCCCCTGTCCGTCCTACGCGCGAGTTTTTCGGCGGAGGGAGAGGGGTCCATCGAGGGTGGCACGAGGTAGGTCAGGCCGCGCAGGTTGCCATCCGAGCATTCGGGGCCGAAGTACATGCCATTCTCGGGGGCGTATGCCGCTTGCACCGCGAGCCGAGTCAGCCGTTCGCGGTGGGGGTTGACTCTCGAGCGGGCGGGTACAGGCAGATGCGCCGAGAAGTGGGTCTGGGAGTCTATCGATGGTTTGTGTGCCTTATGGTTTTCCCGTAGAGATGAGTTAAGTAGTGAAAGAGGGAGCCATAGCGCTTACCTTGGACATTCCAAGAGACGACAACGAGCGGGACAGTCGCGGATACCGGCCCAGCTCGCCACGCACGCTCTCAGATGGCCTGCGTGGACCCGGCCTGTTTGTGTGTGAATACTCCCTGAACGTGTCCTTCCGCGTGAACCATGGATCAGTCGCGCGAAGCGTCGTAGCGAACAGTGAAGGCGCCAGCTGCTTGCACTCTTTACCGTGGTTTGCTACGGGCAGAATCCACGAGAAACCTTGCGCGGCGCGCAAGGTACCGCGCGATCCCGACGATTTGCGTGCGGCCTTGGCTCGGGCGGCGGCGATGCCAGGGAGGAAGAGCGGGCGGAGGATGGAGCGCCGCTTTTTCTGGACCTTGCGGCGGGCGTAGAAGAGGTAGCCGACGGAGAGGGTTGTGACGACGCATGCGACGAGGCAGATGACGATGATGGCGAGGGCGGAGATCTGGGCGGAGCGGGCGTCGGTGTCTCGGTTGTCTCTGTGGACGGGGGCTGCTGAGTGCGTGGGTGAGGGTGCAAGTGAGAGTGCGTGGTTTGAAAGGAGTGTGGGCTGCATTATAAAGCACAAATGAGTGTAAGGGGTGAGTGAGCAGAAAGTGGAGATGGGGGGATGATCTCGTACCGTGCAATGCACATCTTTAGGTGTCCTAGATTTCGACCTAGACTAGGCGGCTGGTCGCTGTGTTTCGGTTCAAGCTACTGAAGACCATGAAGGGACAGAAACGCACCAAGCTGGCGTCGTCAGAGAATAAATCAGTCCACAAGCTAAGATGACATGGAGATTGCATAGGTAACATCCCTCGAAGATTACCCTCGCTGACTAGGTTAGTCAACAGACCTTTTCCAGGACAGGAAGGGGCTGGGTGACGTATCGTGTTAATATTTGATAGTAGGCTGTCATCTTGAAGTGGCTGCTAGAAAGGCACTATAATGTGACCTCAAACGTCACTTAAGGGTATACTAGTGTACTTACCGGACGAGGATGTGGTGGTCAGTGGAAAGACTAACATGCACTGCCACATGGCGCTTAAGCGATGTTGTCAAGATCCGGAGTCGACTTGTCAAATGATCGAATTGATTTGCATCCGAAGCGGTTTGTTGGGCGTCTATCTGCCTAAAGTCATCCCCTGTCGTCTGCCGTCACCACGTTCCTCTCTCCTCTCACTCTCCTCATCGAACTCCTCAGCCTCAGCAATGGCTGCAATCACCGCATCACCAACATCGCAATCCAGCCCCGCCTCTCTCCCGCCTTCGGTCTTCACGCTGCCTCACACAGCCCAGCTCGAGGCGCTGTATACCATCATTCGCGACAGGACGACATCGCGCGGCGACTTCTTGTTCTATTCTGATCGTGTGATCCGCCTGCTCGTCGAGGAGGGGCTCAATCACCTCCCGGTTGTACCCAAGACGGTCGAGACACCTGTGGTGAGTCCGTATTTGATCGCTGTACATCAGTATTCGTGCTCTGCACGCGGTGGTGCGCTCATCAACATATGCACGGCTTTAGGGGGCAACATATAATGGCGTTGGGTTCGAGGGGAAGATATGTGGTGTGTCCATCTTACGTGCTGGAGAGGTGAGCTTGTGTTATAATGCGAGTGTTCTCTGTATATGCTGAGGCTGATAGTGGTGCTGTAGGCGATGGAGGCCGGTCTCCGCGAGGTGTGCCGGAGTGTGAGGATAGGCAAAATCCTTATCCAACGCGTAAGCGCACGCTTCAATTCTGTGTGCTCATCCATGCCTTACCATATTGCGTGCCTAGGATGAAGAGACCGCTCTTCCGAAGCTGTTCTACTCCAAGGTACGTCTTCTCGACAGGACCTACAGGCCCTCCGAGGCTGATGTGCTGCTCTTCATAGTTGCCAGAGGATATTGCTCAGCGATATGTGCTGCTTCTCGACCCAATGCTCGGTGCGTGTTTGATGCTCTCTATACCGGCGCGAGCTCATAGCTCTCTTGCAGCTACCGGAGGCTCTGCGATAAAAGCAGTCGAGGTTCTCAAAGATCACGGTGTATCGGAGGAGCGAATCATCTTCATCAATTTGGTGCGCTATTACACCATGTAAAACCACTCGTTCTCTGACGTTCACCTGTATTTGTAGATTTCGGCTCCTGAAGGGCTAAAATCATTCTGCGGCAAGTTCCCAGCGCTGCGCGTGGTAAGACCTTCCCTCGCTTCTCAACGCATACTATTAACAATACGATAGATCACGGGGTGGATAGACAAGGGCCTTAACGAGAAGGCGTACATTATCCCCGGGCTAGGAGATTTTGGTGAACGCAGGTACGTGCCCCTCTTACTGGAACGGATAAGCGCAGCTAAACCAACCTGTCATGACGTCGCCCAGATACTGCGAGTGATCGGGGACTCGGGATGTGACCTAGGATAATTATAAACACTGTAGCCCCATCTTCGCCACTTCATTCACGCATTCTGTTGCGCACTCTTAGCATGTACACTTCCTTTATACCAATGTCAAGGGCTTCGTGTGTGGTGACATCCACTGATGCTAGTACAGGCAAGCTATATACGTACTGAATCCAACACGTGCATCTGGTGAGATGGCCGAGCGGTCTAAGGCGCCAGACTAAGGATCAGTTCGCACTGCGAACACATCTTGTACTCATCCGAGGCAATCTGGTCCGAAAGGGCGTGGGTTCGAATCCCACTCTCATCACATCTTTTTGCGCTTTTTTGCTTTCTTTCTTGCGGAGAGTTGTATCCGGCAATCGCCGGGCGATTGAGGCGCATTGGTTGTGCCTGGTGAGTTCCTTCGCATTTGTCAGCTATCCTTTATTCGATAATTCCCCATGAGTCAATGGGCCTTCCATCGCCACATTCGGGTCTTCAAAGGCCCTCAGCGAGCTAAAAGATGAGTAGCGAGAGAAGGGAACTCAAACCAACTACTTATGTGGCGGGCGCGTGATCCGAATTCCGAATGCGCGCGTTGGAGTCGACGCGACCTGCGTTCATTCACTCTTTATCTTCTCCACATTCCCCATCCTCTCGTTTCTGTACATACTATTTCGCATGCACACCCTCCTTTATGGCCACTATCTTTAATGCTTCCTCTCCTTCTCAGTCACCCATACCTTCCTCTCCGGCGGTCCCGTTCACAGCGCACAACCAGCTCTTGCTCTCGTGCGCCTGCTTCGCCTCGCTCGCCCTCATCTCTACCATCACCGGGTTCTTTCTGCACAACAAACGAAGGCGGCGCGTGAATGTGGACATCGAGGCTCAGCATCTTCCAAACACACCCCTCGAAGCATCCTTTTCAACTATCTTGGCTCCTCCGCTCACGCCAACACCGTTCACACCAACTCCATTCACGCCGACTCCGCCAAACCGCCAGTCGATCTTTGGATCGTCTTCTCCACGCCCGGGATCTCCTGCTAGGGGAAGGGACTCGCCGTCCAAACCGCGTTTCTTGTCAACCACTGTTTCTGCTGTGGACCCGTGCTTCCGAGACTCGGACGCTGCGTTGGTAAGGCCGAGGCTGAGACTTGGATCCGTGAATGCGCGTGGGCGGAAGGGCGATGTAGACGCTCCGAGAATGAGACCCATGTTGAGGCTGGGGCTGGACGATATGGATGCGGGGTTGTGGGCGAGGGAGGCCAGCGTGAATCTGGACGATGTGTTTGAGGTGCGTTCGTCTTTTCTATGCTGCAACGGCTCTTGGTCAAGTCATGACGCGCCCGCAGGTGTCGTCTCCCGCTTTATGGGAGGGCCATGACGACTTTCCTCCGCTGGCACTGCCGAAAAAGAAGGAAGCGCGCGATCGAGTGCGGCGATATGGTCTCGTCGACATCGCCGTGTCGATCGAGTACAGCACCGACGACGGGAGCCACGTCCGACTCTCGATGAAGGCCTCGTGCTCGGCAGAGCATATACAGAATGCACTGATGAAGCTCATCGGCGCCACGCGGCGGTCGCACTCCTCGTCGAAGGCCAAATCGCCCATACCCGCAGAACCCACCATTGCGCCGGCTTCATGCTCCGCTGCCAGTGCCAAATCCGGGCCGAGGCCGCGGCCCCGACCGCGTCCGCTGAGGTCCACACCGCAGCGCCGCTTCACGGACGATCCCAACACGTGCCAGAGCGCATCTATGCCCTGCCCGCGCACGAACTCGCCGCTGACGGTGTCGTTCGTGTGGCCCATGCCGCGGGGCGTGTCGCTCCCGCTGTTCTCGCCGTCGCTCACGCATGCGAACATGCAGATGTGCGGGTGCCGGAGCTTTCTGTCTATGGACGACGAGGACGAGCGCGACGGCGGCAGCGGCGGTGGTGAGCCGGCGTCGACTGTGTTCAATAAGCTTGTCAAGGGCACGCGGCCGGGCTTGGGCAGGATGCGGGCGTTTGCTAGATCGGATTTGGGCGAGAAGGCGGGCGCTCAGAGGTATTGTATTCTTGGTGCGGGGTCGGTCTCTGGCGTTTCTTCTGGTTGTGGGTACGATAGGTGGGTGTCTAGGACGGGTGGGACGATTTCTGCTTCTGCGACTGTCGCCACTGTGCAGACGCCTCGCGTTCCGTTTATGGCTCTACCGAGGCTGTCGATGGTGGTGGAGGACGACGAGAGTCTACGAGCGCTGCAGCTGCGAGAACGTGTGTCGGTCGACGATACGACAAGAGCTCAGACTGAGAGTGCTCCTGGTGTATCTTGTTTCTCCGTGTCTTGCGAAGGCGACTGCGAACGACTTATGGATAGTACTTTCGCTCAGGGCTCTTGCGAACGGTCTCTGCCCATATTGTCTGTACCTGGCGGTGGAAATGGCGACTCTCCGGATCTCCCCTCGATGATACAAGCTGCTCTCGAGGAAGATATCGTCTCAGACTTTCGCAAATCACCCCAGGCCACGAAACGTCTATCTTTGTCTGCGTCTTCGTCTCTGCACTCGTCTCTCCCTGCCTCGAAACTAGCCACCGATTTTCTCCGGACTTTGGATATCTCCTCTAGCGAACCTCTCGCGCCGCCCAATCCAGCACCCTGGCCTCAGTTCGTAACTCTAAAGCTGCATCTGTCCTCGAGCCCGGACGTACTCAACGTCAACGTACCCGAAAACATGTCGCTCGGCTGGCTTGGCTCTAAGGTGCTCTCCAGGCTGAAGCGCGACTCCTGTCGGGACGACTCTGTCGTAGATCCGGAGATGAGCTTGATTTCGGACTCGGAATCGAGCTTCAACTTGGGCAATACAAGCTCGAACGTGAGCTTCAAGCTGAGCGCGCGCGCGAGCGGCGCACTCGGGAGCTGTAGGCGGACGATCAGCGAGGAGCAGTTTGGGGTGTGGCTCCGCCAGAAGGCTGGGAAGGTCAGAGGGAGACATGGGGCTGTTTCGGCGTATATTACGGCGGAGATGGGGGCTGTTGCTGGGGTGGGGGGCGATGACGAGTGAGGGCGTGAGGGTGAGGACTTTGGGGGCTCTGAGGGTGGGCGCGTGCGGTTTCTTCTCTTTTTGTCACAGTTTATTTCCTTCCTGTCCTATGACACGTCCACTCCTTTCAGCACCACGTCAATATACATAGCACATCCTATCAGATCTCGTTCTGAAGAGACCGCATCTGGTCACGAGCCTGGCAGAACTTGACGCGTTTCACTCTTGACCGCACGATATGTTTTCTCATCAGAATATGACTCGTCCCTCACAAATGGGGTCTGCTTCTGAGTTCGTTTCAGGGTCGGCCACGTGTGGGCGTACGACGGTAATTGCCCTTCTCATTTGGCGACGCGTTTCGTAACACGCTCGGGGCGCAGCGCGATTCCCCAACAACGCCCTCCGAGATGCGGCTTCCCGTCTTTCCTTCTCTTCTTTCAACTTGCCCCCCTAAGCTGTACTTCTCGCTAGCGATACTTCCTTCCTGTTATCCAAGCGATGAGGTCAAGTGGACTGCAAGAACGCTTGAATGACGGTCCGAGTATGGACGCGTCGCGTCTCTTCAAGATCGCGGTCGACGCGTCGTGCGCGCCTGGTGGGACTCAGAAGTATAAAGACTTATTGGCGGAGAATGAGATGCTCAAGGTGAGAATACCATACATGAATACTTGAATACGCGGTTTGAGTTCTGACCTATGCGGTGTGGCTTCCTAGGCATACGCGAGAGAGTTCATAGAAGAGCGAGACGCGGAGATGGCTGCCCTCGAGAAAACACTGGGGAAGACAAAGGACGACAAGGCGCAGCTCCGGATACGCGTCGCTGTGCTGCAGAAGCAGCTCGCGAAGGTAGGGAGAGAGAAGGAGAAGGTGGAGAAGGAGAAGACGGCGCTCGAGGAGCGGCTGGGGGTGTGCGAGAGGGAGCGGATGACGTTTGCAGAACAGGTGCGTGCGCGTTCTTGTCATGCTATATACGACTTGTTGAGATACTGACTTGCGTGCGTTGGAGGTAGACGAAAAACTTCCTGGCGCTTTCTTCGCAGCTGGAGAAGGACGCTGTCTGGATCAGAACCGAAGCTCTGGCTAGACTTGCCAGTCCACCGCGGATGGAACCTTACTTCCAACCTGCTGTTTTCAAGTTCAAAGATAGTGCAGAGTTGGCCTCGAACGTGAGAGAGGTACGTTTCGCGCGCAAGACTGTTGTGACCCCTTCAAAGGTCTTCATATATGTCGCAGGAACTCGAAAGGCAGACGTAGGTCCTCTTCAAGTCTTGCGAGTTTGCTTATAGCCCAGTTCCTTATGTCTTGTTTGTCAGCGTAGTGTTGGTACATCTACCACCACGGGATCTCCCGGTCCATATGCCACTCGATGCGTATGGGCAACACGGATACTGGTTCGCTCCAGCCAACCCACCCCCTCCAGATATGCAGTTTCACCTACTGGCTGAGGGTGCTCCTGACCAGGTACGCCATACTATCAGGGACGTCTACATGACGTCTAGAGCGTATGCTCATGAATATCTGTGGCACAGTGGGCCTATCTTGGCTGTTTTTCAAGCAGTCCGTTCGTAGGCGGTGACATGTCCATCGCGGAATGGTCGTGTCTCGACTTCGCCGTAAGTACCATAATCACACCATTGGCTGCTATCCCTCCACTGATGTCCCGCCTGCAGACACAGCACGCATACTGCCAGCGTCGAGCCGCCGAGAGCGTGGCCCAGGGCAAGGCAACGTCGGCGGATGCTGAGGGGGAGGCGCTGACATTGCGGCGAAAACACGACACGGGTGAGATGCGCGTGCCGTGCTTCTATTTACGCTGTGTCGGGTTTAGCATGGCGCTCCACGAGGCGCTGCGGGCGTGCTTGCCTAGTACGCCGATGACGCCCGACTTGGTCTTTGGTGTGGGTCAGTCGTATGCTCCAAGATGGGCGAATATGCCTGACAGTGGATAGTGGCCGCTCAAGCGCTCATTCTTGATTGAAGTGTGAAGTGAGGCAGCGATGGTTTTGAGGATTTGTCGTTGCTTTGTTAAATTGTATGCATATCTGTATTTGGGTCTAGAGAGACCGAATAAAGTTTAATCTACTCAGCAACGTGTCTATACGTCTTCGATGATAAACAAACTTCTTCAGGGCTTAACCTGTTCAAACTTGTAAAGAACCTTCCTGACAAAACGGCAACAAACACCATAAAGGGTAGGCCTCTCCTTATCTTCTTCTGCTCTTACCTCCACCTGCACACGCCAGTGGCACTAGTCTGAACGATGCTTGAATCTCTGGATGAACGATTGAAGGATCACCCGATAGACGCGTCGCGCATGTTAAATCTCGCAGCGGACGCGTCTCATGGGCACGATGTAACTCAAAAGTACCTCCAAGCACAAGCAGAGATTGAGAAACTCAAGGTACGATCTCCACTTGCCATTCCGAGTGCCAGGCCGAAGATGCATACACTTGACATTATGACATGCTCCTCTAGGCTATGATGCAAGAGCTCCAAGACGGTCAAGTCGAAGATTTCATCTCCACATTACGTGATCATACGAAAGAAAACGACGAGGAAAAGAAGGGCCTGCAAAAGGAGCTGAGCAAGGTCAAGAAGGAGAAAGGCGACATGAGGCGACGCGTTGTGGCGTTAGAGAGGCAGCTTGAGGAGGTGCAGACGGAGAAGGTGCAAGTCTCCAGAGAACTTCTGGTGTGTGATGAAGAGCGAAGGACGCTATCAAAACAAGTGTGTTGGCTGCCTGTGTCTAATTTACAGATCAGTCAAAAGAACTGACGCGCATGGCGAGAACAGGCTGAAAGCTTTGTGGCGCTTTCCTTGCAACTCGAGAAGGATGTGGTCTGGATTAGGTCTGAGGCGCTTGCAAGGATGAATCCTCCGCCTCCGATCGATCCCTCTTTCCGTCCCATTGTCTATCAGTTTAAGGATGTCGCTGAGGTGGGCACGAAGATACCAGAGGTGAGTTTGTGTAACGAATGCAGTCTCCTATCATTGAAAGTCGTTTGAACGTGTTTTTGTCGTACGCCACTGCAGGAGTTCAAGAAACAGAGGTTGATACTTCTCCGTATCACCCTACATTGTAGCAACTAAGAAGTTCAACAGGGCTTTCTTCGTGCCACTTCCTCCGCGGGCGCTTCCTCTGCATATGCCACTGGGCGCTTATGGAGAACACGGTTACTGGTTTGCTCCGCCCATCACGCCACCGCCAGATGCTTGGTTCCATCTGCTTGTAGAAGGTGCCCCTGAGCAGGTGAGCTGTCTGTATGATAATTTCAGCGCAGGAAGCGAGTGGTTCTGACTTTTGCAGTGGACGTATCTGGGACAATACGTTAGCAAACCATTCGTCGATGGAGAGATGTCGGTCGCCGAGTGGCTGTGTTTGGACTCTGTTGTAAGCACAGCCCACTATCTGATAAGCCTAGGGAACCAAATATTGGACATTATTGCAGACAAAAACTGCGTACTGCCAACGCCTCGCCGCTGAAAACAAGGCAAAGAATCAGCTGAAGAATGCGGATGTACTAACTATACGGCGAAAACATGATATCGGCGAGATGCTCGTCCCTTGTTTTTATCTGCGTTGCATAGGCTTCGATATGGCTCTCCATGGCGTGCTGAAGGCGTGTTTGACCAGCACACCTATGACACCCGAAGCTGCTAGTACCGGCTCTGAGCAAACATACGCGCCGCGATGGGCCCATATGAGCGTTGCCTCTGATTCAGTGGCTGGTCGTTGACTAGAACATACTGACAACGCGTACCACTAGATGTGGCAATTTATCTAGATTTTAGGAGATGTTTCGTGAAAATTTGATGCAAATATCATTACCAGAATTTCTTGGTGTGTACCCGAGACTAATGAAGGCTAACCTAAGCTCGACAAGTCTGGTGTATGCCGCCGAGGCTCATCGGCGGTTTGGTCTTCCGCTGCTCGCGATTGCACTCTCTGACACTGCATGTTGACTGCATGCTTGCTGTACAATCTCAGTGGGGTCAGTTCATCCGAATAGGCGCTTAAACTAGGTCTATAAATATAAATGGGGCACACGTTGCTGTGCGCGGCGTTCCAAACACTTTCTTCCAGATTCTCTCGTCCCATCAGCTGAATCATATAAGTAAGACCAATACATGGCGAGCACAAGTGCGTTCTAGGCCCCCAAACTTCTTTCATCCCTCACTTCTTCACCCGACGTCTGCGATGGATTCAGATTTTAGCAGTGATGATGAAATTTGGCGGAGGTTGTCAAAAGAGATGGCCCGTCGTAGTGCGGAGTACGACTCTAACGAGCGCAGGCCGTTCTCCGAGTGTCTTCCCGGAACACGTGTCGAGCTTCTCGATACGTTGGAGCAGGCGCTGACGAAAAAGAGTATGCAGATACCCGAGGAAGGACGCCGGATGATCCCAGGAGGCCGCGTAGAAGTTCAAGGGAGCCAGGAACACGCGATAGCGGACCGAAAGATCGTAGGGCTCTTCGGAGACTCGGGCTCGGGGAAGTCAAGTGTTGCCTATTCCACAGCTGAGCGACTCCGGAGCCAGCATCGGCTAGCCACCACATTATCTTTCTCGCGGAAACGCTTCTCTAGAAGCAACACCGACTACGTCTTCCTCACTTAAGCTCAGTGTAAGATATCTTCTCGAGAGCCGGTCTGAGTCCGTGAGGCACAAGAGTGTAGAGATCAAAGCTAGCGAGAGTTGGGCCCATCGGCACCACTAGCGGTCTGAGAGGAGGAATTCGAATGTAAAGAGAGAAGGCTAGTAGAACAAACGTGCAAGCTGGGCGTCAAATGCGCAGAAACGCATCCATGGCTATCGGATGTTTTATACACGTCTTTCGCGCATTGCATCCGGGCGCTTGTACTGCGCTTGTGCGATTTTTTTTTTGCTTCCGATCACCTTAAGTTATGTCGGTCTCTCTTGTTATGACACGGGTAATTAATTGTTCAGTTCTAGACAATGCCTGTCATTGCGCAACCATGTGTGCATTTGAAAGCAACCATCCTCGTTTTTGTGCGCAAACCACCTGCGTCTCTCCCTTTCCATGCCTTTCCGTCCTCTGCCTCAGCCACCTGATTATAACTCTGGACCGTCTGATTTCCTAGAGCTGCAAGATGTCTCAACGTACGCACCAGAGCGGCATACTTACGTACAGCGCTTCAGTTCATGGAGTAACAGTGAGGAGACGCAGTGCTTGGACGATAGTAAGAGCATGGTGACAGACAGTGAAGGTGAGTCCTCTGGTTTTTGGGATAAATGCGGTGGACTGAGCAACCCGTGGCTTCACAGATGAAAGCACACCTGTCGCCCTTCCGTTCCTCCCTTCTTCCAGCACAACACTACAAACCCCGAGTACGACACTTGGTTTCTCAGCTCGACACATCCATCAGTTATCCCATGTGCTCCATGGCCTCCTTGTCATCCTACATCTCATTCTCCTGGGCGTGTATTCCCATCATCTCGAGCATCGTACGGTGTTAGCATACACCCAGCAAAGCCAGGTTTGGACAACGGTGCTGAGTGCATCTCTGCAAGCATTTTACGTCGTGAGTTGTCTTGTGAGTTGCATACTTCACTCTGACCTCACGAACCCCCTTTGAGTAGATATATGCGTCGCTCCTTGTCGTATTCACCCAAAAACTCGGTCTACTCCATAACCTTCAGCGACGACAAAGCCTTACCACCATGGCAGACGTGTCGGACGCCTGGGCAGGTCTAGGTTCGGCATTTCTTGGGCTCTGGCACCAGACAAAACTGCCAGTATCTGTCGGAAGCACCATAGCTGTGACGTTATACCTTCTATGCGTGTTGGTGCTGCACATTGCATCATCAACTATCATGCAGCTCGAAACGTTCAATGGAACTGTGAATGCGTCCGTGCCTACTAGGCTGCACCTCCCATCAAACTTCTTCGCTGTTGCCCAGGGCACCGGGTACACGCCGTGGCCGGTCGTTGACCAGTACCTATTTGCGAATGACACTATTGGCGCATACGCGTCTCAGCCAGGGTTGTCCGGGTCGACGTTGTACGATGTCTTGCCGTCAAGAACGAACGCATACACAGGGAGGACGCTCGTCAATTCGACTACAATAAACGCGACGTGTGGACTGATGGAAACCGTATCAGATTACGTTTTCCCTGGATTCACCCCTTGTGAGTGTTCGCTGGCTGCTTGGGATCCTAGTCAAGTCTGCTAACTTGTTGAGGTCTAGTTTTTGACCAAATCCAGGTACGCGGGCAAACATATGATGTGGTAAGAAAGGGTACCATTTGGGTCGCGTTATAGTTAACCCGATTTGGACCCGATTGCACAGTCCCCAGGGAAGGTCATGTACTGGCTCACTACGACCCTAGAAGACGCCGACTCAATCCAAAAATTCAACAGCCCTATCAACTACACGACTAAGTGCTGTATGTCAATTCTTGTATCGTCTCGTGTTCAAGTCTTTTATAATATATTTCGATGTAGCCGGCGCCGACGGCTCAATTCAGCAAAACTATACAACAGCAGTTGTACCTCTGTACCTTGCCGGTTGCTACGTTACCATGCAGAACAACACTGCTGCCTTGGACGCGTCTACGAACGAACTCCTTGAAGTGCCTTCAATGCAGCTTAGCTCGCCGAAGGCGTGGGATGCCTTTCCATTCAGCGTTGATGGCGCGACCAGCTTGGTAAGTGTTCGCATGTGCGTGTAAATAGTGTGGTGTTTGACTTGTGTCCTTGGTAGCCAACCCTCTTAAGACTGGATGACGCACCAGAGTCGCAGTGGTCCTTCACGAGCGCAAATAACACTGATCAGCTGACTTTACTGGACGTGTGAGCCTCTTCGTGACTTTTCTGTTGGGTGTCACGCTAATTGACGAGATGACGCTAGACACCTAACTCTAGGGTTGGGCACTGACCTTGTAAACCAAACATGGGCGCAGTTTTTAGCAAGCCCCCCTCCATGCAGTGAGATGAAACTCAACGCGAGCATATCGCTTGGCGCTGAGGAGTTTGAGACGATGATCGCCAATATGGTCGCGAGTATGATGTGGATAGGTGCGTTTTCATACCTGCAAGCAGTTTGAGAGGATGCGGACTTGACTGGGCATAGCTACCACCCAGATGTCTGACACGTTCGGATTCGAGATTGATTCTGGTAAGGCCTGGGTTGAGCAGAGCGTGCTTCAGATGAGATTAAACGTGAGCCTCTACTCTCCATTATTATGCTGATCGTTAGGCTAACAAATTATTGCTGCTCTCCAGATCAACGCTGTGCCCGTACGTCTGCACCTCGTATGTGACCCGTACATACCGCTGACACTATTCTAGCTCGTGTTTGCGTTCATCGCATCCGTCCTTATGCTTGCCCTTGAAATCCACATCGCGGGCTTCAAGCTCGCCGAGGATTCGCACATCAATCGGATAGGCATCCTCGAAGGTATCTGGCTAGCAGCGCGCCATCCGACGATGCGTAGCTGGGCCCGAAACGTCCAGATGCCTACGGTTGACGGGCTGAGGGCGGCGGGGCTTCATGAAGTATGTTTGGCGGAGGAGCTCAAGATTCTTGAGGCGGACGGTGACATCGGATTGGGTGGGCTTGGCAGGGATGGAGGGCCGGAATAAGGGTTGTGAGTGCTTCTTGTTGTTATTATACTGCTCTACTCAATCACTGTAGAGTGTAGAAGGCCATATATGTACGGGTACCTTGTTTCAATCCAACACGCAGCTACTAGCTTCGAGCGTTAAAGTCATCTCGTTGACTTCTTTCCACACTCTGAGATGCTACTAAGGGATGAAAGACCCACGCATCAACCAACGTTCGAGCTTGATGAAAGGTGATATTGCTTCGGTGTTCCCCCAGATATAGGTTTAATTTGCGAGGACTCGGACACCCGATTATTAGATAGAAGCGCGGCTCTTCGGGAAGCTGAAGTGCACGCACAATGGACATGGAAAGAAGCAACGGAAACATCCGTAGGTGTTGCTTCTAAACGGCGCTGATTGATATTGCCCTACCCTAATATATATCTACGCCTACAGATTCGCGGGAACGCGCACACGTTCCCCTCCCCACTTCTCCCTCACATCTGCGGATCCTTGACGTTCCTCCTTCAGCATACTGCCAAGTGACGTCAATTACCGATGCGTACTCGCACACGTAAGTCAATCCTTCAATTATTTGCACATTTCTCGAGGTTGATCTCATTCGCAGAATCCAAAAATGATGCAGAAGGGGCGCAACAGCACGCCTCGGACGCACAGACCCGCAAGCGCAAGAATGGGTCTGACTCCTGCCCCTCCGGCGATATAGGTAGGCTACGAAGATCACAAGCCTATTATCTCATATTGACGTGAAGGCTGTTTTCCCTCAGACGTTGAACCCAGGACGACACGGGCGGCGGCAAGAAAAAAGCAACGTCGGCTGCCGAGCATCATCGTTGTTTCCGACGATGACGCTGACCCCAGCGCGGCGGTAAACGATACCTCAGATGTACGTGCTTATCAGAACATGTGAGGCTCGGCCAGTCAAAATTAGCTTATTGACGGTGTCTCGTAGGGCATTGAAATTATCGCTTACCCCGGAACAGACCAGGCACCGGAGAACGACGAAACAAGGTGGCTCCCACACACCCAGCTTGTTCGTTCAAAGTCAGAAAGCAAAGGTTGTCCGCTCCCGATTCGCAGCCAATCTCGAGAGATACAGCGAGTCATCACGGATGGTCTGCGACTCGCTAGACGATGGTTTGTTTTGGGTGGCGGTGACTGCGACTGGGTTACGAGGGCGATCAAAGGTGACTTGACGGAAAGTTTCATGAGTCCCTTCGCATTTCATGGCGCGGATATGGTGTATCTTTCCGCCATGATCAGTGTTGCAAAGGAAAATGGCCTTACTGACAGAGGAGACGTTGTCGATCGACTTGAGAATGGATCCACCGACTACACTACGCCACTGATCACTTTTGTGCGCCTTGAATCACTGCGTTTATGTTGTCTTATACTAAATGTTGCTCTGATTAGGGTGCCGTACGCCTCAGAAAGTTCTGCACAGGCTTCAAAGCTGCTGTTCGACATGTGGTCTACCGTTGTCTTAGGCTGAACTCTATGACCAAGCGCGAGGTCTCTGCCCTGATTGACCACAGCAACTATATCTATCCTGCGGTTGAAAAGAAGGTAAAGTTTTGATTTATCCCCATTATCCTTATCTTACGCTGACAAGAGTTGAACATCAGTTTGATAAAACCAAGCCGTTCGAAAGTGAAGTATTAGCACAAGCTATCAGGGCAGCATTCTTTGTTCCCAAGACCTCGCAAAACCAAGGGGAACACTCGCTCGACTTGGGCTTGGTTCATGGCGACAACTTGATCTCATCCGACAGGACACGACGAAACGAACTTGAGGTGTCTCCTGGCATGCTACTGCTTGCAGCAGCCGCTGTATGTCTTGAACAAGCCTTCTCCTATCACACCGCTAATGCTGCACATCACTAGGTTGCAGCCGTACTTAATGACAAACTTGCCGGTGGATCTTCAGAGTTTTCTGGGCCACATTACGATTCCCTGTTCAAGGAACACCTGGTTTTGCTCGCTACGCTACGGAAGCTTAAGCCAGTTGCTTACCACAGGCTAATGCATGGGATTCTGATGAAGTGCCGGTAAGTCGGGGCATGTCACTTCCCGTGGAGAGTGTATCATGACAAATGTGCTAGGAGTGAGATGCCCATCATGTCTGGTCGATCCAATGCCCTCCTCAGCGATGTGGAGTGGGATTCGATTGTTGGGTGATCACAGAAGGGTAAAAGTGTAGCTAGGTCGTTTATGATGTGTTTAGCACGTACATATGACCCGACTGAGGTTTTATTGAAAGCACTACTCGATGGTCAATCAGCAAAAAAGCGAGGGCAATTATCGACAAGGCAAAGGCGGTGTACTTTTAACACACGCATAACGATTCACAGTTGAGCACCCCATGTCGTGGCAATGTCTGCACTTGCGAATGCTCTGATCAGAGCGCGCGATTGGACAGGGAAGAGCATCCGCTTCCAGACCCATTCCGTTGACAGTGGTCGTCCTGTTCATGAGAACGACACTGTTCGAGGAAAACTCGTCTGCTTACAGCAGCGGGCACTGCGGTGCGGCGAGCACCTTTCCATACATCTCGGTGACCCATACGAGGACACCCGGATCCGGCCTGGATGGTGAAATCGCTGCTGTACCCAAGGGAGTCGACGTCGAGGTTCGAAAACTGCATAAACATCTGTTTAAATGTGAAAGGCTGCTCCACCGCTCCTGTCAGACACTAGCACCTTGTAAAAAGCTTGGAAAATACCTATAATGGTATTTCCAACGGTATTTCCTCGCTTAAGCTACTACGGATAGACATCGAGTGGGGAAGTGGATCAACCATCATTAGATCATAACGCCAGAGATAAGTAATTTACATGAAAAAGTACGACAAGTCCATGAAGAGAGAAGGTGAATTATATTCCGCAAGAGCGATTAAGCCGTCTCGGCAGGATTCGCCTCGCCCATCCTTACCCAAAGACCGCCCTAACAAAAAGTCAGCTACCACATCTACAAAGACGAGCGAGCACCCGTACCTCGGCATACATGGTCAAGTGAGACCTGACCATAATCTTCTCCACCGACTTGCGGCCCTCTGCCTTGGCCCAGTCAGCCGGTGGCATCAACTGAACGTCCTCAGCCAGCTCGATAGTCGAGAACGTCTGGAGGAGCTTGACGAGGAAGAAAGTAGATTCGTTGTAGGCGAACTGATGCGCAGGTGTGAGCTAAATCGGGATGGGACCAACGTACAACAATCGTACCTGTTGGCCGAGACAAATACGCGGGCCCGCGTTGAAAGGCACGAAGATAAAGGGGTTTGGCGTAAGGTACTTGTGGAGACGCTCGTCAAGGAAACGGTCGGGGTCGAATACCTCGGCTATAGCAGCGTGAGATGGATAATCGAGCAGATGTATAGCACATGGGGGAACTTACCGTCAGGGCCCCATAAGTCCTTACGACGGTGCATCAGGTAGACCGAGTATGGGGTGCTGGGCAAACAACCATGAACTTCTAGGACGGGATGCGACAGAAATGAAGCGTACCGAGTGTTAGCAGGAACGTAGATAGGAGGTTTCCCATTGATGCCAGGCCAGACTACAGGTTCGCTGATAGTGGACCTACGACAAACATTAATGCCGATGTTCTTTCTATAGTAGATATCACGTTTACCGTGCGTTGAAAGGACTGCAAGAGTAAATGATGAGCATGGGCAACGGGTGTGTATACATGACGAACTTACACCGGAGGATACAGACGGAGAACCTCTGAGGTGCGTAACGGGCGGTTAGACCAAGCAACCAACGCAACGTGCCAACGACGTACCGTTGAAGAAAGCCCGCGTATACTTCATTTCCCGCATATCCTCTAAAGTGGGCCTCTGAGACGGACCAACTTTGGCAAGGACCTCCTCACGAAGACGCCGTAAGACATCTGGGTGCTGAGATAGCATGTAAACAGCCATTGTCAATGTGCATGCAGTCTGTCCACCCCGTCAGCATACCGCTTGTTATAGGCTGTGAACCACTCACCGTATCCCTGCCCGCGATCATGATGTTAAAGGTTTCCTCACGAATGAGTTTATTGTCTGGTGATCAACTCTTGTCAGTCCGCGCAAATGAATGAAAGGAAAGTGGAACCCCACCCTCAGTGACATTGACAAGGTAGTCAAGCAGCGTGTCTTCGTCTGAAACTTGTCCCTTCTCCCGGCCTGATCCCTTCTCCTTGGCCTCACGTTTCCTCATGAGCGCATCCTTTACAATCGGGTCGATGAAGGCGTTGCACACGTCCATGTGCTTCTGTACTTCGTCTTTCCAGAACTCACGTAGACGCCATGCAGGGCCATAGAAGAACCGGATAGCCGTTGAGATCTGGCTCTCCAAGAATGCCTGCGCGAAGACATTGGCTGGGTGATCCTTGGCGGCTGAAGTAGCGGCAAGTGGGGAGTTAGGTGGGTAAAGAAGGCCGGCAGAGAGCGACTGGACATCTTTGCCGAAGAGGAACTCGGTGGCTGAGTCGAGCGTGAAGCGAGATACCATGTCCTGAACGATTTGTCATGCAGGCGAAAGGCATAAGCATGAGACATGAAACGTACCTGGAAATCGATCGGATGCCCCTCCTTTAGACGTGCCTTAGTCTGAGCAAGAGCATCGTCCGCGTGCTTTTCGAAATTGTCGAAGTCACCAATGCGATCTCTGCTGAAGAATGGCCTTGTCACAGATCGGTGGAACCTGAATTGAGAGAAAAAGTAATCAGTTAGTAGCTCTCAATGCAGTCATTGACGACAGATATTACGTACTTCCATGTCTCTCCTTAACAATCAACGAGTGAGAAGCTAATATGAAAGCAACTCATGACAAACTAACCGTCTGCGTTAAATACCCCTGTGCCCAACAACGACTTTGCCGAATCGATCGATGATTCACCTATTTTCGTGAGACTTCAAAAAAGTAATGCATCAACTTAGGGTTTCAAATTACCTTTGGCATGTGAGTTGAACTGTGTCGCAAGCATAGCCTGCCAAAAGCGAGGTCAGCGTTCGATAAAGCGGCACCCTACGTTTGAGTTTTTACCTTTATATACTCTGGCTCTATCGTTTCAATCTAATATAAGCATGTAGGCGAACGTCAGGATATTTAGTAACGCTCAAACATTGACGACCTATCGCACCCTGTTTTCCCAGAATATCCGCGAGTTCATGGTATTCCCAACAGCCTTAAAGTCAGCGTTGGGGACTTCGCCTGCGATATGTGTAAACAAGTAGCTCGCTGCATAGACAAGCGATAGGACCCACCAATGTACCCAGTTGTGAAGCTTTTAGCAAGCGCCCCGACTTTGTCGATGGCTCCAGGGAGTTTGTACGGGGCCACGGGTGCCAAAACCGCGCCTCTCGCCGCTGCCGCACGAGCGTCGCGGAAGTTTGCATAGAAGAATGAGAGTATGAAGGACGCCGGAAGGGATAAGATGCAGGCAATGACGTTGAGCCAGGTGGGAAGAGTAAGTTGCTGGCGCTCGCGAAGGAGCCGTAAAGCCACATATGTGGCAGCGGGCGGAACCAGGAACCGAGGGGTGTTCCGGATGATCCAGACAAATCCTGGTGGTATGGCCATGGTGTGGGTGAGTGTGAAAAGGAGATCCTGAAAGACAGTCAAAGCCGCTCAGTGTATATATAGAGAGATCACACCATACCACGACACAAAGAAGGACACCCTGAGACGTCCCTCACAGAACACACGCAGCAATGCCGCTGCGCCTTGGCCATCTTCGACGAATCAACATTACGCAAACGATGCCGGAGGATATTGTCGGCGTGGTGACGTTCCCTCCCCGGCCACCGAAGTAGACAATTCACCTATGGCCTCCTATGGCACTTTCGCTCCTATGAGAGAAAGAAAACGTCGATTGCGGTAGATCCAACCCCTTAGAGGCCTCGGGGTCACACGCTCCCGAGCCATGGCCGAGCCGAGCCCGACTCCTCTTGAGACCTGATTGGCTGGAGTAGGTGACATAGCATGGTGGCTCCAGGGCTCGAGTGCGTTCTTGCGGCGCCGAATACTGTCGTCAGCTAAAGACCAAGTAGTTAGATCAAACCTGGACATGGGACACCGGTTTTTGGCGACAGATGACGCCCAAGTCTCTGCTAAGTCATCAGTAACTTTGGTGCAGACTCCGAGAGTACCGGGGTTGTCAGAACACATCGCTACTCACCGTCGCGCTCAGTTCGTGCCTGGAGCGTTCTGATGTTGAGAAGTCCATCATTCAACAATCGGGGGATGGATGGGTTGAGAATGGTTTAGATACAGTACGTGTTTTCTACGAGTGAACTTCGAGCTTTAGAGGCCAGCTTTGATTCCGTCACGGCGTTACGTCGCAAGTGAGCACACGATTGTGCTGATGAGGAAACCAGGCTCATAATAGACTGTCCATGTAGTACAGAAAATGAGTTGAAGGAACGCAAAATCCAGCGCGCGTCTACTCGGCTCCGTGAGGTCAGTTGTTTCAGACTCCGCGATGATCCTTCTCGCAGGCGGGCGCGAATCGGAGCGCGCTCCTCGCTCTCCCTCTGGATCATTTTGCTTCCAAAGGTGGGCATGCGAGGTGCCCGAAGGTACTTAGGTACACGCACTTCTATTTCCTAGACCTTTACTTAGGCTTCAGGCGTGGTACATGTATACCATGGTCATTATGTCATCTATGTCACAAAAATATGATCCCCCATGTTCGTACATTCGATTCGCATCTGCATATTTCGGCTGAGGTCAGAGATGTCGATGAATGACTTCTTTTCGTATCTGGTGTAGCAACGCAGCTATATCCTCTATGTTCTGTACGCCTGTGGCAAATAAACCCAAATGTATTGGCGTATCATACGATATCAACTATGCTTACACATCTGGGATCAAATCCCAATCAACATCGTCAACAATCTTCTTACCCACCGGTTGATGTCCACTTTTTCCGAGAGAACTCCCGCTGAATGACCGGACTGCATTAGCTTTCGAGTTACGCGCGGTTGTCCCACAGGGTACGCACCAGCACTTCTCGAGGATACCGTGCATGAGACGATGATACGCCACTGGCTTCCGCTTTTGAAAGGTCGCTAGCAGGAGTAGATGGTCTTTGAAGAGTTGGTCGAGCTCCGCGCCAGACAACGGAGCCCGGATACTGCCATTCAGCTTCTGTTTAATGACAGCGGCGATCTAACAAGAACAGATGTTGTCAGCAAAGCATATGTGCAAGTGGAGAGCAACACAAGACGTACTGCCGTTGAAGCAAACAAAAGCATCGCTGGCGTGACCTCATGTTCGTCTGACCGCTCGTTGATTGAGGACGTCAATTCATGACGATAAGCTAGGCCTAGACCGAAGCTCTGATAAACTTGATAGTGGACCTCGGATTCACCATGAGGTGTGAAGAATGCTGCTTTGATTCCTTCAGATATAACCTCACTACCAAAAGGCTTTGTCATGTCGGGCTAAATCCAAAAGCAACAACGTTAGCAAAGGCAAATGCGCGGGGCAAGAAACCTGCCTTTCCATCTTTATGTGGGTATATATAGCTGCTGTCCTTGAGAAGCGCTGAGAGTTCGTCCCGGGTTTTCCCCTGGATATTGAGCAAACGATAGGCTTTCGGCTGTACGGCCCGCATGAACCCTTTACAAAGACTTTTGAGTCGTGTCGTCCCCTGAATGAGTCAATAACTAATTAAAACAGTGAAGTGCGGAGTTGTGCTGCGTCAAGTCTCACAAATATCACAAGCGGATAGACAAAAAGCTCCATGGATCCGTTCGCTAACTTATCGAGAATGTCGCCTTGACCGTCGTAGCCAGCCCCCCTCGCAATGTGAACCATGGCCGCGAACACCACCATGTTTAAACCATACCCACGACGGGCTAGAGGAGACTGAAAACGATGCAGCCGACCATCTTCGCTGACCTTGGACATCCAATCGCAAACATCACCTCCGAAAATGAGGTTGTGCGCTGCTAGAGTGGCACTGTCTTTGACGAACTGCTGCATCTCTGATGTCTGACGAGATAGAAGAAAGGGGTATAACATTCGCGACCCCTTCCTGTTGAGCTTTAAGGCTGTATGCGGCAGCCAACGTTGTTCCTTGTCCTGTGTCTCCTGCTGAAGTGAGAAAGGGATCACAAAGGTCATTATACAATGGTACTTGCCAGCTGTTTCGGGAATAGCTCCTTCGTCCGCAACTCGGAAACTTGAATCGGAAGCTCCGTATCGTTGTCATCCGCATTTTCTGCTTCGGACACATCTGACGCGCAGCACGAATCCTCAATCTCGGTGAGCTCAGACTCAGTGTCTTCGTCACTCGAATCAATGACAAGCACTGACGGCTGACGAGTCCCTGCCTTTGGTCGTACTGAGCGTGTCGAATCTCCAGTCCCCCTTTCTTCAGTACGGTGTCCTGCAGAAGTGTCAGCACTAGCAGCTATTGCGAGGGAAGTTGGCCTACTCACCTTCATCTTCCAAGTCAGACCGTCGCCGCTTCAGACCACTGCTAATCGTAGGAAGCCCTTTGGCTAGCCTGATCCAGTCGCAATCTTCGTCTGAGCGGTTTGGTCAAGAGAGGAACGGTGGTAGCATCGTAAGCATATCCCTTACACTCCTGAGAGGCCATTCGCGTCTTGAGGTATCGACTCCACCCACAATCGGTACGCTGAAGACACTTGATGAGGCATGAACCGACAACGAAGCGCCTGCTGACTGACCTTGCAAACTTTGGTGGGCGCCCAGCGACGCGTCGCGTCGCGCCTTTCGCTTGGGTAAAGGGCAACAAAAAGAGAATGGTGTCAACTGTAAATGACGTTTGTGATTGCCGAGCTCCCCTTTCAGCGACTCGCTGTTTCGCGGGGTTAGATTGTATGTGATGAACTTCATGCTCCTGCAAATCGTTGTCCTGTGACAGAAAGATACATACACTTGAATTCTGTAAAGATACTCTGCCTCAACCAACATATTGACTTTTGACACGCAGCCGGAGACAAGGAAAGGATGTGACGATGATGTCATACTCGTTTGACGCGTGAGAAAAGCCAAGAATGCGCGAAAAGTGTCGCAGCGACGCGTCTCGGACGAGGATTACCTCGGCCACATTCCCGCTCTCACTTGCCCGATGCCATTCGCTACGAGCCGTATGTTCTCTCCGGCGTCGTACACTTGCCCACTAAAATCTAAACCCTCGTATACTTGGCTGTAAATAACATCCCGCCGCATTCCAGGGACATCACGGATCACCTCACCTTGCATGAGCTGACGCCCAAGATGTCACTCACAACGAACTAGGTGAGGTTTTTCTTCTCTGAGGGGATAGACTAAGAGTCGACTCTGATACATGTCTGGACGTTTCTAGGGACGCCTCCAACAGCCCCCAGCCGTACCAGCGGTTTATCATCCAAGCTTTGCAGCCTGACCAGGAAACCGCTCCCCGGTTCGCCTTCGAGCTCGTCCTCACTACGGCAAATCAAGCTCGATTCGAAACGAAGGTATCTTCTACTGGCCCCGGCGCGACCAACAGCAAAGGGTGGGCGGCGAGAGGCGACGATGTTGCAGAAAGGGCTGGCTGCTGGCGAATCAGTGCTACGAAGCGCGTCTTTCTCGTAAACGCGACGCGCTAATTGATCCTCGGTCGTCAAACCTTCAAACCCCTGGTCGGCTAGGTGACTCAATCAAATGTAGGCAGGGTTCGTCCCCTCTCCCTTCTCTTCGGCGTCGACTTTGCTCACCACGTACGCTCACTTGCCCATGTCAATAGGCGGCGACAGGGTCATGTTTAACATGAAGCTTTGCCTCAACCCGCGCGAACTTGAAACCGAGTGCGCGTCTCGACTAGCCTGACGATTTTGTTTGTCCCTGTCTCATCGTGTTCCATTTTCGCTCTACTATGCCGGAACCCGCAATGAAATCCGTCACCCGCAATGAAATGAAATCAGATATTTTGTTTTTCCCTCTCGCTTCGGGCCCTCAACAAGCCCTGTTTTTGTTTGTGAGACATAGTATGGGGCTTTCTGAAACCACATATGAAGCCTTAAGCTGTAATGTGTCCATACAACTTTGCCACGACGATGCCGCGCGAGAGTCACGGTTTACCTTTTTTTCCCTTCTTCGAGTTTGCGACGAACACCACTCGCGCAGAACATCCTTGTTTCACTCAAAACTTCGATATGCGTCAACTATGGCATGGAATATGAAGCCAATCAAGTTTGGTAGCAAACGGAATACAGGAAAGTACCTACCCTGAGCAGTTTTATGAAAAGAAAGACTGAATACTCGATTGTTTTGTACCTAGCGTCTGTAGTTTTGATTTCTCCACCAATCCGTGCGATAAAGTCATAGAGCAGTTACATCAGATGGCCCATGTTCATTTTTGTAGGTATACGCCAAGGGATGGGGGAGGGGCAGTCGAATCAACCTATATTTCATTGCGGGTGACGGTTTTCATTGCGGGTTCCGGCATAGTATCCCCTGTCGCTGAAAGCGGATCGGAGAATCAATGCCACGTTTTCGTGGGTTATCTGTTTACCATCATCAATCAATCGCCTTCCAAGCGCTCGAGGTCGCTCGGAAATTTTGAAGCAGTGGCCGGTCACTGAAATCCAGTGTATATCTCAATCACCTCCGAATATGCACAACGCACTCCTTCTGCCGGAGCTCAGAGATCACATCTTTGACTACATCACACAACAGGAAACATTAGCGGCTCTCGCAAGGACATGCACCGCGTTTCTGTGCCATTCTCGGGACCGATTATGGTCAGGTGATATTGACCCGATCTCGATGGTACACCTACAACACGTTTTATCATATGTGATGGTCGAGAATGGATGCGATGAAATTGTGAGTGCAACGTCGGAGGTGCAAACCGTTCAACAGCTGGCCCGACGAGTTTCGGCGCGTCGCTAACTCCTAGCCACTCTACCAGATTGACCTCCAGTTCGAAACTAAAGAGGACTGGGATCATGTCCTTGAGTATACAACTCGAATACGGCATCTATCCCTAGACTTATACTCTCGCCCGGTGATATATGAGTCGGCCATTCTGAAACTTGTGTCCCCTCCATGCAGCCTCGAGAAAGCGTTCCCAAAACTCCGTTACCTTGATGTTGACGGGATTAACCCGCAGGTTCTTCACGCATACACCAAGTTTTTCTCGTCCCAGCTTGTCTTCTTCAAAGCCGTGTGCGATCCAGACAATAGTCACACCCTTTTATATTCACTCCCAGAATGTTCCTCGCGCTTGCAGATTCTAGATGTTGCAGATCAACACCCTCTTCGCCCGCTTCAGGAGCCTATGAAGCCTCTGATAAAAGCAGTCTCGGCCGCAGTTGTACGGCTACCTTTGCTTTCAGAACTCCGGTGCCAGGATCTCCAGCCTCACGCGCTATTCCATATCTCTCGTTCATCGTGTCTACGACGCCTGGTTTTGTCCGATCCAGAAACAGCTCTCACAAGGGAAGGTGGTGCTTCACATATCGACCAATTGGATTTTCCAGCTCTTGAGATCCTTGAACTGCCCGTGTCTCCCGGGATGGCGCTGCTCAGAAAGCTTAGGACACTTCCAAAGACGCTAGTTATGGCCGGTGGCTCCACCACTCCACAGGAAGTGCAAACGCTTCTCTCTGTCATAGCTCAGACTGATCACAGTGTCTTGGAGGAGCTTCTGCTTAGCGGGGTCATTCCCATCTTTGGTGGCGGCTTCGACCCACACAGCACTCTCACCTTCGATCATCTCAGACCCCTTCTCCATATTGATAGTCTGCGAACTCTTTCCCTCGACATAGGTTGCTGCATATCTCTGACACTGGAAGAGGTCACCGAGATCGCTCGGGCTCTCCGTCACCTCAAACAATTGTACTTCAGTCCGACGGCGATGTCATCAATGCCACTCTACAGTTTACTGGCTTTCACTGCCAGATATCCTCAGCTAACCGCCATCACCATACCCGTCGACGACGCTCCAAGCATTCCAAGGCCTCCTCCTGTTTCGAATGTGCGATCATGTCTCCAGCATCTCTATCTCGCCGTGCGTGACGTACTGGATTTCGAACCCATCACACATTTACTAGCCGACAACTTTCCATCGCTGACGACCCTGACACTGCGAGAGAAACCATCTACGTACTCCCTTGCCCCAGATAATACCCCTACTGTGTTTCTGCCTTTCGTCAAAGCGCTTTTGCGCCTCCGCAGGCTCACAACCCTCGTCTTGCATTTCATGCGTTGCTTCATGTTCACGGATGAAGACATCAGGGCAATCGCACTGGCGTTTCCGCGTCTCACGCGCCTGGAGCTGCTCGGAAACTCGATGGAAGACGCGTCCACTCCCCACCCTCTGGTCTCGTTCGATGGCATCCTAGCTTTGACGGAGTCCTGCCCCGATCTGAGCGAACTCAGAATTCAAATCGACGCCTGCCGCTCCTTGCACAAGGCAAGCCTCGAGCAGTGGCTCGAGGTGAGGCGAGGAGCCCCGCGCAATCGTACTCTCACGAGCTTGGATCTGCTTAGCTCTCACATCCAGAATCGCGATGCGGTCGACTTTGTGATCCTGCTGGTTGCCTCGTTTGAGCGGCTCGGATACCTTGGGATATACGGAAACGTGCGAGGAGCGAACGGACATGATTGGATGGAAGAAAAGCTCGGTGTTCTGCGTGAAGCGAGGAAGGAGCGGGATCTGCGTGAGATGAGCGCTGATGAGCTGCGATTGATTGTTGCAAGTACCAACGGCGATGACGAAGACGTTGTGGAAGATGAGTACGATGGAGATATGGAGATTGTGGACGATTGATCTGTAGGTGCCTATATTCACTCTCAGTATAAATGCTGACGTTTCGAGGTCTGACTTGGCTGTTGATGTGAAGCGCTTCGTAAACCCGAGTTATATTGCACTATAGTGATACAAACCACCAATGACTCATAAACTTGTACCATTCACAACCGTCGCACTCCCCCACGGCTGCGGCGTATCGCTCATCTCAAACACAATCTCGCCCCCGTTCACGACATCCTCATAACGGACTATAGGTTGCTCGAGAGCTTGCCCGTTTACCGTAACCGAGCTGACGTATGGCTTTGAGGGTGCACCCGTTGAGGTGACCGTCAGTGTTTTGTTAGAAGGGAAGTCGATGGTGACCTTGTCAAAGAAAGGGCTACGAGAGCAGCGACATCAGCGATAAAAGTGACATGCGGATAGAATGAACCGGAAAAGCATACCTTCCAACGACAAACTCCCCAGAGACGGGATCAACAGGGTAAAATCCGAGCGTAGCGAGGATATACCAAGCACTCATTTGGCCACAATCATCGTTCTGGAGACATAAACTAAGCATCAACCTCAATAGACAGGGGAACTAGTATACGCACACCTGAAAGACCATTGACGGTGGAGTTATAGTTCTCCTGAGCAATCTGCCGAAGCAACGACTGCGTCTTCGACGCAGCACCTGCAAAGACGTACAGATACGGCGCATGATGCGAAGGTTCGTTGGTCTGATCGTTATGCCCTGCCAAAGTCGCCCCACTATGTTATCATTTCGTCCACTGGGAATGCCGTGGGAGCTCACCTCCGCCAAAATATTCATCCAAATACTCGACAAAGCTCTCGTTTCCGCCCTTGCGCTCAATAAGCCCAGGAACGTCCTGCACAACATCGAGCGTATATATCCACTTATCGCCCTCCGTCCACCCTTCGTCCGGCCCTGCAAAGATACCACTCGAATTACGTGCCTCCATGAAGCCGGTGGCGTTGTTGAAGATGGTGAACGGGGCTGTGCGCGAGCGGTTTGCGAAGAACGTCGCGTTGTCGGCTTTGTTCAGGAGGGTGGCGAGGATGGAGACGGCATAGTCATCGTCTGTTGTGCTGATGGGTCAGAAAACAGCGGACGAGCTGGATAGGTAGCATACATGCGTAGTCGAGCGTGCGAGACCCTGCTTCGGAGTGCACGTCGTTTTCAATCCATCCACGGTCGGCGTAGGAGGTCGACAGGCCCGCGCGAACTTCGTAGTTGACAAATTCTTGGCGGTCGGCATAGCTTTTTCGTCGTTCAGGACTGATTTGATGGCGTACTGATAAGGGGAAACCTACTGAGCGTCAAGACTTCATCATCCAGCCTCTCACGACCCCCGCGACCAACTGGAGCGGCTACTTCTGCGCACGCTTCAATCAGCCCTTCGCTTACTACGGCGTTGGCAACAACGGTACGCTCTCCGAGGGTGCGGCGAGCGGAAACGGCAGCCAGCTCGCAGGCTATGTCAAGTTCGCGGACAATACAACGCAGGTGGACGTGCGCGTCGGCGTCTCCTTCATCTCAGTCGACCAGGCGTGCAAGAACGTGGACAACGAGATACCCGACGGAACGTCACTCGAAGAGACGGCTCGCGCGACGAGGGCAGCTTGGGCGGAGAAGCTGGACCGGATTCAGATCGAGGGTGCGACGGATGTGCAAAAGACGACGTTTTATACGGCGTTCTTCCATACTTTACAGGTCAGAGGTTGCGCATACACTCACCGTTTACAACACTGACACTGCCACTAGTACCCATACGAACAAGACGAGGGCGGGAAGTACTATTCCGGCTACGATGACGCAGTCCACGATGGTCCTTCTTACACTGGCTATTCAAATTGGGTAAATGGATAGCTTGGTATCCGGTTGTTTGCCTAACGCATTGCCTAGGACGTATATCGCGCACAGTGGGGATGGCTGATCATGTTCGCTCCCGAACGTGTTCCCGGGATGGTTCAAAGCATGATTCAAGATTACCAGGAAGTAAGTGTTTCATGGTTACGCTGATAGTTATGTTTCTGATGTGCATTGAAGGGCGGCTGGCTTCCGATGTGGAAGAACATCATCGGTAAATTCCTACTTTATCATTTGTACGCATAACACCTTACACAACTTCTCGTTACCAGAGACGAATATCATGGTACGCTGACTATTTATCACCACCAGCGCGATCTAACACACTTGTTTAGGTTGCGACACACGCTGACTCGATGATCGCCGAAGCGGTCCTAAAGAACGTGACCGGGTTCGACGTCGATACGGCCTGGGAAGCAGTCTACAAAGACGCGACTGTACCTCCCATCGACGATGCCACATGCGTGGGTTGGCTCCGGTGATCTCGTGAGTGTCCGGGTTGATGGAGATCGTACCAACGGGGTAGGTGTAATTGGTGGGGTCAGCTGAACCCATGACGGATGCCCGAGTAGCCTCGAGGAGGACGTAGGGGGTAGAGGTGTTCGAGAATGTGAAACGGAGATGCCCAACGCGCGACGCTTGGATTGAAAACACCAAGTTAGGCGCGCATAGACGATGTAGTGGACGTACACAACTCACTCGCACTCTGTTCTGCCAGAATCGTTCCCCCCTCTTTCGCATCTAAGTTGACGCTGTAATAGCTCGGAGTCGAGACCTCGTTGTCATGCGAGAAATTCATCCCTCTGTCCTCAAACCTTGCCTGAACTTTGCCTGCGCCAGCTGCGAGCACAACCTGTCCGCTCTCGCCCATCCATATCGCAGGCTGGTGTGTGCCCTGAAAGCCGTGTATGCTGGTAGCGGTGACATTGTACGGTGTTACGGAGACGTAGTTTTCCCGCGTTTGGGCCACCCAGCGCGTCATGGCAAACGGCGGCGCTGTAGAAGGGATCATCCCTCCCGAGCCATTGGGTGAGTCGCCCCCATTGCCAATCATCCTGCACTCAAAAGCTAAGTATAAATCATGGTCGAGTGATCGAGAGTTACTCACGGATTGACATGGTCAACTGCATCGCTCGGCGGTTGAGAAAACGCGGAGGGTACGGAGGACTGATGACCAAGGGAGAGCAAGCTACTGAACAGAACAAACTGCGCATAACGACTTGAGCCCATCTTTCCTTGTCTCATTCGTCTCGCTGAGCCAAGTTGTTAGGAGAAAAAAAGCGTTGACTCCAGGCCGGAGAGAGCAGCATGATGCATGATGTCGGAGAAGTCGAGGTGGGCATGGGACTCGCTATTGCTTCCGAGCCCCGCGTATCCTATCAGGTGCTAAGATCTAAGAGGTACCGGCCCGGGTGCCAGTGGCGCCCGTATTTTCGACACTCGGAGAAGGTCAGATCATGTTAAGTACAGCAAGATTTTTTCGCGCTTGAAATCAACTTTCTGCCTATAGGACTTCGATATGTTAAAAAAAACTCATCACGGCCCTGAGCATATCGCACATCTTCCTGGAAATAAGGCTGCTGGTACACTCAAATGAATATCGCGGCTAGGGAGTAGCTCGAAAACTCAGTAGAACTCCTGACATAGTCTCGTCCGAATTGATCCCGTTAAACGCTCATTACAGACATTCATTGTGATATCACAAACACTCTATGATTGTGTTCAAAGCTTTGACAGGCTGAGGACGCAGAAGAGACTTACTTCGATGAACAATCCCGGGACCATACTCGTCATACTCTTTCGCCGAGATTGCAATATCTTGGAAGACATCTAACGAGGCCAGAACAGATCCCCCAATCCATGCAGAGTGCTGGCGATGTGGAGGGGCAATCACTTGCACATGTGACGGAGCCAAACGTGATGTTTCGATTTGCAAGCGATCAGCGAAACCGGGCAGCATGGTAGTACCTCCGGTCAGCAAGATGCTGCTATATAGATCTCGACGAATGTCCGGGTCACAAGTGGAAATGGAGTGCTTCCTATGATCGCTCGCTGTCATTCATATTCAATCACCAACAAAGACGTAGCAAACTCACACTGCTTCGTGTATGCCTAGTCCGTTTGGACCCAAGACTCGTGGTTGGAACAGCACCTCCGAAGCGCAAAATCTAAAGACATGATTGTTAAAATTGTCATAGCACTTCGCGTTGTAATCTACTTACCGCTCGGAACCCAGCGTGATTCTCTGTTTGTCTGGTAGTTCGTAATCCTTTGCGAGAGATGAGGACTGCGAAGCTGCTTGCATCTCTTCGTCAAATCTGCAAGCTACATAACAGAGCTCTTCTTTGATACAGCAAGCAGTAGCGCGGATTAGCTCAGGTGACGCAACCGCCGTAAATGAGCATTCTCGCTCTTTCAGCTTCCGAACGATATAAAGCGTCACGTCCGCACCAGCGAGAGGTAATTCCAAAGTCGCGCGTGGGAGGAGAAATCCCTCGTATACTGGAGCAGTGAACGTCATTTCTTCACCAGAGTTAACGATGAGGCCGGTGGTGCGTCCGGCTGCGTATAGGGAAAAGATAGACCGCATGCCAACGTAGAACGCAGGAGTGCCGAAGGTCTCGAACATTATTTGCGTCATTTTCTCTCGGTGTGCCTTCGGATTGAATACAGTTTCTGTGAGGACCATAGGGTGATTTTGAGAAATAATTTTCATCTCGTTATCAAAGATGTGATTCCATATCTTCTCCATCGCATTCCAGTCCGTAATTAGCCCATGTTCCATAGGATATTTGAGGGCCAGAGCGTCTCGCTGTGACTGAGCTTCGTGACTATTAGAGACGAGAAAAACATTGATATATCTTGCAACTTGTTGTAGGTAGTAATGCGTACCCAACGTAAAACCTATCTGGTTTAGATGCATTCACTGAAGGCGAACACCCAATGACGGGTGGGAAAATAACCCCAGGGACCTCGGTGTCATCTTCTGCTAAGTGAAGTGGGTAAAATGACCTTAATCAACTTCTTATCACTGTACCAGCAACTTGAACGAATCAGAACCCATGCGTACTAAACACCACTCAGGAAGAAAGCTCACATCCAGCCTTGCATTTACTATTGCCATTGTCGATCACCTAATGGGGGAATAGAGCTCACTTATTTATAATGTGCCATGTACTGTGTGAAGCCTACAATGGGGACAGAGCCAGTGCGTATCATCTCCGCTGTGTTGTTTTAGATGGGCTTTGATGCAGATGATGGATCGATAATGACCGGGGTTGACCATACCGCTATTGAGCAACCGATTTTCTCACGGCCCCAAGTCACCCGACGAAAGCGGTGCAACTCTTTTTTGTTATCACTCGCTTTCAAGTCTTTGTTGGGTTTCGCCAGTCACTGGTATTACCGCTTTGCCTACCTTGAAGCTTATTGACTTGTCTAAAGAACGCAGCTGCTACGTCTCCCAAAATGCAGATCCCAGTTTCCCGAGCGTACGAATATTCAATTAATTCCCTGCATCTTGCCTCATTTTTGAGCATACACACACCGTGACACACGCGTGCGAGTTAAGTAATGCGGCGAGAGGCTTATCAACCTCACGAGCGTTCATCCAGAAATGCTGTGGAGTATAGGTAAGTGCTCGATGAGCAGTCCGTCGTTGGGGAATTACCAATGCTGTCGTTAAAACGGAATCCTCACGAGGTGTATTCACCGTGTTATTCCGTGATCCCTTTTCTACTCCATTATTGGTCTCGTCCATCCCCTGGCGTCTCTGTCCTTTATTGATTCATATAAGATATGCCGAGAGATAATCTATAGTGCAGGATCGCACTTTGCTTTATCTCGTGCTTCTGAATTTCGCTCGTGATAATATAGTATTCTCTTCTGTTCCTGCGAAATACGGGAATGAAAGTTATGGTTTGTACTGTAGATTCACGTATTCGGGATAGTCGGCTCTGAACATGAAAACCTCATCGGAGCTGTGCATAGTGAAAATGTAGTGTAACCTGCCAGTGAACATCTCCGGAGCCATCTCGGTTCGTGCGGGGTAAAACCTCTGGGGTATGGTGGCTCGGATCAACAATCGGACTCAATCGGATCAGTCCTCGGTGCTTCCTGGATGGTCTCGCTGGCATAAGTATGCAATACTCATTGGACCTTGACGAGCCTGTACCGTGCGGGGTTATCCGGGGTTATGTGCCAGGGCGCCGGAGGGCGCCGGTAAACGCCAGCGAGTATGAACTTCGAAGTTCAAGGTACATTGTTGGATGTCACAGACGGTTGTTAGAGCAACTATCTTCTGCCCAGTTCTTCCATTCGTGCGAAGACGCCTACCATATGACTACATGCTACGCAATGGCAGTCAGAAGATCGCGTTTCGTTATTGCTTTGTAGGGACTTGCGTTGATCGATTTCTGGGACCCAAGCTATCGCGATTTTATCGGCGACATAGGCTGGAGTACTTATTGTTTATAGACTATGTATGTGCAATTCATCGTCATATGGCGCAAGGACGCACGCGTTGGTGTAAAACCATGTCGTCCGCTGAGCAAAGAGGCAGTGCATGCATGCCACCTGGTTGTGTATCGTGCGAAGTGTCACGAGTGCGCATATGGCCGGGCCAGTTCCTCGGGTGAAGATGGCCCAGAAAGCGCGGCACTCAGGGGCAATACCGGTCAGGAGGCCTTGCGTACGCATTGTAGTTGCGATCTTGCAGTCAAAGTAAGTATCACAGGGTATCACCGCATGCGTTGAACGCCAGCAAGTCTGAGCATAGAAGTTCGAGGCACCACGGTGTTAGACTTCTCTACACGGTGAACACTGTGACCACGCTCATCCGATTCAGAGGTTCCATGATGCATCCCCTTGCATCCATGTGAAGACGCCCGCTAGTTAAATTCGGGCTGCACGTGGCGTAACTTACGTAGTTCCGCCGGGACTACTTCGAAGTGACTCTTGTCCATCAATACGTGACTTTCCATATCGCGAGTTGAAATGTGAAACGTTCGTTGACAGACGAAATCGCGGTGCTCCGCAAACCTGTATACTTTGCGTATAAGACAATTGGCTGGATGAAACTGGGCCACGCAATCCCATGGTCTTTCATAATAATGAAGAGGCGGTATATACTAGCTGCCAGTGCTTGTCCGCTGTGTGAAGTGTCACGAGTGTGTACCTCGCCAGCGCGTGCATGTACGTCCTCTCAGGTCCCGCCAAGTATTTAGGATGGTGGTGGCTTAGAAAGTGCCGGATCCAGGGGTAAAGCTGGTTGCAAGGCTCTGTTACTTCGATCGTAACGTCCCAAGATCTTGGTTAGCTGACAGGTATTCTGAGACTAAAACAACGCAAGCACATGGTTGACCAGGTCCTGGTTTGCCCCGGTTCGGTCTAAACAAGAGTCTGGAGGTCGAAAAAGGCATTCAGCCCGTCATGAGACTGCATAGATCACGGATGTGCAGTCCGCAGAGCGATGCTCTAAGCATGGCCGAGTGCTGAAAAGGATGAATGAGAGGCTGTCCTGTTGACGCCCGTCGATAAAACCGAGCATATTGAATGGAGGCCAGCGTGCTGTACAGAGTAAAGCGACGTCAGCAGACTTGCGCTTCTGAAGTCTGAATGGTGAAATTGAGTAAAAACCTGCTCTGGTAACCCAATAGAGTGCCGTCACGAACGTAGAATGGACAGGAGTAGATCCAGTGTGAGCGTCTCGGACCTTAGATACGAGAAACCGGCGAGAAAGGCATGTAACCGCCAGATCCATGACGCATGGTCGACCAAGATTACCTTCGATTTACCTTATCGTGCCTCGTCAAATAACCATAGCCACGGTCGACGTACCATATGTTACGAGTCTGGCAGTAGACACATGCGTCATGATACTCGTCAATTGTCGACAAGGCCAGGATGGAGACCGAGATGCGGAGCGAGGGTACGCAAGAGAAGGGTGTAGCCGCCAAAGAAATGGAGGATCCGTCAGACTACTAGAGCGTATAAAGGGGAGAGTGAGCGAGCAGGGCAAGACATCTGACTCACCGTCTCTCCCATTTCTCCAACGATGCAGCGCGCCCTCGCTCTTGCCCTCCCGCTCACCCTCGCATCCTACGCTGCGGCGTCTGTCGCAGGCCCTGTCATAAACTCAGACTTCCCTGATCCTTCGATCCTTAAGACCAGCGGTGGGACGTACGTGCCTTAGACCTTTTCCGTCTCTAAAGGCACAGAAGGCTGACAGGGATTCTTTCGTTCAGGTACGCCTACGCCACCAACGGCGCAGGCTACAACATCCAGGTTGCCACTTCGCCCGATGGAGGCAACACCTGGAGCCTTCTTGCCCAGGATGCTCTTCCTGACGTTGGTTCCTGGGCCCAGGGCAACAACGGGAACACCTGGGCGCCCGATGTGATCGACCGAGGAGACGGTACCTTCGTTATGTGTAAGAGCCACTCTGTCTACGAATCGAGTTAGCCTTTCTAACATCTTAGTGTATAGACTACGCCGCATTGAACCCAACGGAAAACACTCACTGTGTTGGTGCGGCCACCTCCACGAACCCCGAAGGGCCGTTCAACCCCGAGTCCGATCCCATCGCCTGCAATACTTCCCAAGGCGGTGCCATCGATCCTGCGGGCTTCCAAGACACGGATGGCACGCGTTATGTCGTGTACAAGGTCGACGGCAACAACCTTGGAGGTGGCGGATCGTGCGGAAACGGCGACGGGAGCCACTCGACGCCTCTCATGCTTCAGCCGATGCAGAGCGACGGCGTCACGCCCAATGGCGATGCCGTCCAGATCCTCGACCGTGACGCTGGAGACGGTCCCCTGATTGAGGCGCCCAAGCTTGTCCTGGTCAACGGAGTGTAAGTTCATTCGTCATAACATAATAAAGCCCACTGATCTGACTATTGATTAGTTATGCGGTTTTCTTCTCGTCAAACTGCTACAACACCGACCTATACGACGTCAGCTACGCTACGGCGTCGTCCGTCAAGGGACCCTACACCAAGGCGGGTACGCCCCTCCTCGTTACGGGCAACGACGGCCTAACCGCCCCCGGTGGCATGACACCAACCCCCGACGGCTCGTTCGCTGTCTTCCACGCCACGTCGAACCCCAGCCCTCTCACGCGGCCAATGTGGACTGCGCAGCTGACTTGGAACGGCAACACTGTTACTGCTGCATAAGTGAAAGGAGGGAGTCAGAAACTTGCACTTTTCTATGGATTATGTATTTTGCATATGGTTTAGATTCCTTGCGCTGTAAAAGTAGACATTCATATTCATCATCCGGTTTCGATCACGAAGGGAAACTATCAAACTCACCGATCTCGAAAGAGGGTGGCTACTGCAGTGCGACAAGCACGTGCCTTAACAGAGGAGGGCAAGGGCTAAGTGTAGTTTCTCACTTCTACTGCAAGTCGAACGGTCGTGAAGAGAGCATAAGCAATTGCACATCTCAATGGCGACGTGGCTTCGAGTTTGAGAAGACAAAGGGATAACAATCCAGTGCACAGCGAAGTCCGTTTTGCGTACTGTTTTGGAACCCGAATCGCGTATCATCCATGTCTTCACGCGACGGCGGTGTTGACGACGTTATTCCAACGCTATTCGCTGACGATTGGATATTCCAAAGGGATGTCTATTAAGTTTCGAGTTATAACGAGCGTAAGTATGTACAAAAGAGGAGAAGGAGAGGATGCTAGTGGCTTCCGGCCCAAGGCCTGACCCTACTAGACTGCAGAGACGGCCTGCACGAGATGGCTGAAAAGCGAGAAAGAGCGCCTCAACAGTGCTGATGGAAGGAAAGCGTTGAGTACAAGTGTGGGGCGAGCAAACGAGCAAACGGCAACAGGTTGAAAACGCAACATCGGCATATACTAGAGACGTCCGTGCCAATGGGGTCAACATTGGCGTCGGCGGGAGGGAAGAGAAAAGCAAGTCACTTTGCGTCACGTTGTCACGCTTTTCTTGCCTCGACAAGTCCGCCCGTCGGGACTCGGAAGGTATTTTTGCTGAGTCATAATTGTGTTGCTACTTCGGTAGTCTTGCACAACACACCAACAACACACAGTCTCAAACAATGGTTTCAAACCTATTCAGTGTTGTAATTCGAGAATTTGCGCGACTATTATAGCTTAAAAACAAAGGAGAACAAATATAAGACCGAAATATCTCCATTACTCAGTTCCCTTAAGTTTGACAACGCAAGGCCTCACAAACGGATCTCCTCACTTTATTGTGTACAACCCGTTCAAGTCCAGCGATACGTGCAGCTGGATCGCGCCAAATTGGAGGGATATATGGGCGAATATTGTGTTTTAGGAACCAATGGAGTCATCATGACGTCAGAGCACCCAATCGTTTTTACTTATGATGCAAAAGGGCGAAAGTTCTGGATGTTCTGACCTGCATCGTTATTCCTTAACTTTCTATTATTGCAGGACGCTCTAGCAGTATAGTACTACTAGTAGCGAATGAATTAACACATAAGTTATGTATAAACGAGTGTATAGAAGTTTGGTGGAAGTAGCATAAATTTGGGATAAATATTGAATGATATGAAACCGGCAGCTGCATGTTAAAGGTGAGGAAAAAGCTCCACCCACGATATGGTATCATACGCATTCGAGGGTAAGCTACGGAGCGAAGTGAACATGACTACTATGAGAATGATACGAAAAGCGATGTAAGAGCAGAACAACGCCAAGCAAGCCCCGATAATGAGTGTCTGATTGTACCAGCTTTGGAAGCGTATAGCTGTGAAACCCCGTGTTGCAAACAAGATCGCCACTAAAAATATAGGATCAAGTGCTATTACAAGAGCGCTTACTCGCCATAGTGTGCGCTCGGCACTTGTTGGAAATATGTAGAACCATGCGAGCAAGTGGACCAGACCGAAAATGATAGAGGCTGCTAAGCCAATGTGTAAAGATGTGCTTGCTCTGTTACGTTTGAAGGGCATGACACTATCTGTGATAATGTCGTCTCCGCCTAGTGTTGAGATACGAGATGGACAGTTTCCGAATGATAACCCCAAGTAGAAAACGAGGATTAGCTTCATTATCGTCTGTGTTCCACAAGGGAAGCTTGCTACGAGGCTTTCATCCTCATCTGCACTATTGCCGATTTGAATCGAGCCGTCATCGTTTATCGCGCCGTCGTCTCCTATTGAGCAGTATGCGCTGTCTTGACATCAGTTATCGTCATTTGACTTGAACACAAAACCAGACGCACAGATCATCATGTAGGTTCTTTGGGACCTCGTCACTGCTAATCCAATATAGGCGCTGATGTTGTTTGGCCTGGTAAGGTTTGCACATCCACAGCACGTAAGTAAGCACGGATAACAACCCAAATGCCATCGTCCCGATTTCGAGCGGAGTTATGGAGAAGCTCAGGGCGTTACGTGCGATCAACTGAGTAACGAACCACAGGATCTGAATGATGGCCACTCCTTTGGATAAGACATTGAGTTTACTCATGTCATTGATCTCCTCCTTAGTTATGTCGATTGGTCCGATACGAGGAGGACTTCTCTTGAGTTCGGCGTGGATGTGCTGAGCGGTTACTATGCCGCATCTCTCGGAGCCACGATAGAGCATAAATCCGCCCATATAGGCGAAGAAGCTATGAGTCAATGTCCATGATCCAACTCGGTTCGTCACAACTGGATGCTGCGTGCAAGCGAGAGTCCCTACAGCATTGCAGGCTGAGTGAAATGTCAGCAGCCCTCAAACTGTTCAACGAGATCTTTGTATGCTTACTTTGCTGGGATTGTTCCCGCTCCTTTACCATCCAAACATCGAAACTCTGAAAGGTATTCTTAATGCTCGTGCGAAGACCTAGGATGCGCACACCACGTTTGACGGAAGGGAGTAAACCCAAAAGTTTGAAGTCAGGAATATACCAATGATGTACATTGGAAGAAACCTACCTGATTCTTCCTTCAGACTCAGAGTACTAGCCGATGCATTGGTCTCAGCAGAGATATCATTATTCGACTCAAATCCAATTTTGATACGATCGCCTGTATTATAAGCATATCAGTGGGCATAACGACTTGAGTAGTTTTGAAAGTGTACGTACCATCGGTGGGCACTGGAGACGTAAATATTCTTAGGACTGGGCAAAAGAATAGACGGCAAAGTCGAGAAATCAGCGTCATTTCCAGGAAGAGTTTGACTACACGACACTACCTTGTGCCTTATTATGCGACTGTATCAGGTCATTCATTTTCTTTGTGAAGCTGCGTGCACACACAAATTGGCGGCCGGCCCAAGTTACGACTAGTTCCGGTGCAAATACGCCCAGTAGTATAACACCGGTCAATCTATAATTCTTGCGCCAGCGGCCATCTTCAGGACCTGGTATGTTGGGATGGATAGATGTGACAACACATGCAAATATTGTGGCCAAGCAAGTTTCTATAATGCTCCAGAGAGTACGGTGAGCATCCAGCGCTGGCGACTCCTCGATGCATATTGAGGCGTTTAAAGAGCGATACTGCAGCTCTTCTGCTGGAAGAGCGTAAGCTATAGAGATCATTACAGAACAAAGGAAGGTGAAGAAAAGTAAAAATGACATGCTAGAGGTAGCACGAAAACACAAAAGGAGCGTGAGGACAATAAAAGGCGGAGTCTAGTAACTTGAAAAATCGAAGTCTTGTCGGACCTGCTTTATATGTATGAGCGCAAAGGGTCTAGGTAATATTATAAGCGAGTGCATCAGGATCCTGCACACACGGGTATTTTACTCAGCTTCCATCAAGGGATGAGGGAATGTGCATGGTAAGGAATCCAAATGTTCTTCTTGATACTAAAGTAGAGCCCCAATCCAGACGCTATTCATGCTATCTACGGACTTTGAAGGAATACCAAATTCAGATGTACATGTTAGTATCACACGAACGGAAGCACCCACCAAGAAGAAGGGTAAGGAGTTGTCGCACCGGCTTCGCAAGGTTTCTGATTATCATTCAGGCTGTCCTATCGACACACCCACGCAAACCATTACATAAATATGGTGAACGCTAGGATAGCCGTCGCACCGTACAGTGCGCACACATGATGTGCTATTAATTGTTAGCATTGAAATTTGTGAGTATCTTCGTTTTCGGCCTTGGTCGGATGTTGCAGAAGGCTTGTGGCTTCGGAAACACTGGAATAATATGGGAATCGTGGTTAAGGCTGTACCAGCGCTAAAGTTGTGAAGTGACAGGTGCCTGGTCAAGAGACGGCAACTTCTGTATTATCATGTTCGTCACATAAGCCCCCTCAGAACCTCGGATAAAACCAGAGTGCTATTCCTTCATTGGTGATATCCTCAAAGAAGAGAATAGGCTAGCGCTGGACCATCAATTGCGATAATCATGTACCAGTGTCTGTGCGGGTAGCAAAGCGTACCCAAGACAAACTTGAGCTCAATTTCCCTATCACCACGTTGAAACTCAGATGATACCTGGAGATGTCCGAAAATACAATGTTAGAGCTTGTTAATTTAGCAATTGCGAGCATGAATGGTTATAATAGCAGCATCTAACACCACATCCAAGAGTTTTTGTAACAATTGTTGAAGTTGTATCTCCGTTTCGGACGTTGACGTACAATTCAATGTCGTTGTTTAGTAACCAGAACAATTATTATTACAACAGAAAGGGACGGCAGGGTTACCGAAGGGAGTATTCTAAGCCCGTAAGGAAGTTAAAGGGCTCGCGAAGGACCGATACCAGTGTATCCGGTATCCAGTGGTAAGTTTTGGACGTAGGACAAGACAAAAATCCGGCGGATATAGAGTTGAAGGAAGTTGTGCTACTGAGGCTACTTCGTAATCACAACAATTTAGACGATAGTATGGAATAAAAACATATAGCATCATGATGCACATAGTTCTTGAACTTTGCTGCTGCGATTCTATTAATACAGCGCGTAATCCCACATGGTATCGGGGTACTAGTCTGATGTACTCCGCCATGGATCCTCGTCCAAACTACAGCCACGATAGTGATCGGCATCTAGCGTATGCACTCACATCATTCAAAGGCCGCCGCTTCGTGCGAGTGATGTTGTGAGGCTGGAAATCCTTCGTAGAGGCTTGGACTTGTGGCGGCTCACATGGAACGACCATTTTATCTGAGGTCCTCCCATATTTGCATTACCAGGCTCCAGCGCCCCCTTTCTGCTATAGCAATCGTCTCATCCGAGCCAAGCACTTGGCCACCTTGGAGATCACGCTACAGCATCAAGGGATTGAAGCAGTATCGCCTGTCATAGCCCAGAAGGATATGCTAGACGAAAGGAGGATTAGACAGAGCAGAGTGTTTTGGAGCCTGGGATATAATACCGGGGCGAGAGGAGAATGAGAGGTTGCGGCAGTTGCTTCCGCAGATACTTCGCAGAGCCGAGTGCTCAAGCACTGATCTCAGTTGTACATGCCACCTTTCGATGACATGATACTATAGCAAATCCACCATGTCCCTACTTCCACTCCTCTTTCGTGTCTTTGATATTCTTCCATCCTTCGTGGGCTGCAATCAAACGACGAACACCGGGATTCATTTGAGGTATGCATACAAAAATTCTGAAAAGAAGTGGCCTATGGCATAAAATACATTGATACATTTAGTTCCGTCAAATCGGGGCTTTCATTGACTAGGAAGACCTCCTTGACCAATCAGCCAACCACTGCTCGACATCAGCAGTCGAGCGCTAAAAGGGGGTGTGAATGCGTGTTTCTCACTCCAGAAAAGGATGACAATACCTTGATCCACGCATTGGATGCACGAACGCTGTCCAACATCTGATCGTACGCCATGTTGTATTTCGAGCGGTCCTTATCCTGAAGAGACCGATCAGTGTTTCACATCAACCAGCAAGGCATTATCCGTGAAGGTGAGATACCATACCTTGAAGAAGTCCACGATCACGGCGTAGTCCTCGTCCTTGGTTAGGTTCCGGAAAGTCATCTATAGATGCATCGTGCGATAAGCCTGCGAATAAGCAGAAGGTAACGATCAGCAGGCACTCACAGAGACGATATCTTGTATCTTGTAGCTAGCTGGGAAGCGATCGGAGACCTACACGGGTAAACACAAGTTTAAAAAAACGCTACATAGAAAATATTCATGCGCGACAACTTCACCTCATCGAAGTGCGCCTTCAGGAACTCAGCAGCGCGGCGTCGTGTAGCATTGTTGCTTTGAAGACCCCGGAAGAAGTACATGAGGTCCTGGTCTCTGACAGTCGTGCGCATGTACTCGAGGACCTCCTCGACGAGCTGAGTGTCCTGGACCTGGCATAACGCCAACCTACGGATGCGAGTCAGCACAGCACCTAAGTTACAAAGTATCACGATGGGACTTGCATTGCTGACAAAGTCGTAGCAGGAGGCGTCGCAGCACCTGCATGTACCTTCTTGACGAACTCAAACTCCTTCCTCCCACCGTGTCGCACACCCTGTCCCGCGGCGCTCATAAGTCAGATCGTCATACGAAAGCGAAGAAGTGGACTTACAGCGAGTAGCGTAGGGCGCATGATGTCTGCAGGGATCCCTGAGTCATCTCCGCTTTCCATATAACGCGCGAAGCGTTTCTTCAGCTCTTCAACGACACTGTAGCGCTATCAGATAGTTGTAGAGACGCAGTGAAATAAGTGCATACGAGGTTTCACCGGAAGCAGCGGCCTGTTCTACGGCAGTGCTTCGCAGTTGTATAGTGCTGGGATCGTCGTTGGGACCATTATCGAATCCGAGTTTTTGCACGATAGGTCCAAAGAGGGACTACACAACGACGAATTAAAACGTAGGATGCATAGGCAGATAGACAGCGCGAAACATACCGCGCGGAGCTTGTTCAGGGGCTCGAGCACCTTTGGATTCTCCCACCAAGTTGAGGAAAGAATTTGCAAGTTCAGGGAGATGCTATCCCAAACATAAGCTATAGAACGACATACGCCTGTGTCATGTTCTGAATACAGCCAAGGAAAGATGAACTCACAAGCCTGATCGTTGCGGAGGTTATCAACAGCCGTAAGTGCGGCGCTGACGGTCAGGAAACCGGCCTTGGCGAGCGCAAAGGCGTCGTGTACAAGACCAATCCGGTCGTTGAGTGAGAATATCTCCTCGCCTTTAGCAGCTTCCTTTGTAAGATTGAAGAGACGTTCTTCGGGGTACAGGACGCGGTCTATCATCAGGCGCTTGTGTCAGATATACGACATGGCGAGCAGGAGGTCACAACTCACAGACACCATACGTGCTAGCGTTGAGCTTGTACGGTTTACTGGTATCAAGCGGAATCGTCTTCTCGCGGGTGTCGAGAACGACGGTGTTGTCGACATGGGGCTTCCCAGATTCGTCCACAGTAAGTAGCGCCAAAGGGACGGTCCTGTGTAGCAAATATGCCGCAGTTAGCGTCAATGTGTTACACATAGGGCGTCAGGGGCTGTTGTACCAAATCGTCTCATTATCTTTCGCTTCGGCGTGTCCCGTCTCGAGGAACCGGTCTTGACGGACGGTAATACTATCCTTGTTCTCGGTCACGGTGATGACAGGGAAGCCAATCTATGCTCAGCTGGTAAGCGCCAGCAGCAGTGTTATCGGCAGCGACTCGCCTTCTTGACCCAGTTATCCATCATCTTCGGGATATCAGTGCCTAACAATGAACGGTTGAGATTCTCCATTCTCAACATGAAGTGACATGGACTACCTGTTGCAGTCTGGATGCCATCCCAGAGATCCTTGGTGACGGTGTTCGAATACAAATGCTCCTTGAGGTAGATAGAGACACCCTTGATGAAGCGTTCTTGGCCGACGTAGTTGCAAAGCATCCGTAACACTAAGCAAACACATCAGACATACTCGGTACTGCAGATGCAGGGACAGCATACCCGACGCAGCTTTGGCATACGAAAGACCGTCGAAGATCTGCGGTGATGATATTTGAGGATAATGGCATAGAGAGGAAAGCGAGTGCTGCAGACCTGGTTGACTTGATTCACGTCCGGGCACGGGACTTCAATCGGGTGTGACGATGGTTTCGCATCCAGAATGAGAGCGGAGGCCAGATCCGTGGTGAGGAACTCCGAGTCCACCTTCCACTCGGGATAGAGTCTGGTTGGGAGACCGTGTCACTTGCAAAGTCTCAGTGAGAAAACAGATCTGCGCTTACCTGTCTAGTAACTCCATGAGCGCGCTATCTTCAGGAAGAGGTAAAGATCGGCCAACTCACCTACGATGATATATTCGCCCATCTTGAGATTGATGTCAGTATTTCAATCCAAGGATGGTGGAGTGTGTTCTTCTTACAAATGTAGCGAAACCTGCCAGTATGCTCAGTAAATGCTGCATGGTGTAGAACCTAATGCAAAAACTTACCTTCATTCAGATACAGATTATCCCACCACTCCATCGTCGTGATGTTTCCAAACCTACATTAGTGAGTCAAGACCTACTATCGAATTGGCGAGGAAAAAGCCCCGCACCACATGTGCGCAATCTCATGCGACTGCGTCACGACAATGCGCTTCAGCATGCTCAGCTGGATCTTTTCGGGATCCATGAGGTAGCAGTTCGTCCGTCCTGTGATGAGACCCTACCACGAAGTATCGGTCTCAGTAATCATGGACAAAGCAAGATAGATGCGTACCCAGTTCTCCATAGCACCTAGAATGCGAACATGTTATGTCATCACTGAGTACAGTGGGATGTCGTACTTACCCATGTCGAAGTCGTGCGCCTGAGAGAACCGGATCAAGCTAAGCAAGATGCATTAAACTCGTAGACTAGGACGCGACGGCTTACCGCGAGCGTGTCGAGCTTCGGTAAAGGGTATTCGATGTCGAACACTTCCTCATAGATGGGCAAGACCTTCTCGGTGATCTCAAGTGCATGCTTGGCCTGATGCACAATCTCAGATGTCGCTAGTATGCGCGTATGAGAATCAAGCCGAGAATCGATAAGTTCGCGCGGCTTACTGTACACACGCAGCGGGCGGACCTTCCCGCTCAGTGGGCTCTTGTACGAGCTCTCGAGGCACTTGAACGGTCCGTTGGCGTATGCAACGATGTACGAAGAGATCTGCGCCGGGGCATTCAGCACGCAACACGAGGATATATGCGCGCCAAAGCGCCACTGATACGCACCGGTGGCGTAGTATCGAACCGCGTGATCTTCCACTCGCCGGGCGCCTGCTGGTCCGCGGGCGACATCACCGAAAACAGCTTCGCGACGTTCTCGTCTTTTGCGGCCTCGGCGGCCGGATCGAACGGCCCTTCGGACGCGGCGGACATGTTCGCAAGGCTGACGAGGTGCGCGCGGGAGATCATCGACACGCTGTACGTCGCCTTGAGCGCGGGCTCGTCCCAGCACGGGAACGCCCTGCGCGCGGCGCTGGGCTGCGGTCGCGCGTGTTGAGCTACGAAGACAGACATGTGCATGGAGCCAGCTGGAGGCGGCGTACCTGGAACTGGGTGAGGGTGTAGATCCCCTTCATCCCGTCGTTCTCGGTGAACTCGGACTTGTAGTACCCCAGCAGCGCGCCGGTGAGCTTCCCCGCGAACGCGATGCGCAGCTGCGCCTTCGATCCCGCGGGGAGCGCGCGGGCGAAGGACAGCGTGCCTTCCTCCCACTCGGCGGCAAAGGACTGCGACGTGGGCGTCTGCACGGAGCCCAGTGCGTCCGAGGAGAGGGACGCGTCGATGAGGTCGAGGTCGGTGGTGTTGAACACGAGAGTGGAGGTTTCGGTGGTTACGTCCAAGCTGGGTGGGTTCGTTGCCAGGTGAGATGCAGAGTTCGAGCACTGAGATGATGAGTGGGGGGTTACCTGATCTTCACGATGCCCTGGAACACCTCCTTCTCCAAATCGGTGCGCACGACGAGATCGTAGTGCGTCGGGCGCACATCGGTGGGCAGGCGGTGGCCGTCCTTGGATGCTGCCATCTCCTTATCCAAAGTCACAGGATTCACGATGGATGTCGTTGGAAGTGGTTCAAGGAAGAGTGGGATCCACTATAGACGCACAGAATGACGTTTCATGGTAGATCAGCGCGCCAGAGGACTCGGGACCATGTGCTACGGAGTCAGTGCCAGTCGGTGCCGCCAGGTGCCGCCACCGTTTCGGGTCCGAGATCTGGGGAGATGCCCGGATTGCCATGCACCTTTGCGGGCTTTATTCTGACCAGCATTGGAGGTGTAAAGGGATGAAGGCGGTGGCTATGGGACAGACCCATATAGCGCGCGTTCGTGTAAACTCTCAGAGTTGGAGGCAGCGGGAGGTGCTCAAAGTCAAATCCAAGACGCGTCGACGCGACTCCCGATGATGACAAAGTTCGTCGGTCTTTCGGCACAACAGTCGATCATCGACGCAACTAAAACAGTTTTATAAGTCAAGACAAACGAGCACAATCATCACTCCGAAGCAAGCAAAAAGCCGATAAACAAGCACTATATATTTCGCATCATTACATCTAAAGCCCAGAAACACAAGTTGAGTGCGTTCCTAATGCGAAGGGGGACTTTAGGGCGGTTATTTTTGGTGGTTGATGTTCTACGTGATAATACAGATCTGCGGCTCCGTGCAGCGCAAACGGGGGGCAGTTGAAATGCCATGAGTCGTTCGTGAGATGAGGTGTTGAAAGATGAGCATGAGCGTGAGAATGAGAATGAGAATGAAGTTGAGAATATGAATGAGAATGGAACGAAGTCGATGGGAGTTTTGAGAGGGTTAAAGTTGACAAGGCGATGCGAGCCAATGAGCGAAGAAGGTTAAATGAATGCAGGGGAAGTTTTTGTCGAAGCAGTACAACCCAATTGTCCAACCAGCGTGCACGAAAGAAGAAAAGGAAAGCCAAATAACATGCCGCAAATTAAGGAGAAAAGCCGGGGTGGCGTGGACGCGGCCATCATACGATGTCCCACAGCTCTTCGAGAGCGCAGCAGAACTACATTACCAAACATCGTACATCAGCAACGTCTTCTGCCAACAATGGCAGAAGGGGGCAAACGCACCTTCCCGCACGCGACAGATGCACTGAGCGGGTACTCGCTGATCCCGATCTTTTCGTCTACAAGGTGGTCCGCAAAGTCATCCCGCCCGCGCGCCATGGCACCGATGAAGATCGCGACCGAGTGCGTCTCTGGGAGCGTGGGCAGGTACTTGGATAGCCGTACGGTTGGTGCATCACCCGATAGCGCTGTTGAGATAATAATAACGCGGGGAGACATCACCATCAGCGTTTGATCAGACGGGATCGGAGCCGGGGGCGCAGCAAAGGGATCAAAGGATAGGTACGTACTCAGTTTTATGGTGTTTGGTGGCAGGTGGTCCGTGACGGGGTTCTTCAGAGGAAAAGTAGCCCGATCAGTTAGGGTGCAGAGAAAGAGAGAAGGATCGGATAACGTACTTTGATGACCTTGAGCAGCTTTTCTGGGCCGTTTACGCCCCGTATTGACAGCTTGTGGAGGAGTTGGACTGCGGACGGCAGGTAATCAGGCTAGGCGGAGAGAGGAAAGCTCCAACAGAAGCAGAAAGAAGACGCACCCATGAGACCGCTGAAGCGCTTAAAGGTTCGCGGTATTCTAACGTGGGGGTTGACCTCGATGAGCACACCTTTTGCGGTGTGGATGTACACCTGGAGCAGGCCAGCCTTGTTGAGCGGCGAGTCGAGGAGCGTGAGCAGACACTGATCGCATTGCCCATCCATCATTCATTAATCAACACCTGAAAAAACGCTCGAAAAAACACACCTGATGCGTGATATCAGGTCTTGCGTCCGCGATATCCCTCCCCGTCTTCGCCAAGATCCCCTGATGATCGTCGCAGTTCAACAGCGTATACTTCACCTCGCCCTCACCCCCTCGTCCGCCCTTGCCCTTGCCGCCACTGCTGACACGGTACGCCTCGAGACACGCCTGCTCGAGCACGACGTACAGCCGGCGCTGCGATGCGTTGATTCCGCCTTTCGCGACGTGCGCCTGCACGGGTAGCATGTGCGGGTTCGCCACCTGCGGCACCGGGTTGTTCGTCGCCATCCTACGGGTTTTCGACTGTGGGAGCGGGCGCGTGGGCCTCGGTTCTGATTTTACGCTGGCGGCAGCGGACGCAGTCGTCGGTGCGGTAGTAGTCGCGGTGGGGGAGATGTCGCCCGAGTCGGAGGAATAGTCGGAGGACTGGTCGTCGTGCTGGTGCTGGTGGGAAGAGGGATCGATCTGCATCGTCGACTCCTTCTCGGAGCCTTCCGAGTCCGAACCCTCGCCTCTCAGAACAACGTGGTGGCCCCGCCTTCTCAGCTGACCTTCGTCTACTGGTGTTGACTTGGGCCGGGGTGGCGGGTCGACGGTCTCTGGGTGGTCACGGACGACCTTGAGGATGTGGTGCCGTGCGAGGGCGCGGGAGGCGGTCGAGCCCGAGTGCCGCCGTTGGCGGGTGGGCATGTCTGGTGCGAGCGACATCGTTTTTTGGGGTGATAAGTAGGTTTCGTGTGGTCGTGAGCGATAGAGGGCAGTCGACGTTATAGAATAAAGAAAAAGAAGGTGATTGTAGACTGGCTTGTGCGTCAACGAAACCTGGGGGTCTACGGGGAAGGACGCTCGACAGTGGCTGGCAAGGTGTAGAAAGACAAGGCGCGGGTGGGTCCGAGTCAGCGAGGGTGGTGTGATAAACGGCTACGGGTCGTTCGGCCGTCGTCCCTGCGCGTACACGGCTTTTTTTTGCAAATGTGCTGACCCCAAGGTGGCACCATCGGGTCTTATGTACCCCTCACTCGGACATATGCGTATACGTGGGCAGTTCGTTGCGATTGTGGTGCCTCTCCATCTTTTCCATCGAGCACCCCCAATCTTAGATGGCCCAATGGACTCTCATTTCTTCCCAAGCACCATCATCTAGCCTCACACACGCCCTATCCATTACGGAGGGAGAAGGTTATCTGCACTCTCAGACCGACCCCTTCGGAGCCACTGGGCTGGGCGCAGTTGCTCGTCTAGAGCGAGAGTGGGAATAGCGCCCTTGACGTGAATATTGGGGGCATCCACGGATGGATTAGCGGCACCGTCACTGATGTGTTGTAGAAGCCGGCAACTTATGGTTGAGCATTTGATGAAAAGTTAAAACGGGACTCGTGACGCCTGCGCAGCTCACGCTTCGGGGACGAACGTGGTCATCCAATATCACCGTACATCGAGTACCGACTGCACAAGACCTTCAGAACTCCAGCACATCAAGTTCTATCGATTCGAAGGTGTAAGGATCTATATGATAACACCGGTCAATTGAGATCTCCTATCGAAACCCACTTGAACAACCATACCAGTCCGTGAAGCATGTGCGGGGTCGCATTCTCGTCGAGAACTCCAAGAACATTCCGAGAGCGGTGCGAGAAGCCGAGCTCTACCGCGGATGGAGGTAACAACCAACCAGATTGAACCCTTTGTACGCACGGTGGGGAGCTTCATGAAGTCATCGAGAGGCACGCTGAGAAGAAACGCTGGCGAGAAGTCGACGTGTGGGGTTTATACATTGCCAGTGGCGATCAGCGGTTCGCACCGCTGGGAAGCTCGAGCACTGGGAAGGCGGTACCCCCGGGCGAGAGCAAGAGAGCATTTTGTGAAGGCAGCAGAAAACCAGGAGTAGGTCTGCGCAGCGCAGGGTCGCGGAAACCACTTCACAACATGTGTGTGCTGTGCCTGCCCGCGACACATTTTCACCTTTGACTGACGCGCAGAACCTTGTCGAGGTTCTTCGCCAGGACAACGCTGGTTCACCACGCCCACGCGATTACCTAGGGCTCAGCTATCTGTGTCGGGACGGCTTCACGCCGAGTCCTGATAGTGCAAGAGTGGGAAGTCTAATCGTGTTGAGTAGAGTATAGGCTTTTTACTCACCACCACCGCCCGTGAACGTTCGAACGCCCGAGCGCTCTCATCTGAGGTCGTCGATGTGAACGGCGGGAGATAAGCAAGGCCAAAGAGCTTCACGGGCGTTACCGGCCCCGTCTCCATCAGAATCAGATTCCTGCCAAACACGGCCCTCACGGGCATACCTGGATCCGAAGTTCCTAAGTAAGGTAGCCCTCCGTCATGTAAGAGTGGCTCTGGGGTGACATTTTTGTTAGCGTCGGTCTGCGACTTCCCATACCTACTAGTAAGCTACCAGCAGCGCTTGCCAAAAGAATCTCTTCACATTATCATAGAGCATACAGCAACTCCATGGCTCAGAGAGCCAATTCTTATAAACATATAGCTCTAACCGTGCTTGGGCTGGTGTATAAGTGGCATGCAGTGGTTTGATGTGCGGCCACTTGCAAGTTCTGTCATCATCAAACCAATACTTAACTACTGACAAGAAATTTGAATACCAATCGGGGATGACTATGAATATGACAGCCATCCTAAAACACGAGATTCGAAAGGCAGACAACTTCATCACCTGAACTGATCTCTCATTGGATGATGAGACGTAACGGTTGAATAATGGCAAAGGCAAAGAGGTCGGAACGGCAGGTCGATGCGGAGCGGGGTCACGAATGTTGAACGGACTTGATCCGGACTCTATTTACGTACATGACTCATAGTAGTTTAGTAATGCACACAGTGCATCAGTCAGCATACGCTTACTCATACGAGTACTAAATATAGACAACCAATAGCATAACTAACTCACCTACGTTACATGCATTACAGTCACAGTCACTCTCTAGTATATAAGCCAGTACTGTAGCGCTCTCTCAATCTAAGTCTTTCTCTCCTGAACGACTACCATCGCTACCAGCTCTACCAAGCTACAAAGCCTCCAAGCAAACCCAACAGGTGAGTACGTGAAGCCCGATGCGTGCGCTAATGCGCCGCTTCCATTTCACAGGTTATGAGCCCCGTGGGGCATGAACCGTCGCTTAGCGTTTAGACGCTGCGAGGTCCACTGAGCTACAGCTTGGCGTTTACGCCGCTGGCTCGAATCGCTACAGCTTGGCATTCGTGCCGCTGGCGAAAAGCCGTAAAGGCTAGGGGGCCGCCAGGCTGGCACAAAGTGCCGCCAGGTTGGTTCAACCCACGTCTCACCTGGCTTGTCGTTGTATGCGTCCAGAACGCTGACGACAGTGTCCAACAGATATGTCTTCCAACACCAAAGCCAACAACACCTTCTCCGCGACGAACGTCTTCAGCGGGTTGCACGTTGAAGAGTGGGCTTTGTCCATGCTCCACTACTGCCGTTCTGAGGGCTGTGGTATCGCACTCGACCCTAGGCCGGTTGCCCTCGCTACGGGTACCGCCGAAGAGATGGCCGAGAGGAACAAGGAGATAAAGGAGTGGGATGCCAAGGACATGCAGGCCAGGGGAAAAATCGGCTTCAAAGTCGACCCCCACGTCTGGTCCAAGGTCGAGGAAGCAGCGACAAGTACGACGGTCTCCGTGAAAACGGCGTCGGAAATCCTCGCCTTCCTCAAGTCCGAGTACGGCGTCCAGAAGTGCGGTGTCACCGAGGCTTTCGTCGAGATGGGCAAGCTCCTTCGCACTGGGATACCCTCGACGGGCAACCCCAATCATCACCTCGACGTCTTCTACCGCACCGCCCAGCGCCTTAACACGCTGAGCGGCTTCACCGTCAACCTTCCCACCAACGTCCACTCCTATCGCTCAGGAGTTCTCTGCGATCAGCAGCTTGCGCTGCTTCTTATGTGCGCGCTCCCCGAATCGTATCGCGCGGTCAGGGAGCACTTCAACAACGAGGTGACGGCGGTCAAGAACCTCTCCCTCGTCGACCTCCGCGATGCAATCTTGCGTCATCAGGCGCAGCTCGCAAACCAGCACAAGACCCCTGGACACCAGTCCAAGGGCAAGCAGCGCGCCACTGGCGAACGCCCATACGAAGGGCCCGTCGCATCCGCGCAGCCAGCGCAGGGCGGCAAGCCGAAAGGCAAGCCGCAGTGGTCTCAGCAGCAGCAGCAGGCGGGCCCTTCGGGGCAGCAGCAGCAGTGGCAGCCAAAGCCGAAAGGCCAAGGCTCCAAGCAGAAGAAACGCGGCGGTCGCAACTACGACCGGTCTGGCAAGCGCGACGCGCATGCCGCCAACGGCACGGTGCACTTCGCACAGTCCGCCGACCGCTACACCCCTGTCGACCAGCGGGAATACTTCCCAGCTCCCAGGGAACTGCCGCCGCTGCCGCCTATGCAGGAATCAGTCCGGGATCCGCGCCTCCTTCCTAACCAGTCGGGGCAGCGTTTCCAAGGGACCGGCGCGTCGAACAACTTTGGCATCCACCAGGCACTTGATCGCGCACGAGAAACGGCTAGCCTTCACGGCTCGATACGCCCACTCGTCGAAGATGTCCGGACCGAAGTTCAACGCGAGATGCTCGAAGAGCGTTTGAGAGAGGTATCTCCCTCTACTGGCTATCGTCTTTATCGACAGAGCCTAATCGATGATGTTACCTCTATTTTAGGAACCATCGATGGAGATTGCCGAGACGCCGCAAGGCAGTCCAACTCCAACCGAGCGGACGATTCAGGAGCCAATAGCTCCCGAAGCGTCTCGCCGGGACCTTCAAATAAGGTTGGCAGAGATGCAGGCACGGAGTCACAACCACCGCTTACGGTATCTAGGTTGGGCCCCAAACCCCTCAGCCGCCGACTGGGGTCTCAGCGACGTTCTGCAACCACCGCCAACGTCGACTTTGTCGACACCGGCTCATCCGCCGAACCCGACGTCAACGACCTCGAGTTGAGATCAGTCGCCGATGGACTTTCATACGGCACCGAGTTCCTCACAGGCCCAGTCAGCCTCGAGTCAGAGCTACCATACAGCTCCTCGAAACCAGACGTTCTTCGGGCTACCACCCAGCGACGAGTCCAGCGTCGAGGATCTTCCTCCGCGGCCCGTTCACCCGGAACCAGTCTCGCCGAACGCCTCAGCGGAGACACTCGTGGACCCACCTCCGCGTCCCCTACCGAACTTCCACTGCAACATATGCAGGGGGAGGTACTGCCGAATGCCCGAGGACCACGTCCTACTCAGCTTCGGACTTCGGCTCTCGCGAGCCGAGATTCGACGAGTCCGCAAGGCAGACGGGATTCCAACGGGACAGAGGCCGAGAGGACTCCAAGCCGATCGCCTGCAGGATGCGGCGGGAGAACTCGGGGTACCAAGCGAGATATTCGGGTGGCCCAGGAGGAGACAGGAGGAATGGATGAGGGAGCTCACCGAGGTGCGCCGACGCGGCGCATTTCAGGAACTCATGGAGGCAGATCCGCACGGTCCAACTCGCCACAACCCCGCCGCGATACTCCATCAGGGTCTTCAGCACCCAGGCGCGATAGCCCGCTGGCGCCATCAAGTCCATCAAGAGAACGCTCCGTTTCACTTGGAGCGAACTCGATCAGCCCCCTCATTGAGGGTTACGGATCGCGATCTGCGACTTCTGAGGCAAGGGAACGTCCATCGGAGGCATACCTTGCCGGCGAACCCGAGGACTACGATGGATGGAGCGACGAGGGCGGAGTAATGGACTCGCTTGAACGAGCGTACGAGGCAGGCAACCCGTACCTGAATAAATCGTACGTCCCTATCCCCTCTAGTGAAACAAACGTACACGCTGACGGTCACTCATTGAAACCGTACATAGAACGTAGCGTACTTGTATCATCTAGAGTAGCATTGGACAATGGACACGTTTGCGTCTGTGCATCATCCACCTCTGCATGCACTAAGTGTAAGGGAAAGTCTCAAGCCGGGACAGCCTACTGGCTGCTTGATTCTGGTGCTACGGATCATTACACATTCGATCGAAATGATTTTGTCGAGATCCAAAAGCTTACCAAAAGGCAGCAATTCCCCGTTAAAACGGCGACCGGCACGACACACGTAACACATAAAGGGACGTGTATGATAAAACACACCAATTCTAAAGGTGTTCAGGTGGTTAGTCGCCTCTACCCGGTTTACCTGATGCCGGAGCTTAACCAGCGATTATTATCGCTGGGGTCATTTTTGAAGGACGGACTGTCTGTATCAGGCAGCGCAGAGACCGTCCTAATCATCTCCGCCAACGGCACAGAAGAATTCTGTTGCACGCGGCGTAACACTAGCCCTGAGGACACACTCTTCGGGCTCAGAGTTGTCGTGCAAAACATTGCCGACACTCAACTTCATTCAGTCTATTACGTTGATTACAACGTTGCCCATCTTCGTTTTGCGCATCCCTCGCCCGAGGTATTGTCCAAAATGAGGAAACACGTCACCGGCTATCCACCGGACACGGAGATATTGAGTAAACCTCTATCGCCGTTGTGTAAGGGATGTGCGGAAGGCAAGATGCCGGACAGGCACTATGCTAGGAACTCTGATCGCGCAGGAGCATTCCTCGATCTAGTTCATTCCGACGTTAAATCCTACCCGACAAAGTCGTACCACGGACAGCACTACGCGCTGATCCTCATGGACGATCACTCTTCGTACGCATGGGTCTACCTAATCGCAGAAAAATCAACCGTGATCAAATGCGTTAGGGACTGGCTCGCGTTACTGAAGACCCAGTACGGCACTACACCAAAAACCTGGATGTCGGACTCAGGGGGAGAATACACGTCTAAAGCATTCTACGACATGTTATCCGAAAATGGCATCACGAATATGCGGTCAGTGCCGCATGTGCCTAAGGAAAACGGTCGTGCAGAACGTCTCATCCGCACACTTTCGGACAAGGCCCTCGCTATGTCAAAACAAGCGTGCCTGCCGGAATCCTGGTGGTGTTACGCCGTCATGCACGCAGTCACCGTATACAACCAAACTCCGATGCGCAGACTCGAATGGCAAACACCATGGCAGGTCGCACGGGGCGAGGTTCCTGACGTCTCAAAGTTCAGGGTCTTCGGATGCGGAGCATACGTTTTCCTACCAGAAGCGTACCGCAAAGACAAATTAGATTCCCATTCCAAATTAATGACGTATATTGGAAATGCGGATGGCGGGCATGGATGGAAATTCATGCGGCGCGATAATTCCACCTTCATTGCTGCCCACGCCGTGTTCAATGAACTAATGTTTCCTCGATGCGCGGAACAACCGATCCCTCAGGCCACGCGGATACACATCCCAGCGGCTGAGGATCTCGATCACATGGATCCTCACGTTACGAGTAGCTGGGATCCTATTCCCACTATTCCGGGAACAAACATTCCCAAACGTAAAGGTTCTTCTTCCAACCCAAAACCTTCTTATCAGACGCCGAGCTATGATGACGACGGTTATCAATCGGAAGAGAGACCGAACAGCTCACGCGTCCCGGCTCGTAGGCCAGCACCGCAAGTGCAAGCTGCTCCTATAGTGCCACAGGCACCGGTCCCGGCAGGGCCGAGGAGATCAACCCGAGTACCGGTTCCTACCACTCGTCAGGAAAACAATTCCATAGTTGGTGACACAGCTTCCCAACGAGCGCGAGCACAGGATAGACAGGTGACCGCGGACCGCCGAACATCTGCCTTAACAAGAGGCGGTAGGCGGGGCGGCCAGCCACAACCATCACGAGGACAGGCAAATACGCCAAGCTCTCAGCCACCTTCGGCATCACAGCCCGGTGCGACTACTGAGCAGTCTGATCCACGCAATACGCGGCAAAACAATGGACCTGTCGTCCCTCCACGCCACGAGTATGAGGGCGAACTATCGCCCGCCCATGAGCCCTTAATATTACCGGGCATGGATGAGGCTGAACTCGGCTGAGAAGGGGGAGAATTAGTGTCATATGCCTCTCTGATGGCAATGGCCGTTCCAAGCGACTCCGTTCGCGATTGGAAATACGAGGATTTCAAGCGTCTACCAGCCGAACAACGAGCTGAATGGGACGCGGCGCGAGCAGACGAGATGGAGGCTCTCGTAAAGCGCCACGTGTTCGAGATAACCACCCTGCCCAAAGGGCGTAAACTGGTGGAAAGTAGATGGGTCCATGACGTAAAGTCAGATGGACGCAAAAAGGCGCGCATAGTGGCCAAAGGCTTCTCTCAAATCGAGGGAGTCGACTACGAGTTAGTCTTCGCACCAGTTGTCCGTTTTGAGACCGTTCGCATCATGCTAGCACTCGCCGCACTAGAGAACTGGCACATAGCAGCTCTTGATGTCCGGAACGCATACCTCTACGGAGAATTGGAAGAGGAGATTTACATGCGACCGCCGCCGGGCTATGAATTGCCCCCTGGCCAAGTTTACCGACTCTACAAGGCCTTGTATGGCCTTAAACAGGCCGGACGTCAATGGTGGAAAATCCTCCAAGACTCCATGATAGAGTTGGGCTTCGTGCAATTACAAAGCGACGCCGGAGTCTATGTATACCGTCACTCCAAGACGCGTTGCATAGTTATCGTCTATGTGGACGATGGTCTTTTCTGTAGTAAAGACAGAGCGCTGGTGGAGCAGCTCAAGGCCAAGTTCATGAAGAAGTGGGAATGTCGAGACCTGGGGGAGGTCAGCGAGTTTCTTCGGATGAAGATTCAGCGTAAAGGATCGAAGGTCATCCTAGACCAACGAGACTACCTGCATAAGGTGCTTGAGCGCTGCAAAATGCTAGACTGCCATGCGGTCGCTACTCCACTCCCAGAGGGCTACAACCCTACCCCTAACACGGGTAAGCCAGATCCAGGGCGCACAAAGCGCTACCGTCAGATTATCGGCTCACTACTCTACCTGACACTCGGAACGCGACCTGACATCTGTTTCGCTGTGAATCAGCTTGCGCAGTTCAGCCAGAACCCGACGGCAGATCATTTGAATCACGCCCTCTATATCTGCAGATATTTGAAGGGAACATCAAAGTATTCTCTGATCTACGACGGTGTCACTGGTGAAGGACTACACGCGTATGCCGATGCCAGCCACGCAGACAACAAAGTCACGCGCGTCTCCACGTCCGGTCATTTCTATAAGCTAGCAAGTGGTGCTGTCACATGGACATCACACAAGCAGAAATCCGCCGTCGGCAGCACAGTCGAGGCAGAGTACATCGCCATGGCGGGTTGCACCTTACAAGGCAAATGGATCCGCAACATGTTCCTAGAGATGGGTTACAATATGACAGAACCTACTCTCATCAGCAATGACAATCAGGGCGCGGTTAACAACGCGAACAATCCCATTACCAGTCAACGCACCAAGCACATTGACACCGCCTTCCACATTACACGTCAGTATGTCGAAGAAGGACGGTTCAGAGTCGAATGGCTGAAAGGGGAGGATAACCCTGCTGATCTTCTTACGAAAAACTTGGGCCGTGTCAAAATTGAAAAGTTTAGGCCCTATTATGGCTTAGTCTTCAACAACGCCTAGTCCTCTATCGTCTAGCACGCTACCACGCACTATTCGAGGGGGAGTGTTGAATGGACTTGATCCGGACTCTATTTACGTACATGACTCATAGTAGTTTAGTAATGCACACAGTGCATCAGTCAGCATACGCTTACTCATACGAGTACTAAATATAGACAACCAATAGCATAACTAACTCACCTACGTTACATGCATTACAGTCACAGTCACTCTCTAGTATATAAGCCAGTACTGTAGCGCTCTCTCAATCTAAGTCTTTCTCTCCTGAACGACTACCATCGCTACCAGCTCTACCAAGCTACAAAGCCTCCAAGCAAACCCAACAGGTGAGTACGTGAAGCCCGATGCGTGCGCTAATGCGCTGCTTCCATTTCACAACGAACTTCATGCCTCGCGTGATATCCTGAAAACAAAAATTATCTTGCTAGGATGCAAGTCATTGATGTCAGGGTATGCGTTACATAAAATTAGTACGAGAGGAGAGATCAAACGCTTGTCGAACACCAAAGACGAACGATAGAGACAGGGGTTATTCACCGAAAACGGGCACGGAGCGATGACGGAAAAACGGGATGCGGACCGCGGAGGCAACCGGACCGGGAAGAACGCAGGTTAGGCAAAACTTCTTCGTTATACCTGTCTCCCTTCGGATCCAGGAACGGGTGATCGGGCCGTTGCTCCGCATCAACCCTTTGATGCTGTACCTTTGTAGTGGTGTACTCTCGTTCGAAGGCTGGAAATATCTTATATATCTGACGAACATACAGCCTATTGCTGTCGTGTTTTCCGTAATCTTCCTATGGCGCTTATGAACTCATCTTCTTATGATCCCTCTGGTGATTATGCACACAGGTCAAGCGAAACGCGATTTTTCGCCATCATTATGCAAAAGCAATATACAAGCATTCATACCTTCGACATCGGTGCTGCTAGCCTGATACCAATTCGAACTATCCCATTCGATGGCGAATTCGAGCCCGGTTGTGATGCTCGTTTGTACTTCGGCGGATCATCCGAGTCTCAGCATCCCCCTCATCTATTAGCAGGCTTGCCCTCCGGAACGGTAAACCTCCTCTGGATAGGCAAAAGACAGACTGTAGAATCACAGAACGGGAGAAGATCTGGATACACCGGGCTCGGATATCGTATATGGTCTGCCCTGAGGGTGAGTTAATTGAGTAACGTTTACTCAAATACTAAACAACACAATGCACAGGAATCCTTTATTTTTCCACGTGCCCACGACTCTGGATATATATTTGCTTCATCTGTTATAGAAAATCAACAATCTCAAATAAGGTCGGAAGACAAGGCTACTAGTACTATCCTCAGCTCCGTACACATGAAAAGAGTCTGTCTGCGGCGCCAAGTATCAAGCGATCAATCCCAAGATCACGCTGTCAGCTTGACTTTCCCAGCACCCAAGGACGAATTTCAGACGGCAGAACCCTGCGATAAACCTTTTACCTCGGATACTGTTCATGCTTCGAACGTTGATACAAGAACGTGGACAAATGTCATGTCACGATTGATGGAGGATGGGTTCGGGTAGGGTCGAGGCGCATTTGCTGGTTACCTCAACGCTATAGGTCAGTCGACGATACCCTAGCGGTGTTTGCAAATCGGGTTATTTTCAATGCGAGAGGCGCAGGCACGACCTACGGGAAAACGCAGATAGTCATCCACCTCAAGGAAGCTGAAATCCATTATTACGACGATTAAAACACTTTTAGCTATCGCATTGAATGTATTTGATCAGATGTTGTGTTGTATACTAGCCTATTCACGATGTACCTTATTATACAAAGCCGAAGTATTTATGCTGCTAAATAGTACGCTCAAGCTGGTGTGATAATTTAAAAGAGGAGGAAATCCGTCGAGACGTCGCATGGTACACGCCTCGACGTCAGTGCCAAATATCGAGTGGGCGCGAAATTTCTGTCTAGCAAACCCAGCTATACCACTCAAGATGCGCACGCTTCAAATACGCACGCGCCCAGGCCCTTTACCCACCCTAACCTCCACCCCCCGCAACTCCTCCAGCGCCGCGCGCTCCTCGTCCCGCAAATGGCTCTCCCGCCGGATCTCCAGCTGCTCGAGCGCGAAGCCGCACGCGACGCGGCGCGCGAGGCACGGTGCGAGCAGCGTGAGGCCTTTCTGCGGGAGGGGGCGGCCCCGCATGTCTTTCACGCCGATGTACTCGGCGGCGCCGAAGCGGAGGAAGTCGATGTCGTCGAGGGCGAGGGATTTTAAGGAGGGGAGGAGCGCTGTGTAGGAGCTGGTGATGGTGATGGTGCTGTCGCCGCTCGGCTCAGAGGGGCGGGGATAGGGGTGCAAAGCCGCGACGATGTCTTCGAGCCGGACTTTGCATGTGCGGAGGTAGCGCACGCGGGGTGTCGCAGCGAGGATGGTGCGTAGCGTCGCGGGTGAGACGACCTCGCTGCCGCCGCCGCCGTCGCTGCGCGGGGCCGGGTCGTGTCTCCCCGCGCTGATGTCCAGCGAGACGACGTCGGCGACGGGGAAGAGCCGTGCGACGGCGCTGAGGAGGCGCGGCGCGGGCATGAGGGCGTGCGCGCTGGCGAAGAGGCCGGGGTGGCTGAGGTCAGCGCGCGCGGCGCACCGGCTGTCGGAGGTGGTGATGCGCTCGCGGAGGGCGGAGAGCGTTCCGGGGGAGTCGGATGGAGGCGCGTTTGGGTAGGGGGCGGGGGTTGCGCCGAAGTAGAAGGTGGAGCTCGTGCCAGAGTCCCAGACTTTTCTGCGTGTGCTGATGCCGAGGGCGGTGTGGTAGGCGGATAGATCGAGCGGGGTGTCTGGGTTTTTGAATTTGTTGCTCTGTGACTGCCCGAGGACGTGATGTGCCAGGAAGATGTCTCGGAGGGGCGGGAAGCCGTTAGACAGGGATTCGTAATATGGCCATCGAGGAGGTTCGATGCCGATGTATTCGAGAGGGTCACGAAGGTGAAGTGCCTCTATAAAGTGCTGACACAAATCTATAGGATCTTCGAGATTGAGACGGGCGAGTCGCGGAAGGTAAATTCGATGTCCCGACAGATCGCCGAGGGCCGCCATTGTCCGAGATAGCGAAAGCTCGCGGAGGTTATGCATACCGTCCAGCATCGAAGGGCTTATCGCAAGTGGAGGTGCATTGTAAATGTGCAGGCGCTTGAGCTGAGGCGCGTTAGGCAGAGCGGCTTCAGCATCCGTGGGCCCATGCACACTCCTAATCAAAGAGTCGTGGTAATGTAAGCTGAGCGACTCGAGCATGCGGGGCTCAGCAGACAGTCCTCTGTTGATTCTGGACATGAGGTCGGGGAGCGTTTCAGCAGTCACTGGCACAACGAGCTCCCTGATGCGTCCCAGATGCATTGTGACCACGTTGCTGAGGTCGATATATGCATCCTCCTCAGGCTCGAGCCCGCCCATCACCTCACACCTGCGGCGTTGTTTTGATAGGCGTTCTAGGTACTTGGGATGCGGCAGAGTAGAGATGCTGAGGGGTAGTGTGTCCGCACGAGCGAGCATGGTTTTCGTGTAGAACCATGCGCCGGGGAGGCGGCACCAAAGTGAGGGAGTTGAGAGTGCGACGGAGCGCCAGTAGCGGCAGACGAGGGTGACCTGGCTCCAGTCCCGTATGCAGGAGAGGTCACAGCGGTGCTCATGCCATGGAGACCAAGTGGGGTCGTGAGCCTGCGCGATGCATTCTGCGAAGATTGCGGAGAGGAGTTCTGGGGGCAGAGACTCGGAGGTTGATGGAGCCATGCTGGGAGTGCTCTGGAAGGTGAATAGTTAGTGAAGGACAGCAGGTTATCAGGAGGTCCATCAGATAGATTAGGAGATTCTCCTGTTTCAGCAGTCTCTAGACTATTCCCCCTTGTTGAGTATCGTGCACTGCGAGTTCTGTGTCAGATCGACCCATTCGCAGACGTGGGATTCGTGAGGTGAGATGAGGGGTTTTTATGAGGGACCTGAGACCTTAACAAGAGTACAGGGAGAGATACCTTTGTTAAACTCAAAGCCTAACAAAGAGATTTCTCTTGTGCCCAAGCTATGCTGCCTTGGCCCCTGTGCGTTGTGCGATGAACCAGGATGCAGCCCGAGGGGTTCGGCTAATCGACCGACATGTCTGCCGGTCCAGAAAGAAATGTGAACGCAGACGACACTGTCTTCTATTGACAAAGTTGATCAATCGAGGAACAAGATAAGAGCTGAACACTGAGTGGAGTTGGAGGTGGAGGGAGTGGGAGCAGGTTGACGTGATAAAGCGCATTGACGGAGGTGATGTGGCTGTCCGCGTGACCTCTTCGCGTGCAGTCAACCGAAAGTCGTGCGCTGGAAGTTGCCATCTGCTGCTCCATCCCATCCACCCTCATCCAACCCACACCACCACCACCACTCTCTTACACCTAGCCCCACCACCCGTCGTCCACTCCATCTCACGACCTTCTACCCGATTTTTTACGATCGACACTGCTCATCAGCCTGCACGACACCATGTCCACACCTGCACCTGCACCCGCCAGCGCGAGCCCTATGCCCGAGGGCGTCACCGACCCCAACTACAGGCCTCTGCCTGGGCGCCTTGGTAATCTCACTGTACAGCAGCAGCATACCCTCGAGAAGTTCAAGAAGGAGCTGCAGGACGAGGGGCATTTTGTCCCCGAGCGCATGGACGATGCGACCCTTCTGAGGTGAGTGCTGCAGTGCGATGCGCAGCCTGTTTTCCCCGCGCGGCATTACGGTGTCTTCGTGGGATGTTGTCTGAGTGAGGTAAAGAGTGGCATGCTGATGCGTTGGTCGCAGGTTCCTTCGCGCTCGCAAGTTTGATTTGGCGGCGTCCAAGACGATGATCCTGGCGGCTGAGCAGTGGCGGAAAGAGTTTGGAGTTGACGATGTCGTCGAGTACGCTTGTTTCCTTTATCCATCTGTGAATACGTCTTTAATTGTCGCTTTTCACGCCTACAGGAACTTTGACTTCACGGAAAAGGAGATCGTTGACAAGTACTACCCCCAGTACTACCACAAGATGGACAAGGTATCATCATCTTGCCAGACGTTGCATTGATCAAATACTGACATTCTTGGCTTTGGTTGGTAGGAGGGACGGCCAATATACATTGAGCGCCTTGGCAAGCTCGACATCAAGGAGCTCTACAAAGCCACCGACATCGACCGCCAGCTCAAGCGGCTCGTGCTCGAGTACGAAAAGTTCCTCCACGAGCGTCTCCCCGCCACCTCCCGCGCGGTCGGGCACCCCGTCGAGACCTCGTGCACGATTCTCGACCTCGGCGGCGTCTCGCTGACGAACTTCTACCGCGTCAAGGACTACGTGTTCAAGGCGTCCTCGATCGGGCAGGACCGGTACCCGGAGTGCATGGGCAAGTTCTACATCATCAACGCGCCGTGGGCGTTCTCCGGGGTGTGGTCGCTAATCAAGCCGTGGCTCGACGAGGTGACGGTGTCGAAGATCGAGATTCTGGGCGGGAGCTACAAGGACAAGCTGCTCGCGCAGATTCCGGCGGAGAACTTGCCCGCGGAGTTTGGCGGGAAGTGCACGTGCGCGGGTGGGTGCTCGCTCAGCGACGCGGGCCCGTGGAACGAGGACGCGGCTGCTTCGCCGGCGCCGGCTCAGCCTGAGGCTTGAGGTCTGAGGCTGAGATCTAGGATTAGACTTTGGCTGGAATGGCGCGCGGAGGTGCGGGGCGCGGTCGCGCAAAGTGTACCTAGACACGTTCGCTGGTATCGGGCGGCGTTGATGGTAATCTACCTGTAAATTACCTAATGGATTTGTTTCAGATTGGTTTATTATCTGCGTTGTCTGATAGAAGGTCATCGTCGGAAACAAGCACACGATCGTGCATGCGATCATGGCGGCCGTCCGATCGCGACTCCGGAACGCGTTGTGGCTCAGACTGACTTTCGTGCACGTGAAAGACACGCCCCTATTCCCCGCCCCACCGACCCGCGTTTTGTGTCGGACTGATGCTGACCTGTCTCTCCTTCCACAGACGACCGATCCAGTCCAAGACCATGCTGTCCTCAACAGGCGACGCCACGGCGTATATAAGACCTCGCCCTCACCCTCCCCGTTCCCCATCGAGAAAAACGCTCTCCTTCGTACGCATACACGCATACAACTTCAACAGTAACAACACCAACACCAACACCAATATCACCAACAACATCACCAGCAATGTTCTTCTTCGCATTCGCCGTCCCCTTCGTGATCATGAGCTACGCAACGTTCTTCAGCGACATCGTCCTCCGCTTCCGCTACCCGGCCGAGTACGCGCTCTGGGCGCTCGACGCCCCGCCGCCGTACGAGCCGCACCCGCTCGAGGCCCTGACGAGCGGCGTGTGGCACGCGATCGAGCCCGCGTCGGAGCGCCCGCCGGAGTTTGTGCTCAAAAGGCATGTGTACCTCGATTATGGGGAGGCGCTGGATATTGTGCTGGATGCGCTGGAGGTGGGGTATGATGGTGGGAAGTACTGCAATGGGAGCGGTAAAGGTAATGGTAATGGTAACGGCACGAGCTCGAGCGTTGGAGGCTTTGGTGCTCGGGACGGGAGTGGGAGTGGGGCTGAGTTTTGGTATAATGGTTCTACTTCTTCTGGTGGTGAGTTCCTCTGCTTTCTCGGACGTCAGTGAGCCGTTGTGCTGACTGTGTTGTGTACGATGGTGTAGACGGTTCCTCCGAGCAAGTGGGCTTCTCTCCGCTCTCCGCTGCCCCCGCGACCTCTGAGGCGGCCCTCCGGCAGCAGCCCACCGCGACTGCACGTCCGCTGCCTCGGTTGCCCATCAACGACCCCTCCTCTTCATCTGCTTCCAATGATGAAGGCGACAACGACGGCGGGGAGTCGGCGGAGCTCACTGTGTTCTGTCAGTGCAACGCGCCCAGCCCGGAGCCGATGTTCTCGCTCGTGGGGATGTACGGCGCTGGGCGACGGGGTGTCAAGGCTGCGAAGGTGTTCACCAGGGAGACGTGGCAGGTGCGTTTGTCTCCCCCTATTTATTTTATTTTATTTGTGGTCGGGTAACTCACTGCGATGTTGGTGCGTGTAGATGCTCAAGCTGCGGACAACTACAAAGGCCGAGGAGCTCGTGCAGGTGCGTTCTTAGTTTGCTCGACTGTCTTCGATCCGTGGGCTGACGCGCACTAGGCTCTGATACGGATGGATGTCCTCATGGTGTTTGTCGTCGCCAGCGTCGTCGCTGCCGTCTCGGCATGCGCGGCGCACCAAGAGAACGTCTTTGGCGCGGGCTGGTTCAAGGTGTACGAGACAGAGGTCGCCGGGGAGCCTGATTGGGTCCTTTTGTGAGTCTAAGGCTGGATGTTCGCTGAATGACATATGCTGATGGGGTCGGCGCAGGGCTACGGGCACTGTGGACGCGTCTCTGGATCATCAGGTTGACGAGCCGTTGGATATTCAAATCGGCGAAGTAAGTCGCAGCAGTTGTTTGCTATTCTCTGTGCTGAGCCGTGAGAAGGACGTCCTGGACGTTCCCGTCGACGATATGAGCTTCGGGACAACATGGAAGGTAAGCGTTAACCCTTCGTTCTTTACGAGCACTTGCTCACTCGACCATCGCAGCTCTACCTCGGGGACAATGCTCCTATCACCTATGACGCGCAGCAACCTCCCTCTCCGATTGTGTATGTTGATGCGATCTCCATCAACTCCGCTTCGGAGGTGAGCGCTCTCCTCGACACCGAACCTGAGCTCCAAGGATCCACCGACACGCCTGAGCCGCGTTCGATTGCATGCGTTGATGCGATCTCCATCGACTCTGCATTGGAAGTCAGCGCTCTCCTCAACACCGAACCCGAGCTCCCAGAATCCGCCGACACGCCGAAGCCGCATACCGTCTTCGCAGACCCTAGTACCGATGCCGTGTACCTGACTCTGGCGATGTCGCCAGGAAAAGGTACGCGTGCAGTGGAGCTTGGGGCTGTTGAGATTGTCGAGGCGGAGGGCGACGCGGACATGGAGAGGAAGAGGGACGAAGAAGCTGCTGCGCTCATTGCAGAGTTTGATCGTATCTTTGGAGATGTCGAGTTCAAGGGAGCCGACCGCGAAGTTCAAGACGTCGGCGATACATCCGAGGGGCTCGAGTTCTTCACCATCGACTATGCCGAATGGCATGGTCTTTGTGACGATCAGGGCGTTGCATATCAAGATATAGAGCACCCTGCAGTGCAGCTTGGCGAAGAGGTCGGTGGTGTTTTCTCTCCGCTGGCCGTGTGCGCTCAAATTTCTGCGCAGATCGCTCTGGCGGGGGAGTCAACTGTGGAGGATGATGCATGCGAACAAGCGGTATGCACCCTTTCCCCCCTTGGCTTTGTCCTTGCGTCTGACATATATCCCATCGCTAGGACACTCCGGACGATAACGAAGAGTGCAACGGTGACGGACACGAAGCAGCGGCGGGACTCAAACGTTCCGAGCCTCGTGTTCCCGAACCGACGCACATCTCCGGCTATCCGTTCCATTCCGACAAACTTGAAGTAGCTGAACGCATCGGCGATGGCGATTGCCAGGGAGGAACGGACTCAACCCATTGTATCCGGCCCTCTGGTACTGAGCCTGAGCTCGCTCAGCTATTCGACGATGACTGGGTGGCGCGCTTCATGGCTGCGGATCTTCCTGTGGAAGGTGGGGAAGAGAAGGAGATTGACGAGGGGCCCACCGATTTCCAGGTTCGTCTTTGCTGATAACGTCGCGCGTGTCTGTTTGCGCTGACTTGAACTGTCTGGATCGAGCAGAAAGCGTTCGGTGCACTCCACGATGCGCAGTGGAACCCGAAATTGGCGACCTCTGAGTTCGCGCCCGCGTTCAACGCACGGCCGACTCCCCCGCGTGACCCTTTCGGCGTCGTCTCAGTCTCTATCCTTGCGCAAGCTCCAGTTGACGCCGCCGAGCCCGGGTCCGCACCCCGCCGTGCCGACAAGGGCAAGGCTGCTGCTCGCACTCAGAAGAAGCAAAAGCCAGCTAGCAAATCCGAACGCGCCGATTCACTCGCGGACTCGATGCATGCTCCCAAAGCCACAACCAAGTTCGCCATCTACCACGACGGCGCCGCCGCGACGCCTGTCGCCTCTCGCACGCGACAGCAGCGCGCCCTGCGCCAGTCCGCGGAGCAGGCTGCTGCCACGCTCGCAGACTCGATGCACGCCCCTCAGGCTAGCAGTCCCGTCGCTCAGCACGATGAGCAAGCCGGTCCGTCGACCCGCTCCAGGACCAAGCGGGCGGCTGCGCTGAAGCGGGCGGTCGAGGATATCAGCAACCAGCCTGGGAAGCACGCGCGGGAGGTGCGCCTCGAGGATGAAGAGTTCGGCGCTGGGGCTTCTGCCTCCCGGGCCTCGTCGTCGCGCGGCCCTCGCTCTGTGCCTGTGGACAGGGTGTATGAGTCGGACGCTGAGGACGACTATGACGAGGAAGATTGCTACGGCGAGGGTGAAGGACAGGACGAGAATAGGCCACAGGCTGGAGCCGGTATGAGGGGCAAGGTATTTCCGGATGTACTCTCGACGTCGCGCAAGGCTGTCAAGCGGCGGAGAGTGAGGAAGCAGCGGGCGATCCGCAGGGCTACACAGCGGGAGGTGGTGAGTTTTGATCACTTCTTCTTTTCCTGTGAGCGAGGGCTGATGAGACGCTTGTAGCAGGCTGCAAGTGATATATGACGGTGGTGACGATAATAAAGATGCTGTGGATAATTGGCACTTCGTTGCCTTGGGTTTCGTATGCGAATCTTGAGATGGACGTTTGACTTTGCCTTGACTTTTTGCTCTTTGGCCATACATAGTCCGCCGAGGTCGTTCTTCGGCGGAGGAGCTGGTGGCATAATAGTGAGTGGTACTTTTGTGTAGGCCTGACAAGGTCGCTGGCTATAGTATGGTACATTATACTCTAGTGGCAAGGACCTGACATTAATATCATGGATGGCAACCTTACCTTAATGTGCGATTAAGTGATGAAATTGATTTGGCCTCTATCCATATAATGTCTTATGAGATCCACGAAACTGAGTTGGTGTACACCACAAAAGACCTTCATCATCCTCCAACCCAGTATGACCTCATCGACATCATGATATGTCTGCCAGATAGCGCTTCGTCGGTTTGGCTGATCATCATAAGCGTTCGCACGGATGTCGACTTAAGTTTTGAAGTGAGGCCGGCAAACACCGACTGTTTTATGCCGACTGACAACAACAAACATTCCGTTGACAGGCACCGTCACCACACCGTCACTGTCCATCGGCCAAGCAAACAATCATCCATAACTGATAAGTCTTGGTGCGATTCTTCTGCCCGAGATCCGGGAACGGTGAATACAACACAAAGGCAACGATCATGCTCGGCTGCACGATTCCTCAGGGTTCCTCTCTATCTCCTGGACCCTCCTTGATACCCTCCTGAAGGTCACTAGGGAGCGCTAAGGCTAGCTCGAAGCGCACGGGCATCAATGCTATTTTTTGCCACACTTCTTGATAATGATTTCTCTGTGATCCGTCTTCTCTGCTGCCGCGCACAACCCACTCCGGCGCCAAGTGCCGCGAGCGAAAACGAGCGAAAAAGGCTGAAAAAGATCACAAGCTGTCCATCGTGATGACCGTGGCCAGCGAACCGCGCGATGCCAGCTGCGTCAACGAGCATCAGCCGCCGCGTTTGGCATCTTTGGGTATGTTTTCCCGTCTCCGTCCATGCGGGTCCGGAGAGGATACAAACCCCGCGAATGAAGGTGCCCTGGACGGCCTCAAGGCTTGCGTGAAACAATATAAGCTGCCGCGGGGCACGTTTGGTGACGCTTTCAACCCTTTTCCCTCCGGACCCCTCTGCTGGTCGATCCTCGTTCCGCTCCGTCCCCGGGCGTGCCTCTCCTTCTCGTATCCGCTCCTTTGTATACCCCCAACTATCCTCCCCATCATGCAGACCTTTTCCCGCCTCGCCGTCATCGCCGGTGCGCTGACCGTGGCATCCGCCCAGTTCCTCCCGCAGAGCTGCTACTCGCTCACGGCGCAGTGCAACTACGTCGACGCCGATCTCAGCGATGTGTGGGGCAACGTCGCCTGCACGCAGTACGCCCTCTGCGCGCAAAACTACAAGACACCCGTGGAGATCATCGGGCTCCTCGGCGCCTCGGCGAACCAGCCGAAGCTCTCGCAGGACGTGTTCGCCAATATCACAGGC